CGGAAGGTTCGTCTGCATAATATTCCATTTGCTGAACAAACAGACCAAGCCCGCCCAAGACTTCAGTTTATCCCCGCCATTGACAATCATAGAATTCTGTGGTTGCGCAATTGGTTATGGGTTTCCTGAGGCTTGAGGCTGCCGGGGGCTTGTTTATTGGATGGCTGCCTATGGGTTGGGGCGTGCTCCATATCCTGGTGTTGGTGGCTTTTCTGGTGAGTGTGTGCTCTTTGTCCGGTTAGGGGGCACTAGGTCTCTGTTCAGAAGACTGAGACTGAAAATGCGGGAAGAAGAAACCAATGACATGGAATGACGTGGAATATATGTAGATCATTGAGAATTTTGATTGCGAAAATGCCTTTTTAAAATGAAATTTCAGTACGACCCTCCCCTCAAATTTCATTTTTACGGGGGTAGGGATATAAGTGCTCTTTTGGCAAGATATTTGTAAAAGACCCCTTGGCAAAATCTCTGTACAAGATCTCTCTCAAAGTTCTCTGTACAAACTCTGTACAAACTCTTTGGGACAACTCTGTATAAGGGACCTCCTTGTCAAGATCTCTGCACAAGATTACCTTGACTCCGTGACCATCCCACTAAGCATCGCACCACAACAAGAGAAGATGAGCACCGCCCCACGGCGAGAGCGACCTGACAGGCCAACAGTGACGAGAAGGTTGCACGAGCCATCCCAAAATGAGCACCGCACCACAGCGAAACCGATCTGACATGCTCAGAGGGCCGAGAGGGTTGCACGAGCAATGTCAAAATTCGCAGCGCACCACAGCGAGAGCGATCTGACAGGCCCAAAGTGATGAGAGGATTGGAAGAAAGAACCACTTTATATACAAATGTAGAAGGAAAATGCCAAACGCTAATCCCGCGACAACCGCTTGGTTCGAGCCTGCGCGGTCGAAGTGCACATGGACATTTCACAAAAACGATTTTATATGAGAATAGTTGAAAATTAAAGGGAAAATGTAAAAAGTTACAGTTACCACCTCGCTTGAACACCGGACCTGAAACACTTATCGTAAAATTAGCACTTATCGTAAAAACCCTCCAGCGTGGCCACACTGTTTGGGGCAAAAAAGTAATGCAAGTTAGGTTTTTCACGGATTGATTTGAAATGGTTTGGAACGGTTTCGAACTACTACTTGGTAAGTAGCATGAAACCGCTTGAAACGGTTTCGGACTATATGTGCTACTTAGCCATACTTAAAAACTACTTGAGACTATTTCACATTATTTGAACCTAATTGCGTTATTGCCAGAGCAATGTACCAAGTAGCAAGAAACGGTTTGCAACGGTTTCGGACAGGGAGACTATTACGCAAAAAGTTTTCGGAAACGGTTTGAAACGGTGTCAATGGTACACTTATCTTGCTTGAAATTTCAAAGCAAAACAATATACTAATAAACAATATACTAATAAAAATATATAAAAATAAGTATACTTCAAAATGACAAATTTAGACCTAAATATCCCCCATCGAATTTCAGGGAAAACGTTGTGACCTTATCTCTGTATGTTAATAGAATTATTCGCCAGCGTGGGGCTACAGAATGAAGTTGCTGAACTCAATTTTCCCAAAATGGCCTTAGCTACAAAATGCCCCTTCGTTTCAACAACCTTCACATAGGGGTGATTTTTCCTTGTTACAAAATACCCTTCCGTTTTCAACAACTGCAAATACAAGGGCATATCCTTTGCTACAAAATGCGTTGATTTTAGTAAGCTCTGATGCAGCTCCTCATGTCATACCATGTCATGTTACAAAATGCCACTGCCAACATGATTCAAATGATTCCCTTATAAAATGATATTCACAAATTTAAACTACAAAATCCTGGGCTTCGGTTGGTTTCACTAATGTAAGGGGTTATACAGTTCTACGTGTCAACAAACGGATGCCTTGTATCTGGGACCGTGCCCCCAATTTAGGTTACTATGGTCCATGGTGGCCTTGTATATGGGACAGTATGTCCAATTTAGATTACTATGGTGGCCAACTATAAAAGAAAATTGTGAAAGAAACGTTTTTCCCCATAAATACAAACCCTATACCCAACAAGCGCTTTATATTTTGCCCCCTTAATGCGAAAAATCTTCCAGACCGAAACTAGGTACACGGCTCACAGGCGGCCGTGAGGATTTCAGCACAGCAGCAATGCTGAGCATTTGTTTTTCTGCAGATTTACAGTGGTCAGAGCATTCCAGTCCATTTTGGATCTTTCACGCAGCCGTGCCATTGGTTAAAGCGGCTTCATCTCGTAATTAGATGGGGAAAAATATGTTTTTTAGTCATTTTGCAATGCAGTCAAACTATTTGTTTCAGTGGATGAAGCCGTCATTGAAAGTCATGATATATCTTCAAGTAGTTGATAGGGTGTGCCAGGGTACGGGGCAAGAGAAGAGTGTATAGCGTAGCAGCAAGTCCAAGAGAATATCTTGTAAGGCGGGCAGCCAAGAACGTTATCAGCCCCCCCCAAAAAACCCCCCCAAGAAACAACAATGCAAAAATCAAGAGTGTCTTGCAGCCCCCCCCAAAAAACCCCCCCAAGAAACAACAATGCAAAAATCAAGAGTGTCTTGCAAGTTACAAGAAGAAGTTGATAGCGTGTGCCAGGGTACGGTGCAAGAGAAGAGTGGATAGCGTAGCAGCAAGTCCAAGAGAATATCTTGTAAGGCGGGCAGCCAAGAACGTTATCAGCCCCCCCCAAAACCCCCCAAAACCCACGGCCGTCTATAAGCCGTGGTCCAACTACATGACTCTCTTGAAATGGAATCCGCAAACAACTTGACAGTTAGACTTTCCAATTTCCTTTTTTTTCTCCTTTGATTAACACTGGCATTCTTGTCGTGTTGGTGCAAAGAAACGACTTCACGGCAAAAAACGTTGATTATGTCGCAGAGCAAATACCATGTTCAAAAGACTGCCAACATAATTTGAGCTAACTCAATTTGATTTTTTTTAAACTTGGTATAAGTGCTAGAACTCGGCTGTGGACGTTACCTAACTTTAGCTAAAGGGAGGTTGAAAATGTATGGGCCTGATTGTATGGGCCAAATTCTCGACATAAAGCACGGATACCACCCAAAAATAGTAACCTCTGTGAGCAGACCTGGTAAGGACCGACAAACTGCAAAGAAGGAAATTAAAGATACTCCTGGTATCTCCTGGTATCTCCTGGTTACTTATTTGATGCGTGTGCCCGGTCGGCCGGTCTGCCGCGGAAAGCGAGCAAAAAAACAAATATAACGGTCGGCCGCGTGAACGCTCACAAACCAATTGCCTAGTCAAATATTTGGCAATTCCTGGAGTGAGTATTTGATTTAGCCAATACTGGATGCACAAACTCAAATTGCTCACCCTTCTCCGTAATCCCATTGTGTATTTCAAGAATGTGGTAGGGTTTCAAACGATTTTTTTGGGGGTCAAACTGCGTCATGTCGAAAATTGCGCCGAATTGCGGAAAAATCCGGTCGAATTGCGGCTTTCTTCTTCCCGATGATCCAGATTATATATATATATATACCTTGAAAATCCTTGAAATTCATACTACCAAAATATTTTGGTCGTTTGTGTCGGTACTATTTTGTTTGGTCGGTTCTTCGAAAACCACGCGTTTCACAAAAGAACGCATATGAACTTGAAAAAAACTAGGCGATATGCGAAGAAAATAGGCGATACGTCTGGCCTTCAATTGGTTCTACCTTAAATCCAAGTCACTCCTGCTTGTTTACGTGGGTGCTATTTCTGACGGGACTAGTGTAAACACAAACCAAAAACCAAGTTTTCTGGATTTGCGGGCGTTTGCGGGTTTTTGTGGGCGTTTTGCGGATTTTTGCGGGATGTTTGCGGGGCGTTTTGGTCGTGTTTTTTTGTTTTTTGCCGATTCTGTGCAAAAGTGCTTTGCACAGAAAAAGTAGGCGGGGTTGCGGAGTCAGACCTGCATACCCAACTCCAATGCACTACTCTGGCAGCCTCAAAAATTGCTACTTACATGCGCGAGAGACGGGGGGAAAATATCATGAAACATTCAAAATCATCCAATTTCCATTGTTTTTAGGCGTTTCAGTTTTTGATGACGATCCCAAAAAAACTAGGCGGTTTCAACCATAATTAGTAAACAACCAAAAAGGTCAAAATATATTAGGCGTTTGAAGATCCATGGTATACCTAGACCAACCAAACCCTGGAAATTTCCAGGGTTTCAAAAATAACCGAGGTTTTCCGGAAAGAACCGGGTTTTCCCTTTTTATAAATATTTTATATATATATAACATGCAAAGGAGCTCACCTTTTTCACCCCGGAGGATTCTCAAAAGTTTACAAGTGGGAGGACAATTCCTCAAGATTAATTCAGAAATGGTTTTAATTGGGAAAAATTTTCTTCACTTCAACATCGACCTGGTGGGAACCACACAGGCATACCTGTGGCAAACCAAGGTCGAGTAACACCACGGTTACGCCTCAATTAGGGCAACCAACCTCAATTAGGTAAAGGGGGGTACGATATACCTCCCATTTTCCCCAAGGCACACAAAGAAGGTGGTGAAATGGGGGACGGTGGAGGGTGAGACGAAAGGGCTATAGAGCACATGCATGATAAATCTACGTGTTAATCACTCCTACGTCGCTCATGGCCACTTAAAGTATTAACATGCAAAGGAGCTCACCTTTTTCACCCCGGAGGATTCTCAAAGGTTTACAAATGGGAGGACAATTCCTCAAGATTAATTCAGAAATGGCTTTAATTGGGAAAATTTTTCTTCACTTCAACATCGACCTGGTGGGAACCACACAGGCATACCTGTGGCAAACCAAGGTCGAGTAACACCACGGTTACGCCTCAATTAGGGCAACCAACCTCAATTAGGTAAAGGGGGGTACGATATACCTCCCATTTGTCCAACTTAAAAGGGAAAGGAGAGGGAGAAAAAACACACTCCACGGAAAGAAATTATACTCCTCCCATGGGTCCCATTCCCCTTTTTACTGTCGCAGACGCTTGAGAATTCTGGCCCCTTTTAGGCTCCATTTTCGGACGGACCTTCGCTGCGCCTTATTCCACAGGGTTTTGGCCATTGCCAACGTGCCCTGGTCAACGTATTGCTTAGCTGTTTTGGCACAGGTCCAGCGTCCTCGGTGCAATGTTGCGTCCATTGACGCTGTTTCAAGGAAACACCACGAGGCTCCTCCTCGTCTAATGCCATAAGGCACGTAGTCCTCTTGCCCAAAGTGGAGCAAGGTCAGCAGCGACCGCCAAAAACACCGGAAACGATGTGGGCGACCTGGCCAAAGGAAAGCTTCACTCCCGTTTGTGCGCTGCAAAGTGCACGCCAGCCTCCAAACATTAGCGTCTTCGAAGACAAGGACTTGGGGATTCCCATTGGAGGTCTTTGAGTACGGGATGATGACTGAGATCTGGGGCCTTCGCTCATGCAAAATGAGGTGACACCACTGGAGCGCCAGCATCTCGCTGGTGCGCAGAAAGCAAAAGAAACCCAAGTACAGCATGAGGGCTACACCTGGCTTCGCCAGGGTTAAACAAACTGCCGCCATCGCTTGTAGGAGGTCCCAACTCAGCGGGATGGCTCGTGCTGGCGCATGAATGCGCTGCCAGTTCCTGAAATACTGGCTGGCTAAGGGTAGTTTGAGACGCATCTGCGGGATGAATCTTTTCAAGCCGGACAAAATGTGTCCCGCTTGCGCCAGGCTGTCGCCTTCTTGATACAGCATATTGATGTAGTCAGCCACGGCTGCATCCACTTCCGTCTGGGTGCGTAACGGAAGGTGACATAATTTGGCATGCAAAAGGAATCGACTCACCGCCATTCTGTAAGCTCTGATAGTACGCTTCTGGAGCCCAGCAAACTTCAGCCCACTAGGCATCAGGATTGACACGCCGACGGGAAGCCCCATCCGCGAAATTCCACCTTGATATAGTCCAAGGGACCAGAGGGTACTGATCAGAGCCTAACAACAGTGCAGCGGTCTGCCTCAAGAGTCGATTCATGCCACGTGAGGGACTGCGCCCCTTGCTGATGGCGCCCCGGGACACCATGCTGTCCACAACGTGCAGGTACCTGAGCTCATGCTTGGCCGGGTCCTTGCATCTTCTCCGGAGAAGCACATTGAAAGCACCCACTTCTCCTTCATTGATATGCCGGGATTCCTTCCAGGCATAGGCAAGGACTTCGTGCCACATCCACCGATAAGCCGGGTAAGGGGACTCTGCCTGATTGTCCCCCAGCAGTAGCCTCACGTCAGTGCCGCGGATAGAGGTGCGCCTTGCCATTTCCCGTAGGTGAGCACGCTCCATCCCCGTGGTCATCCCATGCTCCAACTTCACGACTTGGCGCGCCACTGCGAGGGCGGTCTCTGGATCTCTGAGCCGGTTGGTGGACAACTTCAGCTCCGTCTCAACCTTCTGGACACGTCCCTCGAAGATTGCCTTTTGTATCCACCCGTTTTTGCAGAGCTGTGCCTTGAGACCGCGGGCGTACGCCTCGCACCAGGCAATCTTGTACTCCGACTCTTCTTCGGTCGCAAACTTGAGGGATCCATCTGGATTCAACGTCACGTCATAGCCTCGAAGGCTTTCGTGCCCTTGACACAGGGGCCTGTGGACCTCTTTGAGTATCTCCTCAGAGTTGTTCAGCAGCGCATACCACTTGATGCGGTCGCCGCCCCAGCAGCAGTTGGTGCCGGTGGCATACTCAAACTCATCTTCAACCAGCTCCTCAGCCAGCGTGAAGGACCACAGCCAGCTGTTGTATGGGTGCTCCACAGTGACGTACCGCCGGCGCCCAAACTCACTTTTGGCGCGCTTCAGCGCCCATAAGGCCATCTTGTTTGAACGCCTGAGTTGGATCTTCATTTGATCGGTCGCCCAAGGGAAGCCCATCACATGTTTCTTGTCTCTGACGGCTTGCGGTCCAGGGATAGTTCGGCCGTCCGGCAGCTTGACGGGCTTACCCCTTGCCCTGCTGAACAGCCTACACTCCGGCCCCCAGTGCTCGGCGGCCAGCGCAGGATCTCCTTCAAGCGCTTCCAGCTGCTTTCGCCCAGCATCCGTGAAGAAATCATGTCCCCGTTCCAGATCAAACGGCTCTTGGACTTCAATTCCTCCACCTCTCGCCACTGCCTGGCTCAGCGGGGCATTTGGTCCGGAGAACCTTTCTCCAAACTTCGGCATGGCATAGTTCTTCCTGCGGCAGCTGGCCTCTCTGTGCTCACTTATACAGCTGAGGCTGCACAGAGCAACTTTGCACCCTGCCGGGCAGGGGTAACTGCGGCCTGTCTCCAACCTTCTTCCGCGCTCTCTGCAGTAGTTGCCGTCATGCCTCGATGTGTCGGGCTCATACTTGAAAGACCTGGCCACTGCACCACCACCACCGGTGGGTGAAGCATCCGTGATGCTTACCTCCTGGTCCATCTGGGCCCTCAAATTCATGTACATCAAGGGCAGAAGCGCCAGCACCACGTACACCTCATCCAGGGTGCCCCTTGTCAGCTGGGCCTTTGCCTGCCCCACCTTGCCCATGTCCACAAAGATTGACTCCAACATGGCCAAAACCGGCCGCCGGAAAGACATGGAGAAGATGGCCTTTCCAACGAAGTGCCTGAGTTCAAACTCTGTGGCGCTGCCCGTGGCCAATATAGCTGCTCCGAGAGTCATGACTCCAAGCTTTTTGTCATGGGACGACTCAAAAATTCCGTCTTGGCCATCAAAGTCTCCGCCTTGCAGGGACCCATGCACAGCGCCCACCAGCGTCTTGGCATTGTTCAGGGGCAACTTCAAAGAGTTGCATGTGTTCACGAACCTCTGGTGGCGATGGGAAGGTCGTCCTTCCAACACTGCACGGTACCCGGCCTTTACCTTGCGCAGCTCGTCAAAGCTATCCAAGTAGACCACGGACACTGAGTCCTCATCCGGGAAACATTTCAACTTCGATACCTCGCTGGTCTCTGGGACTTGGCTCATTCCAAACACGAGGGATCTTACCACGGTCTGCATCAGGGCCACCGAGTTGAGCCAGCCCATGGGCACTACGGTCATACCCACGTAGACCATTTCATTGGCGGGTCCTCCAAAGACTCGTGCCGACACCTTCTTGTTGAAGGCCGTAAACCCGCCCCACTTTGGAGGGAGTCTGAACAGGTTGAAGCAGCTCACCAGGTCCTCGCTATCGATGAGTACCTCCTCGTCTTCATCGATCTCCATCATTGACATCTGCCCCAAGTAGGGCAGGTGAATATCATCACCAGGCATGTGCTCCTGGTACATGTTCGAGGGGGACCAGGACGCTTATGAAGCGTTGCAGATGCCGCTCTTCGCCACCTACCCGCTTCACCTTCTTCACCGCCCCGGCTCCGTTCAAGATGGGTCTCCCGGCCTGGTCCCTCAGCAACTCACTCTCAGAGACCATGCGCATCATTCCTCTGGCATAGGCTGCCTCCACTATCAACTCCCACTCAGAGTCCGTGGCGCGCACACGGCTGACCGGCGGCTCTTCCGGCCATTGCGCTGCAGGAAGGAGGCACTTCTCGGGATTGTCAAGCCAGTCCTGCACATGGGGAGGCACAAAATCTCTCGCCTCTTGCACCGCCGCCTCACCCACGGCCGGCCAGCATGGTATGATCTTGGCGGCTTCCAAATCCTCCATGTATTGTACAGGTTCCCCTCCGTAATCGAATTTCACCTTGCCAATCTCAGCCAGGCTGGTGGTCAACGGGTGGATTTTTCCTTCTTTGTCAGTGAATCTTCTCACCGCCAACATTAAGCGGGTGACCATGAGCTCCTGTGCGGCCGTGAGATGTGCCGGCCCAGTTCTGGATTTTCCCATGGTTGCATGGTAGTTCAACACCTCCACCACAGTCAAAACCCATGCCGTTACTTGCTCATCCTTGCCCTGCAAAAACTTCTCGACGCTGTTCGCTCGCACTGGCAGCAAATTGGGTGGCTCCATGGCCCCAGGAGGATCCTCCGTGGGCATGTCCGTCTCCAGCTCCTTCAAGCTTCTCACGTACTTGGCGTACGGTGAATCCAACTCACACATAAGCTCTCTCAGGTATTGCATCAGCTCCTCAGGCCTCCTTTCCGCTTCCATAAAGGCCTGGAGCGGTTCGCACCACTCAGACAGGGAGTGGGTGAAGTGTCCTGATGCTGGGGAGGCGGCGCTCATTGCCTCCTCCTTCACTTGGTTTCTTCCTTGCGGGGCGCGGTCTTGTCCCACGCTCCTCCGTCCTTCGCACCCCTGCCCTTGGCCTTTCCTTTTCCTTTTGGGGTCTCCTTTCCGCCTCCTTTCACCTCTCGATCTCTTCGGCCTTGTCCTCGATCGTAGCTGCGTAGCTTCTGCTCCAGCAGGTACTCTTTGGTCATGTATGCCTCCTCGTCGCGGTCGAGCAGGAGAGTCCCTTCCGGTGCTAGGAGCTCCAGATACTGAGCAGCTCCCCAGTGACCTTCTTGTGTTGCTCGCTCCAAGGCTTTGATTCTCTGGCAGACCACGTCCGCTGCTTTTGATGGACTTCCTCCTGCCAGGTGGTCCAAGATGGACCCAAGGGTCTTCAGCTCGCGGGTCGAGCGGACCCCTACCTTCGGACCCAACGTGGGCAGCAGAATCGTCAGAAGGGAGTTGAGCGCCACCACCGGCGTCTTGTTGCTCCTTAGTGCGTTCGGCCCCACCGCCCCCCTGGCTGTCCCTTCGTGCATTTTGAGCAACAAGCGGGATGCCAGTCTCCCCGGATGCCTGCGGGCGTACTTTACCAGCCTCTGCTGGCTGCCCTTCGCGGGGGCGGCGGAGCCTTTCTGAAAAAGCGACTCGGACTCGGAGGAGCTATCTTCGCTAAAAGCCACCGAGGCTCCTCCACCAAACAGGCCTCTGTCCTTCTCTTTGGCAGCTCCTCCTGTGTTGGCAGCCTTCTTGGCTCGGAAGATGCCCTCCTTGTCATCCTCGCTCTCGTCACTCTTGCTGGCCCGTTCAGAACTCTTGCGTGCCTTCTTTCTGTCCTTCTTTTTCTCACGCTCCTTGGATGGGGAGCGGTCACGAGACTTCTTGCGACGCGACCTGGATCTCTCGCGCCTGCGCCCGCGTCTCTTGTCTCTCTCCTCACCAGACAGGTCTGGGTCGCCGGCGCGCGCCTTTCTCTTCTTTTTGCTCTGGGACACAGGGCCATCAGTACCCTGGTGACGGCGTTTCTTCCTCTTCTTGTCGTCCTTGTCTTTCTGGGTTTCCTTCTCTGCCTTCTTCAGTTGAGCCTTAAGATCGGCGATTTTCGCCTTCATCCCTTTGTCATCCGACTGAGATGACGACAGACTCTCTTCGTCTTCGTCCTCACCGTCGCCATCCTCCGCCCAGGTTGCAGCGGCTGTGGTCGCAGAGGTCTTTTTGTCCCCTGGTGACTTGGGGGGTCCTCCGCCCGCTTCGACAAACCTCTTGTACTTCTCATCCACTCCCTCTTTCAAGACCTTGTCAGCGAGCCATGGTACCCTACGGGCTGTGGGTGCTCCCGCTCCTAGGTTGCGGTTGCGGTCACTGTGCACCATCCTTTTGTACTTGGTGGTCTCGGGGCAAGTCACTGTGGCCTGAGCACACAGGTGATACCACGCCTTCAAGATGTTCGGAGCATCCTCATCGGAATTCATCCACCACTGGTAGTAGAGATCACTTGCCCCTAAAAACCGGCCCTCGATCACCGCACCTCCTTTGTAAGTGCCAGCTTGACGCCACACACCCACAAGTACGGTTCCTTGTGAAGCTCCTTCATCGTCGTAGACCTGGAGCTCCACCACATCACCTGGGGCCACACTAGGTGGTGGCCCTTCCGTCACTCCAGCCTCGTAAAAAGGCATGGAGGTCACACCCTGCCTTGAGACGAAAGGGCTATAGAGCACATGCATGATAAATCTACGTGTTAATCACTCCTACGTCGCTCATGGCCACTTAAAGTAATATATATCTGTATATTCACATACTGTCCTACCCTTGGGGTGCGCACCCTTGCCACACGACTGCTGAATTTGTGTTGATGTTGTTTTTTTGCTGTCAGGGTTGGGTTGGAAAAGGCAACCCAAATCTTTCAAAACCATATCAAGTGAGTAACTGACTTTGACCTCACAAAACCCATTAAAAAAATACGGGTCATTATGGGAAAATCACGGGTTCCCTACGGGATAAATACGGGCTGGGAAAAAAGTAGGGTGTGTGGGAACCAATGTTGAATACGGATAATTACGGGTTCGACCTGCTTTTTCCCACACACCCAAACATTTTCTCAAATGCGTTCAATAAAGATTAGAGAAACGATGACAAAACATGACAAAACTGTTCGTGGCCAAAATGGAGCCCTCAGTGGCCACAGGTGACCGAACCATTTAGTTACTGAGTGTTGGGAACATTCCCCGCCGAAGTGCGGTTTCAACTTGGAAAATTGCCCAATCTGGGAAAACCCGAGGTTTTAGGGAATACCCGGGGTATTGAGCGCCACCCTGGAATTTTCCAGGGTTTGGTTGCTCTAGGTATATACATGTTCTAAATCTAAAATCGGCTGACTTTTTCAATCTCAAGTTGAATTGCCCGTGGTCAAACAGTAGCGACATGGAAGGCTTATCCTTCCGCAGCTTCTTTCGGCATGTGACAAATATACCATAATATACCATGGGAATCCACATTACTATCATTACTAGCATCCCGAGCGCTGAAGACCCAAGAGCTGCTGTGGAACCAGCAATATCAGCAATGTCGTGACGAATCAACACGAAAATACGAATCGGCAAAATTTCATCGAAGTGACAATTTCTGCCCGACCCGCGAAGAACTAGTACGAGCAAGCGTCTACTGCTCCTCCCTCCCCTTCTCCTTCTCCTTCTCCTACTCCTATTCCTCTTCCTTTTTCCTTGCCCAAGTTCTAAACCGGCCGCGCCGGTAGCTAGTGACACTGTCTACAGCACTGCAATCGTCTGCTGGCACCAGTCACACTAGTCACAAGATGCGCACGGTACTAAACCAATCGACCAATACCCGTTTGGTATGCGAACAATAGGCTGTTATGACAAGCACTTGCCACACAAGTTGTTTCTGATCTACGGCTCTGTCTTGGTGTCTTCTTCGTCCTTTGTTTTTCCTTTTTTTCCTCTTCTTCCTTTTCTTCCTCTTCTTCCTCTTCTTCCTCTTCTTCCTCTTCTTCCTCTTCTTCCTCTTCTTCTTCTTCTTCTTCTTTTTCTCCTCTTATCTTCTGCTTCTCTCTCCGGCTTCCACCGGTACAAGTAGCGTGCACATCCACCTCCCCTGGATTCCCTTGGGGCAATCTCTCCGCTTAGCACCCTGTCCCCTTCTATGCAGCGGTCTGCTGTCAAGCTGGAGGCTCATACATAGTACCTGGCGCTGATTTGCTGGGGGTGGTACTACTTTGCGATATGGTCAAGGTCAATAGGCTGTTACAGTTCTCACTTGCTGCACAAGTTGCTTCCGTTTTGCAGCTCTGCCTTCGTCTCCCTTTTTCTTCTTCTCCTTCTTTTTTTTTTGCTTCTCTTCTCTTCTAGCTTCTCTCTCCGGCTTCCACCTAGAGTGCACATCAAACTCCCTTGGGGCCACCTCTCTATGGCTGGCGGGCTTGCCGCAGGCAATTAAATACTTTCCTGGTATTGGTTTGCTTTGAGGAAGTCAGGGCCATCTGCAGTCATGGTAGCAAACCGGCTCCTCCACGAATCACTGCCACCGTTTGCTGAATTCGTAAAATTCTTCCCTTCCTCTCGACTTTTCCGGGTGTTATCGCTTCACGAATGGTTCACGTATTTCTGGAATGCAAACAGTCGCCGAAAAACTCAGCGAGTCGAAGGGACGATTCAATGATGTGAATACAAGCGGTTACGAGTTACGGCTGTTTCACATTCTGCGCATCAGGTAATTCAATGGCGCTAAACGCACGCTATAAAATCTTGAATGGAATGTGCTTGTCTTGAACATGCAGATCACAGGGGCTCTAGCAGCATCAATCATGCATTTATATGCATTTAATCGGATACTACATAGAAACATTGTGCTGCAATTCTGTCTGCGCAGGTTTTTGTTCTGTGGAAAGTCGCGTTCATGTCGTATTAGTTGTTTTTTGTCTCAGAGATGTTGGTTCGTTGCCAAAATTGACTGATTTAAGATTGTATGGGTGGCAAGTTCTTGCTTTGATGCTGGGCAAAATGCGTCAAAACATGTTGATACATTTTGCACAAAGGCACCCAACAAGGCTGCCTGCGAGTTGCGCTACGCTTTGGATGAGGCTGCTTGGAGATGACAAACAAATTTTGACGAATTCGCCTAAGGTTGTTTGCCAATCATTGACCCGACATGCTGCTGGTATCGGGACAGTAAGGTGAAATATGGTGAAATGATGATGCACAAAAATCTGATGACATCTGAAGATTCCATTCACAGGAACCATCTTTCCACTATCGATGCTATTGCTTTCAACTATGGTTTGCCGATGCGCCACAGCTTTGTTGTTGAAGTTGTTGTTGTTGCTGTTGTTGTTTTAAGTTGGTGGCTCCCCTTCAACTTGCTGCCCCCACTCTGGGTGACGCGGATGATGGGTGTGACAAAGTCACTTTGATTAGTTTGGTGTTGAGCAGTGTGAGGTGGGCCTGCAACCTTTCAGGTACAGTACAGGGCAGGTGCCTCGTTGAGTTGGGTCATGTAGGGTCTGGGGGTTCGGAAGAAATCTAATGATATCATCTCATGTGTATATATATATATATACATATACATATATATATATCTACATGTACACGTTTTAAGTACCTTCAAGTGACACATGGGCATCTGAATCTGAGCCGATTTCTTTTTAACACTCGGTGCAATTGAGGTTTGAGATCCCCCAAATCCAAAGGCACTGGGTCCACATGATGCCACAATCAATGATTGAGGTATGCCGGGCGAGTTTCACAGTGGATGGGACCTGACCCGATCCATGGTACTTTGCGCTTTCGATTCATGATCCGATGATCCATGACATCTTGCTCCACATCAGTGTTTTTGTAAGGCCATGGAGAGTCTGACTAGACTTGCCACAGACTTAAAGCGCCAATCGCAACCTTAGGTCATCGCATTTCCGTGCTGTGTGTGTGTTGTCCAAGCTCGAGACTCAAACGGCGACTACCAGGCTGCATTGCGGGATATTGCGGGTTTGACTTGTTAAACTGTTACATCGCAAATCTGTGCGCATCGACTGGCATCGACTCGTCTGGCTGGGTTTTGCAACATGCGGAAGTAGGCCGTGCGTTGAGCGGAAGTTTACTGGTAGGACAGCTGCTCACAAATCAATTTCGTGCCTCTACTGCCACGGCGCGCTCTTCATTAATCATTGCTGGTGTCAGCTGCCGCCGTCTAGCTCCTTTGCAGCAACCCTACTGCGTTTTATTTGTGGAGATTCCAGTTCCAGCTTTTGGAGCAGGCAGATCTGCAGTACCGCACTTGCCCCTTGCCATCAGTTTGCATCCCCAAGCTTTGATGAACCCAAAATTTGAGTGTCACCATACACTGCCCATGGGCCCATTGCATCACCATGTTTTTTTTTCTGCACCAAACGCAGGATCCAGGAGATCCGAAAACAAGCAACCCGAATTGTGCAATGCCCTGCAGCAGTCTTTCAGAGTTCAACTCGCATTGGTCCCAAAAACCATATGACCCCTCAAGATCATTCAAGATTCCTCAAGAACGACTAATTGTGTGGGCATCAAGAAGCGATTTCGATGGGGAAACAGAATTCCACCTGGACCAGATTTCACAATCTGGAATCCACAACTTTGCACAAGGGGTGACTGCCCGCCTTGTGAAGTAGCATGACATTGGCCACTTCAAGGCTGTAATTATAGATGGATTTCTCAATTTCGCATTATGATCCGATTTAACGGTTGCAAGTCCTCTCGGGGACATCACTCATCAAGCAGTTCCTGAGCGTCACTCAAGTAGACAAGCGACCTAGGCTTGCAACTCTTGAACGGCATATCGTAATTCATGCGCGTAAGAACTTGGTTCCCTGGAAACGTCATCCGCACGTTTGAAGCAGACATCATCAGCTCTGCACTAAGACAGATCCCATGGCAACTGAGGTCATTGCCTTTCATGGGTGTTGGTACCCTCAAAGGACTGTTCAAATCCAGGATCTTTGCTTCAACATCTTTGGGGCCTGCAACGGATCCCCAGTCCAGAAGTCAGGACTACCAGGGTCATGTATGGTCTACTAATGCACTGGGATATACTTATTATACTTGACCTTGAGATTTCATGTTGCATCCGCTGTGACCGCTGTGATGCTGGAAATCCCTTGATCTCAATTCAAGCTGTGCCCCAGCACCTGTTGGGCTGCTTGTGAGCTCCTTGGCAACTGGCAAAGGAGCTGCCTCCGCCACGCAGCGAGTTCAACTTGGACTACCAAAAGAATTGGGGAAAAACCATGGAAAACCCGCACATCTAGTGATTTTAGAAAAGTGATTTGTCACCATATGCAACAAAAGTAGACAATTTGAGGTAGTCTTGTTGACCAGCTCGAGCTCAAGAAACAGTGCAACATACATCCTGAATTGCAGACTTTGAACTGCAGTGCCCAAAGTTGTGAGGATCGGGATACAATCCAAGACAATCAGGCTCGTACTCAAAGCTCATTCAAAAGCTGTTACATATAATTTGACATAACATGAATATTTGCTATTGCCCAGACCCGCACCTCTTCTTTCAGTTCTTGGACCTGCCAGTGCCAGATATGCAATATGATGAATGTAGACACCGATCATGAAATGACATGGTTTTGTCTGAAAATTATAGGAACATCCCAAAATCCAACCAGGCTCATCATCATGTTCCCCATGAAAATGCCCCATAAATATGGGAACACATCGGAAAACCAGGGAAAACCAGGGAAAACCAGGGAAAACCAGGGAAAACCTCTAAAAAAATCATGGCTCATCGTCGTGTTCCCATGAAAATTGCCATTTAGCTCCCCAATCGGACGAAAACGCCGAGGCCTCGAGGGTGTTTGGCGTCCCCTCGCATTGCCCAGGCTTGGAGCTTCCGCAGATCCATTCACAGATCAGGTGGAGGGCCTCAGCGATTCCATCCATTTTGTGGAGCCAAGAAATGCCAAAACTGCTACAAAAGAACATTGCCATTTCAAAAGACTAGTGTTGGTCGGAATTGAGTATCATTCATAAGATATATTATCATTAGTATATATAAGTTATGAAGGAAACATAAGAAAACTGTACCATCAAAAGATTTGGATAAGGGTCAAAGGGAAAAGGTCATGGGAAGCCTGCATGAATCAATGGCAGACAGAGGCCTCGTTCAACGACTTTAGTCTTTCGTTGATCTCTGCCTAGCAACTCACAGCTTGCGGATCTCGAAATCGGGTCGCACAAAACTCTATAGTTTAATAAACAAAATAGCCATAGATCGCCATTAAATGAAATGGTGGTAAACCATGGTAAACCGCAAATCTGGATGTATTTCCACCTGGGTTTCTCCAATCATTGCGGAGCAAACCCAAAATCCAGCCGGGCTCATCATCATCATTTTTGCCAAGAAAGTGCCATAAATTGAAGTAAATCCCCTGTTTCTGACCCTGTTTCTGAACAAGCACATACTATATGTACAGTATCATACTGGTATTTGCTTCAATAGGTAGTATACCATTATCCCATACTTTCTTTATCAAGATATCCATATTGTCTAAATATCTAGTGGATGAGAAATCCCTAAAAATCCTGGATCATGCGCTTGCTCCACATCCAGCCTCCTGTTTCTTGTGCTCCTTGGCTTGGGCCTCGCTTGCCGGCAAACCTGCAGCTGCTTTGGCTGCCAGAGAAAAGCTGATCTCCTGGCCCGGTTTCGCGGTGGAGAAAGGTCTGAAAGCACAAAAACAAACACAAACAATTGGGACTCATGGGCTAATAAACTGTATATAACATGTATACTGTATGGAAATTGACAATCTTACGGTTAATATTTTTTTTGTGGGAGAAAACAAGCAAACTATTCCATCATATCAGCTCCCGTCAAAATCCTTTACATCTGAGTAGTTGCTATTGTTATGGTTGTCGCTTTTGGGGGGCCTATCGCTTTCCAGGGTTTTGTGGAAATCAGCATATTCGAGATCCAACATGAAGCCAAAATCATCCAAAATCTATTCCAAAACAGGCTCGGAAATCGATCAAGGAATTGTTTTGTTGGTTTCAGATGCTTCAGCACGACTTCATGTTCCTTTCATTCTGCATTCATTTGCATGCATCTTCCTTCATGTTCCTTTCATTTGCATGCATGTTCCTTTCATTTTGCATTCATTTCCTTTCATGTTCCTTTCATTTGTATTCATGTCCTTTCATATTATATTCATTTCATGTTCATTCCAATGTGCATTCATTTCCTTTCATATTCATTTCATTTGCATGCATGTTCCTTTCATTTTGCATTAATTTCTCTTCATGTCCTTTCATTTCCTTGCATTTCCATATGGAACTGGCTCTATGGCTTGGCCAGGTGACCAAGTGCAACAAATGGTCATCGCTAAGTTATCGCTAAGCTTATCGCTAAATAACCCCTCCAACATATGACATTGTTCGAAGGAAATTTGCCACAAACCGACAGAGAGAGAGAGAGAAAGAGAAAGAGAAAGAGAAAGAAAAAAAGAGAGCGAACGAGTGAGCGAGCGAGCGAGTTGGATGCCAAATGATATGGTAACTGCAGGAAACAGGGCACCACAGGTTGAATTTCCCTCATCGGTTTTGCCCGTTGTGTGCACAACAGTATTTGCTTGGTTTACGCCAAGTTTAATGGACTGTCGTGTATGGTCCCAGGTTACTTTTAGAGGGGCCCTATCGCTTTACAGTGTTCGTGCACATTTCTGACAAAAAACTCCATACTCAAGTGGTCACCATTTTGACCGTGACTCATATGGAAATACTATGAAATACTTAGGATACTATGGATGTGAAAATCCTGGTACCAGAACTGATAGCAGGATGTTTGTCAGCACATGGTATCATAGCTGACCCCCATCCCAGGTGTTTTTTCAGCATCCGCCGGCCTGCGCAGCCTTAGCTTCTTGCAGCGCCTCCGGAAGTACGTCGATTTGGGTCTGAAAATTGGGTGCAGTATACCCCCCAAATGGCCATGTCAAACATTACAGGGATATACAGGGATAATTCATATATAATCAGATAGAAAATCAGTGGATTTAGCAGCTTTTCCATGCTTTTCTCCAAATTTTCGGAGGAACCCATGGTTCACCCCAGCACAGCCCAGCAGCCTGCGCATTTTCGATGGCTCGCTGCTCTGTTGCATTGAGGAGAGACCGGCGGCTCAAAGTAGCCGCTTCGGCCTCGCCAAATGTGCTACCCAAATTGTAATATCATGTAACATCTAACAATTCGCTATGAAAGCTATGGACCATGAAATGCCATGAAAGCCAATGGTTTACCGAAAATAGTGATGTTCCATAGCTCAGTGGCTCAGTAATATTATGTTGAATTACTAGAGAGTAGTGCTTGGAACTTCGAACAACTCAAAGACATCACAAAATGCATGGCTAATCACGGCTACATGGGATAGAATATGATAGAATCAAACATAAGCTCCCTATATGTATCTATATGTTGACTTTTATGCAGCATCACTTGATTTCGAAGTTTCATGTGGAGAGGTGAGAAGAGCTGAATGATGTCAGAGTCATCATGTCCTACCTCCATCTGCAGTTGTGGGCGAGCAAATAGTTCTTCTTCCGCCCCACGTCGTTGTTCACATAAAAAGCTCCCAACTCCCTCCACGGCCTGAATCTAACATGCCACTGGAAGAATCCAATCTACGAGATGAAGATGAAGATGAAGTAACTGATCTACACTATAGACATGTACTTCTGTCATCTTCTGTCATTCCAACAGGTCCAACGGGTAGCACTACGTAGGCATCCCGGCGATTGCATCAAAGTCGCTCCTTTCTGCAGGCCGCTTCTTCAGCGAGACGGTTGCTGCCGTCAAGAGAGAACATTCCGCACCTGACATTTCTGTAATGGAAATACCATGTGAATACAATGGGAATATAATGGGAATATACTGGACTATGTTGGCATCAAAGTTGCAGATTGTTGCTTGCAACCTGCAGTCCAGTTAGTTCAGCCATTCCAAATCCCACACAAACTGAATCAATCTTCTCACACCAAAATCCTTGTACCAGCCTGTGTCCAGAAGGTGTTGCTGTAAAGCAGCAAAGCATTCCCACCACTCCTATTTCGCACCCAGCGAACAGCTTGAATAGCTATCAGATATCAAAAATCTTGAAATGTTTCACATCCAGCACAACCAAATCACATCAGCATGTTGAGGTTTCATGCTCGGAATCTCCATCCAATGAACTCCCCTTGCCACCAACTCAATCCAGGACCACTTCTCGTCCTCCTCACAGCTCCAAAGGCCCTGGGCCATGCACTCCAAGCGATTCTGAACCTCCACCAAATCCTTCAATTGCTTCTCCATCTTCTGAGTCTCCTGACATCTGGGGATGGATGGGATGGGAACCGACCATGGACACCTGGATTTTTCCTGGTGAGGTCATGGCCATCGGCCATCGCTCCTGAATGACCGCCTTGGCCTTGTCTGCAGAGTCGGTCAAGTCCTGGTGATTTCGGTGACTGCAACATCTGCAACAAGGATCAACAAGGACCAGCTTGGATACTGGATGAATTTGCCAATCCGCAAACGGGTCCTTTTGCATTTCGGCAATTTCGCTTTCTGTTTCTTGTGAGGTGGCCTGGATTGCACATTGGCCGAGTTTGGCGAAGTTGGCTCCCTGCTGAATGGCGATTCTTGTTTTCTCTAAAGATTGAAAGTGATGGAAAATGCCCTAGAAATCCATGGAGTACTCATCATTATCCTACCTATATAAAAATACATTAAAATGGCCATAACTGGGGAGGACTGCAGCCAGTTATGGTCATCATCCGCACCTCTGCCCTTTGGACCACTTCTCTGGCTGCAGCTGCTTCCGACTGAGCAGCCTGGGCTTCTGCCTCCTGGCATCACGGTGCACCATGCTGTCAAATTGGGGTCCCAAAATCCACCCCAAATCCACCCAAGAATATCCCCAGATGATAATGGAGTCTGGAATTGGATGTTACACAAGTTCAACATAGTTCAACTATCGTATTATTTGCTGATCACATACAGATCATACAGCACTCCAAAAACTGCAAACCTGGAACTGACGATAGGCACAAAATTGTTGGGACACTCCTTCGCATGGAGCTCCATCTGAGCAGCGGCAACCTTCTCCTGAGCCATTCAAAAAAGAACTTAGGGATATCAAGAAGAAATCTGGTTGATCATCATTTTTCCAATGAAAATATAGCCTTAATATGCCTTAATGTAGCGTGCAAACAAACCCACACAAATCCCACCTTGCATCTCTGTTGGGTGCACTCCAGCTTTGCTCTTCCCTCTGACAGCGCATCACGCACGATATCCAGTAGCCGCACCTGCGACCGTCATGATTGTGAGCTGTCTTCGCGCATACAATCACATCATCCAGCAACTTGAGATGCGCAACACCAAACCACAGCAAGGCATGCTAACGACATCCAAATATTGATGTTCAAACTGATTCTTTGCTGCAGAAGCTGCAGCGAAAAGACACAAAGATCTGGCTCCCAAAACCAATCCGCACCTGGTGCGGGTGAAGCCTGGGATTTGCACAGTCAAATGCGCGCCCGAATGATGGCGGTCAAAGTGCAAACGGATTGCAATGCTTTTGTCATAAACCTCCAATCTAACTCATACTTCATGGATCTTGATATAGTTTGATGGTGCCACATAGTGGCAAGCAGCGATTTTGACAAAGCCAGCCAAGTGGCCCCGTGGCATCTCGTAAGGAAAGGGAGTGATGCAAGCTGTCCTGGAGGGAAGACATTGGGACTGTGGAATGTTACTGCATGTTACTGCACCAGATTGTCTTCCTACTGCCAGTGCCTTTAGTGATTTTAGTGGCAATAGGTGCCATGTTGGTCAAATTCTGCTAAATTCTGCCAAAATGAAGAGTCACTCTCTTACCTCGAACACCAAATCTCCAGGCTCTGCATGCTGAGCTTCCCAGAAAATTCAGAATATCCCTTTCGCCAAGCATCGATCAGCATTTGTTGAACTGTTTTTGGACAATCTTCAAGTCTCAGGATTTCCTGCAGGCGCTCCGGCTGGAAAATGCTGGGAAACTCTCCAAAAGCTGGACTGGCCACGGAGACTTTTTTCCATGCGCCGGGTTCGAAGTACATCATAATTAAATGCAAACCAACTTTTGGTTTGCTTGGCCAAAGCGTAAATCGATTGTAAAAGTATCGATCAACCGTCAGTTTCTGACAATCTCGAAACTCCGAACAGTGGGCCTATCAACCTAAGATTCAAATCCGAGCAGTGCTACAGACTCCGCAACATAGTCTGGCACCAGTGGGCCACGAGCACTTTGCAAGTCAGCCCTGGTCATTTCTCCCGAGAGTACAAAGAGGGTCTGCATTCCTGTGCTTGCGTTGACTAGCAAACCATCCAAAGCGGACAGCTATGAGCAGCTATGAGCTACTGTTTGCATTGTTCGTGCACCCAATTCTATAAGAGAAAGATTTGGCGAGCCTGCAGAATTCCCGAACTCAATGTCCATATCGAGTCCTTAGCTGCAACCGTCGCACACTTTTATCATGGGCGTTGAGTCTCTCATCGACATTCTGGCAAGCTTCGATCGCCAACCATCACCATCTTCCCATATGGGCACCCTAAGGACTGTCGAACCTGATTTGCAAACTCCAGGCTAGGTTTGCCTGCGCGGGGGCACACAACACCTCCGACAACCATAAACACTGTGGGTGACAAAGGTATCGGTACAGGGCTTCTCACCTCCAACCAAGCATCAAAACTACATCGCGTTGAAACAAATCGTATGACATATACTACATGCTACTAACATCACCTATAATAATGATATCTATTAAAATCATAACTGATATAGTAAGATATAGCAAGTAATTACCATTAATTACCAATATCATCTATAACATATCGACTATCTACACCCAACACCCGTTGCTTCACCCGTTGCTTCACGCCTCCAAGAGCATCTGGCACCGGTGGCTGCCGTCCCGACGCGGAGGCTACAGCCATCAGGATGGATCCAGCAGCTGGGAATTGCTGTTTGCTCACCCCGATTTTGCCAAAATACAGATCCTCAAAAATCAATGAGGGCCAGGATGGCATGATGGGTGAAAATTCCATGCTTGAAAAAGCATGGACCTAGTGATAATGAACATCTTCATCATCATCATCGATGGTGATATTTCATGGGCAACTTTCCCTGATCCTCAGTGCTAAATTGTTTTAAGACTTGCTGAAAACCCCAGGCAATCGGTCACAAAAACCAGTTTCTTTTTACATTTCTTTTTACTCAGTTGCAAGGCGAAACACCATATTTGAGGCATAGAGTGGGCAACCATTCCTCACCAAGTAGGATGCTATGGCGAGCTTATAGTAGTTGAAGTGCTGGTCCAGGCCTCAGCAATGTGTCGGATGGTGTCGGATGATGTTGATGATGAAGCTGCTGAAACATGGTGAAACATCCAAGGGCCACACCACGCACCACAGCGCCAATACCTGGACAGTGATTCGGTGCGAAGTTGATATTATAGAATTTGGATCATGTGGATAAAATTCAGATGCTCAAGAATGAACTCACTCTACTAGTTATACGTATATATATTAGGTAAATTTAGGTAAAATAAACATCAAATCAATGATCATGAAAAGAGATTGGGAAAATGTTGGATTGTTCCGAATTACAGAAAATGGCCAATGATACCAAATGGATCTTGTTGGTAGACTGGACTAAACATTGGTAGACGAGGCCCCGAAAATTCCAACACCTCTGCCCCTTTCAGAGCCCTCCCTTGTAGTCCAAGTTGCTGTCGAGATCGATACGCCTCAGGTGCAGTTCCAAGTTGGGCACCCGAAAATCCTATTGTCTATCAATGTTTATCAATGTTTATCAATGTTTATCAATGTTTATCAATGTTTATCAATGTATCAATGTTTATCAATGTTTATCAATGTTTATCAATGTTTATCAATGTTTATCAATGTTTATCAATGTTTATCAATGTTTATCAATGTTTATCAATGTTTATCAATGTTTATCAATTATCAATGTTTATCAATGTTTATCAATGTTTATCAATGTTTATCAATGTTTATCAATGTTTATCAATGTTTATCAATGTTTATCAATGTTTATCAATGTTTATCAATGTTTATCAATGTTTATCAATGCTTATCAATGTTTATCAATGTTTATCAATGTTTATCAATGTTTATCAATGTTTATCAATGTCTATCAATGTTTATCAATGTTTATCAATGTTTATCAATGTTTATCAATGTTTATCAATGTTTATCAATGTTTCTCAATGTTTATCAATGTCTATCAATGTTTATCAATGTTTATCAATGTTTATCAATGTTTATCAATGTTTATCAATGTTTATCAATGTTTCTCAATGTTTATCAATGTCTATCAATGTTTATCAATGTTTATCAATGTTTATCAATGTTTATCAATGTTTATCAATGTTTATCAATGTTTCTCAATGTTTATCAATGTTTATCAATGTTCCGAAGAAACATTCCCATTTTGGGGTACCTACCCATTGACAAACCAAGTGACTCTAGAGCTGCTGGGACGTCATCCAGGGATTTGCCTGTGCAGGCAGTGAAACGCAGCGAAACAATGCCTGGAAAATATGTAATCGAAATATATCAATATATAAAATAATCACCAGAACAAACATGTGCTGTAGAGAAATGTCGACAGAGACATATGTGGAAACCATCATCTTTTCAGCTGAGGTGAATTCACTTGACTCACAGCTGACTCACAGCTGACTCACCTGTATCTGCAGGACCACCAGAAGTGCGATACCCACGAGCTGACACTTCATCCAGCAGACCTGCCTGGTGCCAACTCAACTGCAGAGCTGGCAGAGCTGGTGGTCTCACAAAGGAGTCAACAAAGAAGGTAAAAGCACCTCACCCACGACATAGATCTCTTTGTCTTTGGATATTCCTTTGCTTTCCTCAGTGTTGCGTTCAAGAGAGCACAGGAGACCCAGGAGTCCAAGCATATATTTCAGGTGGATTTGTCAAACTGTTTGGCCCCAAAAAGTCCAGTGGTTCTATCATTTTCCCAACTTAAATGATGTCAAAAGATGCTGAATAACCATAAAATGGCATGGGGGGAAAAAACTAGTACAGTTATGAACAGTTCCTTTATTTCTGCACTGCCTGGCCGTAGATGTAGCATGGATTTAGCGCTAAACCCATGCTCCAAGGGTCCAAAAGCCGGGCAGCTGCATTTCCAGCGTTGAATACATTGGCCTCCTGGACCCAGTCAAGGCCCATGGACTTCAATCGAGCAACGACCTGCGGCTGAGATTGATGCTCATCTTGGATGTTGATTGAAACATGTGGAAATGTATATAATGTATATATAATATAACATGTATTAACATATATATACTATAATACTATACTATATATATATATACCCCTCACTTGTATACCTTGCAAGCAAGTATATCTACTATATATACATCATATATCAAACATTATCAAACAATTGGGATACAAAAACAAGGTCACAAAACAAGACTCAACACTCAATGCTGTGGAGCCTGTGCTCGAGTCCGCATGGAATTGTTGGTGGCAAAACTGATGGATTTTCCAGCGCTTCGAAGGTCTGAAAGTGCTTTTTTCACACCATCAATCTGAAGGCAAAGTAAGACTGCGGCAACCGCAAGAGGGGTCAGTTATGGTCTATGGTCAGCTGAGAAAAAGGGAATCACCAATCACGTTTTGTTTCACCTAGGGGGAAATGGGGGAGAAACAATTCTGTTGAAATGGATTGAACATTGAGCACAGAATAACGTTTATTTACAACACTCGACCGTGAGGTTTGGACAACATAGCAGCATTCTTGCGAAAGTCATCTGAAATGCAAAAGTACACGAGAGTAGACCACACAACATGCAACGTGGTTTGTCTATGCCTTGAAATGTCTCTATTTCCCCAATGTGTGGATTCGAACCCGCATTGAAGAGAATAAAACTTGATAATACCCATGATTCCATGATTGATCAATGATGTATGTCTAGCTCTGTCACGTCTCGCATTGATCACATGCGGATTCATAGCTGTCCATATGTCTGATATTTCTGTAATTACATATTGTGATTCATAGCTTTCCATATGTCTGATATTTGATATTTCTGTACATATTGTAATATGATGCATGAATATAATATATAATAATATATATAATATTATAATATATCATTATATAATATATATTATATATTTATATATATATATAATTATATATATATCATGTCCCTGATTACATCCTTACCACGAGTTGTACTTCCGATCCCTGCCGCCGGGTCACTAAGGAGTCCCCAATCCAAATAACACCATCCAAATCGAAGACAAAGGCCTCGACACCTGCGACGTAGCATGCACCAAAGGTTGCCGGAAAGTCATAGAACTTGCCTATGTGAGCTATGTGCATCTGACCTTGCAAAGCAAAGGGGTTGGAAGTTGTATTCTATGGTATTCTCCCTTATTTGGGTGACGGATGGTGACGGTGTGAATCAATGAGTGAACATGTATAAACTGATGTGTGAACATGTGCAAACTGTGCATGAAGCATCTGCGCTGAAGTTGTGCTGACTTCGAAAATCGAGAAGCTGCTGATCAACTTCTGCGCGGATTGCGAATCCAATTCTCGGCGCTTTGACCAGGGGAGCGAAAAAGAGATTCCAGCATTCGACCGTCTGGGATAAATCAACGCTTTCCTGGCCACAATTCTTTTGATTCCAATCATGACCAGTCACACCTCAAGCTCTCTCCTGTCTCATGTTTTTGAGCTCGTTCAAACAAACCATGCTGTCATCTAAGTATCAAACGCAGCAACATATAGAATGATGCCCAGCGACAGCACTCGGACTGCGCGGTTGCTTCCGAAGCTTCGCCATGGCACTGCTTTAACCATGTCTCTGGTGAACTGGTTTTAAAAAAATAGGCTTGAACTGTTGAACCTGACGCCTGACACCCAGTTTCACGTCTTAATTGTATGGGGGTTCCACCAAGAACTATAGATTCTATAGATGTTGCATGATTTTACATGGTGTGCTCTATTTATTCCTGCGGCTATTGCAGTCTTGTCTCAGCACAAGATGCGCAAGCAGAAGCTGTGTTGAGGCGACGGCAGGGTAACTATTGGGATTCCATGAGATTCCTATGAAACACTGCAAAACTTTATGGGTTTATTCCATGGGATGTCTTCCATCCACTGATGCAGGATGTCTTCCATCCACAATATACAAATATTACAAATGGATTATATAAATATGATAATGGATGAATTAGAATTGACCTCCCCAAATAGCAACCTTGAACATCAACCTCAACTATCAACCCATCTAAGTGGCTGGATTCCTGTCCTTCACAATGCGCTCGCAGTCATTGGAGCGTTGGGACTTCTTGAGCACCTCAGGGATGGATGTTTTTGGTTACCCGGTTACCCCAAACGAAGATTTAAAAAAGACATTCTTGGGCTCTATACATTTGTAGGACCGCTAGGTTATACTACATTATACATTATTAATATGTATTAATGACATTTAGATACATTTATACTAGGATTTACATGGATTTACAAATGGATTATGCTTTTCTATCTGATTGAGAGTTGCCAGTGGATGCTATTCCGAAGAACTGCACCTCTTGGTGCACGAGAAAGCTGAAACGCCGTCGCAAGGTTTTCCTTGATGAATTGGTGGACAGCCACCAATTAATGGCGACATATGGCGACAAAATGCCTGTTCTTTGGATTTCACTGACTCGTGATCTCTGATCTTCAATGATCTGTTCCAATTTGCTACTTTGAATTTGAATGGTTGCCTAGAAGCGAAAGGGATCAAAAGAACATGTCCAGTAATTAGTGACTATGAGTCACTTTCTTTCACAATACCCCTCCGGCAAAACATGGCTTGATGAAAAACTCCCATTTATAGAGTTCGATGACTTCCATTAATCCCACATTTAGCTTTATGGTTTTCCCAATAGCCATCATTCTCCCTTACTATGCATGATTTTGCCATGAATCTCCCATCTAAATCACTGATATTCCCATTGAAATGCCCATGTCGGCTACAGGGAATTCCCAGCTACGTTTGACATCCGGGGCAAGCCATGGCCGTCCTGGAAGCTAAAGTGCCATCGGCAAGGCCCAGCTTTCCTTCAAGCCTGCGAAGCTATCAGGGATCACCATCCCAGGTGGGAAAATATGTAGACCATATTGACATATTGACTTGACATGAAACCACCATCCCGGATTTATCCCGGATTTATCCCGGATTTATCTCAACACCAGAAGCTCCATGATCCCCATGGAAATCCATGGGTTCACCTGCTTCGTAGTTCTCCGAGGGTCATACTCGTGAGGTCAACTCCCACCAGGAGGGATTGAACCTGGCAGCTGGCAGCTGTTCCGTAGTCCAACACCAGCCCTCAGGAAACCTGCAACCTATCGATCGATGTTTTTTTTTAAAGAAATAAAATTATATTATCATTACAAATATATATATATATATACGTATATATATATGTGTGTCATGATAATCAAATGAAACTTGTGTATATACGTGTATAATCGTGTATATATATATATATATACGATATCTTAATACTATATAGCATGTACATTATGGATATGTCATCACCGTCAACCTGTTCTCCACCCGGTTGCTCCAACTGGACACCACCTCTGCAACGAAGCGAGAATCGGGAATGTCTGGGGCCTGGGAAATCAAGCATCATCCAAGCATCGTTGGTTCATCCAGTTCCAAATTTGATGTTGAATGATGCATCGTGCGCTTTGCTTTTTGTTCTACTCATGAGGGGCGTTCGAATTTGGCTCGTCAGCAAACGCTGAAGTGGCTCTTTGTAGTGTCATGCTTCTCATGTGTAGCGATGTTTTTGGGCCCTGATTTGCACACTGGCATCTTGCATCGATGTCTTTTTCCCTCTGAAGGAGGGTTTTCCCTTGATGACTTGTGGAACTCTCTTGTGACATTAATTCGTTTCTCTCCTAAGTGAGACACATTGTACCCACCATCATCCTAATGATGCCTGCTGAATTATCCATCAAAACCAACTCCAGTTGAATAGTTCAATATCAAGAATAGAACTGGTTTTGATTTTCTTAATCTGATCTATCTTCACTCTTCAACCCCAACCCGTAAGGATGATTGATCCCATCTTTAATTCGGCTACAAGATCTACTTGCTACAGCAACTACTGCAGTTGCCTCAATTGGATCCTTTTCTTCTCAACTGTCGGCCTGCGCGCGATTGTTTGTGAGGACTTGTTTCTCGGAGTCCTCCTGCTGGGCGGTGGAAAGGCGGTCCCAAAACATTTGGATCCCACACTGAAATGATTCTGGCAGATGTTTGATAATTTCTGGTTGTCCCCAAGTGTTGGCTACACCCTGATGATGCACACGCTGCGAAATTCAGGCTGCTTGAACAAAGGGCACTTCAACACAGACAGAACAAGATCTGCTGTGGAAGGGAATGGTCCTTGATGTCATCAGCACATTTCAAAAGCTTGCTCGGAGCCTGGGCCCAGGGATGCCCGGGGCAAACGAGTTCACTTCCCCCTGCGGCCCCTGCGGCCCCTGCGGCCCCTCCGGCCCCTGCGGCCCCTGCGGCCCGAAATCCCGAACTCCCGAAATCAGCTGCCTCATCTCCAGTTGGACCAGCTGCCTTTGTCTTCTCGGACGGCATGTGGACCTAGCCATGGGAGGATTTCAGGAGATATGGCTGGGGATATCTGTGGATCAAACATGTGGTGATATAAGGTGAGGTACTTGGGAAGTGGATGTTCATCCCCCCAATTCTAATGCTTCCATAGCTACTGAGCCATGAGATCCCATGAGTATATCTTCATCTGGATGCTGCTGAACCCAGTTCACACCTGAGGCCCGATTCGTACAGCGCTGGGAGAGCTGCTGTTGGGCAGGGATGAATTTGTCCACAAAGTGTGAATTACTTGAGCCAGGGCCAGGGCACCGTGTGCGAAATGCAAACTGCTCAGTCGAAGAAACACCGACAAAACCAAGTGGACACAACCAAATTGCCGCGCAGAATGGTTTTCAGAACTCAAGCAGCAAACGTCGAGTCTTGATGAGTCTTGAACGACGCACTTTTGCCATCCCTTTATCTCTTTTTTCTCAATCTCATGACACTTCGCTGTCCCTTTGGATCCCATTACTCTCTGTCTCACTCCCTCTCCAGACTTGTTTTTGCTTCAGGCGCTCAGTTCTCTTTAAGAGTCCAGTTCCTGCAATCCAGACAAGGGCTTGTGTCCAAAATGAAAGGTAGCCCGGTAGCCCAACATAGCCCAACCATTGGTTCCATTGGTTCCTCTTCTCAACCACTTATTGGTGGTTTATCGAGTGGAACCAATGGGAATCAGGCCAGAGCAACACCGGTGGATCATGTTGGATCCATACTGTGGGGAGCCAACTGTTGCATTTCCCAGCCTTTCATCTGGCACTTGTCAACTTGTCAGCCTTCTGCAGCATCTGCCAGTTCCTGTGATCAAAACTAGTGAGATGACATGCAATGTAGACGCACGAACAAAGAAACTTACCATACCTCCAAAACATCCGAAGAACCCAAGGCTCTAAACAAGCACGGCCTGTCCTGCAGCCACTGCCCCATTTTCCGGGATCCAAGCTTGTTCCTGCATCATGGCAATTGGCATCTACTGTACCGTCCGGCAATCTAGCCTGGCACTGGAAAATATCCCATGGAATTGTATGGAAATTGTATTGATTCAAAATTCAAATTGTTAAGTTCCTTTTTAATATGTTTTATCTGTTTAATCAGTTTAATCGTTGGATATTATATAAAAATCCCCCATATGTGGTTGGTTCTATCCCCAGCAATTCAATCACGCCACGCCATAAGCGCCACGCATGCGCCACGCACATCCACGCCTTCGGTGTGTTTGATCCATCTCTCGCATCGCCTTCAGTTCTTAAAAATCGAACACCCAACGTCTCACAATGGCTCAAAACATCTCAAAACTAGCTGTAACTAGCTGTAACTAGCTGTAACTAGCCAAAAATATGCTAAAAATCAATGGCACAATTTTCTTGAACTTCAAAATCGGAGTGCATCAAAATGATGAAACCGTATCAATATCAGCAACATATTCCATGAAGTCCAACATGTGTGGCTCCGCGGTCGAAAAAAACCCGAGGCCGGAGCTGGACTGTGGCCTTCATCTATCCTGTCATGGCTCTCAAGGGCTCAGATTTATAAGGTACCTCTTGTGAACTTACCAGTCGAAATTTTGATACGCATCCCATCAGGTTTAAAGATTGGGACTAGGATGTACATGGAATCTGCATGAATCTCCCAGATATCATGTCTACTCATCAACCACCAAAAAAAAGTCATTTCTGTGGTGCCGGCCTCTGTCTCTCGAGCTCCAATTCTTGATGTTGCTGTCGCCGGAACTTCTCCAACATCCGATCTTGCTGCCTCATTGAGAGCAACACAACGGGCATGATGTCCATCAAACATCATCAAACAATGTTGATTCATGATGATTCATGATCAAACAAACCCCATGGCCTAAGCCCTAAGCTGCTGGATGCTAGCATATTCCCATGATATTCCCAAGTTGGGAAATCTTCCCTATGGCTCTGGTCCCGCCTTGCCAGTTTCTCGCGGAAGTCTTCCAGCTGCTCGTCTTGCTGCAACTGGGGCACCACAGGCCGCAGGTGACAGTGGTTGACACCGATGCAAGGGTGGGGTTGACATCCTACAAGTCCATCCAAAAAAAAACAACAAAACACTCAAAACTCATCGAAAACACATCCAAAATCAAAGTCTCAAACCAAAGCGTCAACGACTTAAACTTAATATGGAATAATCATATTGATCTGTGGATCTGATGTGCTGATGGTGCCTAGCATTTTGCTACAGAACCCCATGGAGTTGGGAAACATAATATAATTCCCACACTGTTAACGAGTCCTGCCGAGTCACCTGAAGCTCGAGCAAAGCTTCACGCTGCCGATGCAATCGAGAGTTTCGCTGTGCCTGCCACCCATCGAATAAGTGGATTACATTATGATAAACGTGCATAAATTGTAGCTGTATTATGATGGATAACTGTATAACCCAATTTGTAACTGGGATTGGTTAGGGATTACCCAGTCATCCAATATGATCCACTCCACTGCATCTTCAGATCATCAGAACGAAAGGAATGTGCGGGGAAGCCTTGAGGTTGCAAACAAAACACGAAGCCAAGGCGATACGAATCTTGCTGGCTGCAAGCAAAAGGATCCAAGATTTGGGTTTATCTAAAAATATCTAAAAATAAGGATAGGAAACACATATTATTTCTTTTATAGATTCGTTGTTGGTTCATCCTCATCGTCCTCCTCCTCCTCCTCCTCCTCATCATCATCATCATCATCGTCATCGTCATCGTCATCGTCATCGTCATCATCATCATCATCCTCATCCTCATCCGGTCTAACTTCTAACTATGGCATTTTTTGAGTTGTACCCCATCTGACCCGGCCTGGTGACTCTCCACCTCAATCAGCGCAGGCTTGGTGCCATCGGTGCCATCGTCCTGCCAGTGGAAATTGGGGAATGATACAAAACCATTCAAAAAATGGATAATACATAAATCCGCCCACACCGCTTTGGCGGTGAAGGCGTGCTTATTGGGGGGAAACAGCTACACTAAATGCTCAATCACATTTGTTAATATAGCAGTCGCTATATCAGCTTTAGCTGGGGGGGGGGGCCAAAAACGGTTTCGCACCGAGACCAGAATTCGGTGGTGTTTTCGACATTTTTCGAGGATTTTTGGGTGTCTGAGCGCAAGAGGGTATTGAAATGGAATTTTGGGTCATTTTGGTAGCTTTCCGGCAATGGAAAAACGGCCAAAAATGAAAAAAACATTGTACATAGCAAGATTTTGCAGGGTTTTTGGATGCCAGAGCATTGAAAACACTGCAAAAACAAGTGTTTTGGACTGACGTTATAGCAAAAAACGTGTAAATTACCGTATGCTTGACTGGAAACATTACAAAAACACTGTCAAAAACAATGTTTTGGAAGGATTTACTGCCTTTATGGCAAAAAACGTGTAAATTACCGTCTGTTTGACTGGAAACATTGGAAAAACACTGTCAAAAACAATGTTTTGGAAGGATTTCTTATATATATGTTGGAGTTGGCTACCGGCATTGGAACATGGAAAAATTGAAGAAAACACTGTAAATAGCGGTATTTTCAACGGTTGGGGAGATAAGGGAATTGGAAGCATTGTCGAACATGATGTTTTCGACCGGTTTTATGGCGACAAAAGTGTAAAGTACCGTGCTTTGAAGGAAACCATTGCAAAAACATGGAAACACATTCAAAGAACACGGGATTTGAGGGACTATCTAGGCGTCGTTGTCTAGCTATTTGAAATTCCGCAGCTTGGAGAGCCTCCAAGGGAGGGAAAAGTGAAAATTCCATAGCTTGGGAAGCTGTCACGGCGGGGAAAAGTGAAAATTCCCTAGCTTGGGAAGCCCCCACGGGGGGGAAAAGTGAAAATTCCCTAGCTTGGGGAGCCCCCACGGGGGGGGAAAGTGAAAATTCTTAGCTTGGGAAGCTTCACGGGGGAAAAGTGAAAATTCACGAACCCAGCAGTTATGTATGTCAATTCTCCTGTGCTGCTCTGCTCCTCATATTCCACACCACCCTTAGCCCCTCTCACGGACCGAAATAAACCTGCGGTGTGGGCGGCCGCCCCACGCGAAGCGGGGTGAATAATACATAAATATCTATATAGTATGATAATATATGATAATATATAGTATATCTATATATATAGGATTTTATAAGTCTAAGAGGACCCTGGAATGGTCTTAAGTCTATCTCAATGTTCATTCAGGGTCCATGTGTTGAAAAATTCAGGGTCTACACCCTCCAGTAAACCAACATCGATCCGGAGTTTTTAGCAAATGTTGAGTCGAAACTAATCTCACAACCCCCGAAACTTGGCTGGGTCAATCTTAGTTTGGGGGGTGGTATACAATGTTTGACACCATCTTGATTGAATAGACACAGTCAATGCATGAATATCCTTGGATGAAATGATTGTGAATCCATGATTTCTGTTGCACAACAATCAAAAAATGGAAAGATGTTGATTAAATCCACAAGTCTCCACAAGTATGGGAACAGTTGGAATAAGGAACTGGCTCTTCAGCGTCCACCAGAAATCAAACGTTGATTCGGCATACTTTGTCGGGCTACTGAGTCCTCTGAGAGGTCTGGGTGATCCTCGTTCTCTTCTGGAAGATCATCTACTGCGTCATCCTCAGATTGCCCCTCTTCTGGTTCTGTAGAGCCGCCTTCTCCTGACAAAAGGCAGCCAAGATTGGCAGCTTGCAAGCCCGAAGCCAACACAACAAGCTACACAATTCAGGACAATGATCGGTGGTGCCACAATCGTGTCAGAGTTTTGAAGTGATGCAGCCCACCTGCTTCCAGGCTTTTCTCTGAGTTCTTCGGAACTCTTCCTGCCTCCATTTCAGGCGAGCCGCCTTCAGAATTCTCCCCGGCATTTTCAACCCCTCCTGCTTCCTCATGAATTGGAGGGTTTACTGGTGCCTTGCCAGCATTGTCAGACTCTTCTTGGCTTTGTTCCTCATTCATTTCATGTTCTTCGTTTGAAGGCTTTGGCTCTTCAATCTGATTTGTTTCCTCTGTGTTCTTTGAAGGCTCTGCTGTTGTCTCTTCTTCCTGGGGCTTTGTCTGCCCTGTTTCCTTTATTTCCTCATTCATTTCATGCTCTTCGTTTGAAGGCTTTGGCTCTTCAATCTGATTCATTTCCTTTGTGCTCTTTGAAGGCTCTGCTGTTGTCTCTTCTTCCTGGGGCTTTGTCTGCCCTGTTTCCTTTATTTCCTCATTCATTTCATGCTCTTCGTTTGAAGGCTTTGGCTCTTCAATCTGATTCATTTCCTTTGTGCTCTTTGAAGGCTCTGCTGTTGTCTCTTCTTCCTGGGGCTTTGTCTGCCCTGTTTCCTTTATTTCCTCATTCATTTCATGCTCTTCGTTTGAAGGCTTTGGCTCTTCAATCTGATTTGTTTCCTCTGTGTTCTTTGAAGGCTCTGCTGTTGTCTCTTCTTCCTGGGGCTTTGTCTGCCGCGTTTCCTTTATTTCCTCATTCATTTCATGTTCTTCGTTTGAAGGCTTTGGCTCTTCAATCTGATTCATTTCCTTTGTGCTCTTTGAAGGCTCTGCTGTTGTCTCTTCTTCCTGGGGCTCAGTCTGCCCTGTTTCCTCCATTTCCTGTGGGGGCTCCGGCTGTTCTTCTTCCCCTGCAGTCTGCTTTGGTTCTTTGGGTTTCCCTTTATTTGCTTCATCATTCACGTTTGTTGCAACTGCTGCCTCTGCTGCCTCTGCTCTGTCAATTTTTCCTCCACCTTTCGCTTCCTTTTCATCATGAAGAGACGATGCTTGGTCTGGTTTCTGTGACTCTTCATCTTCCTTCTCTTTTGAACCTCCAAGTTTTGCGGAAAAGAAAGAAATAGAAAAAACTGTGTATAACATTGTATAACTGCGTCCAAACCAGGCAACTAGAAGCGGTTCGAATGCGTTCGATGTAGTTGGGCCAGAAAAATTGAATAAACATACTGTGACCCGCCGCCTGCCGCACTTTCCGCCTGGCGATCAGCGATGGCACCACCAGCTTGGTCGGTTGATTTAAGTGAAAATCTACAGCAACCCATGGTGTTTACCAGCTGATTTACCATCAAATACTGAAGATGTTCGCATCCAACTGTGGGACCAAAAATGGGTGGTCGTTGCTGCCGCTGATTCAGTGTCAACCATGCTCGACCACAAATCCTTGTCACTGAACTGCCTAAATGAATGTACCCGGAATTTAATTGGATCAGTCACTTTTTTTGACCAGATCTAAGTCATTCTAAGTCCATGTTAATAAAACATGCTGGGAGGTCCAAACAATTTGTGGAACGTCCCCAAAGGTTTTGGTCCCCAAATCTCTCATCTCAGACACTGAGCTGGCCCTTGCCTGGTCTATTGACTTGAATGCATGGTGAGCCTTGGCGGCCTTGGTTTGAACATAAAGCATCAATTTTCAGTTCCTACACCTACATCCAAGCACATGCACCCATGTACATAATTGGAATACCCTAGGCCCTATGCAATCGTGACGTCACTAATCCTATGTAATCCTGATGTCACTAATATAGGGTGCTGAGTTGAACTTTCTGTGGTCCATGGCCTTAGAAACTATTTGGTCTGCCGGTCACGTAGCAATGTTGTCAGCGAAGAACCAAAAGCATGGTACGGGAGAAACCCCGAAATAATGGTTTTGCCTGAAACAGGGGGATGAAGATCGGATGAGGGGGATAATTCAAATTCCTCAAAATCCCGTTTTCATCATCATGTCCATCTTAAAATGCCATATACATCCAAATATACCCTCCAGCAATCAAACATGGCAATGACTTTCCGAGCTAACTAGTCATGTTTGATTATTGGAGGGTATTGGTGGTTAATTCCCCATTGACACCCGAGACCCCACATTGATGACCAGGGCACACTTGGCGCCAACGAGGTAACATGCTCGATCTCCAACTCCTCCTAGAGCTAAACACTGGCAGAAGATCCACTGGAAACATGTAGAGGTGATGGTGAATTGCTTGGCAAACGTATCTGGTTGAATTGTAATATTATCCTATAAATGCTTTCTATCATGTACAGATCATACAGTAAATATTTCGGTATACATACATATACATACTGTGTATTCTGTAAGTATCTGTAATTTCATATATTTCATGAGTATTGCATGTCCTTACAGAAATGACAACGATGTGGTATCCACCAAGAGATTCATCGCATTCATGGCAAGCTGCAGCAAGACGCTTGCCTCTGCTGGACCACTTGGAGCTGCTTTTCCAGCACCGACCTACGCTGAGCAATGTGGGACAACCAATTTTTTTGCGGTTCCTCATTCAAATGGCCATAGATTGAGGTCTCCATCGATATCCACTTTTTATACAGGATTTTTTTTACTGTGTTATATCGTTTTATCCACTTTTTTGGACAGGCATGGACAGAACATGGACAAATTCAATCGAAGCCAACTGCCCAACTGCCAATCTGTGCTGAGGCAAGTGACTTTGGCTGCAGGTTCAGGAGGCTCCACGGAAGCGTTCGTTGCGTTCGTGGCGGTCGCATTCGTGTTGGTCGTGTTTGCAGCCTCACAGAGGACATCAGAGGAAGCGAAGGTAGGTGTCTCGTTGTGAGATCCATATGCCACATAGAACAAACATGCTGCATATATCAACATATATAACATATGCTACATATATGCTACATATAACATGCTATAATAACATGCTATAGCTGGAGATACCCATTTGGAGTAAGGAAATGAAGTGCAAATACTGCCCGTCTCATTGCCAGTCCTTTCAAAAACAGTAAGTAGGTTAGAACTTGGACATGTCTGCTTTGAAGTTCTTGAATAAAGGGCTACTAATGACTGCTAGACTAGAATGCTCTTGAAATCAGGCTGCCCCAAACAAGAAATGTGGGTCGGTGGCAAGGGGGTCCTGCATTTCTAACCGTATCTATTCTCATCATTTCTCATCTATATTGGAATCAAACATCTGTTTGAGTCGAACCAGACTTTCTGCATGCTTGTCAACCCCTTCCGTGGCATGTGCCTCTTCATTCGAGTCTTCTCCTTCCTCAGGCACGGCCTTGCCACTTTCTTCCTCGCCTTTGGCAACTGTGGTGTTCTCATCCTCTCCGTGACCACCCTCATCATCCTCAGCCGTCGAAGCTTCGGTTGAAGAGCTAGTGGTAGACGTGGTAGTCGGGTTCTGCTTGTAGTAGTCCTCCAAGTGCTTCTCCTTCTCAAGGTTGCGCACCTAGCACGTGCAAAAGATTGCAAAGGCAATACGCTTGTGACAGACTTGGATGTTGTTTTAAACGACAGTGCAGTGTCTTGTCAGAAGCAAATTTGGCTATAGGCTATAATATGTGATCAAAAGTAAGTACTCTAAATGTATATAGCCCCAATCTAGCCGACAGGTGCCAAGAAGTGCTACTGTACGTTTTTTCATGTTTTTTTCTGACTTTCGCCAATTTGGGCCAACCTGTGCCAACAAAGTGGATGTATGTTGATTTGCAGAAGAACTGCCTGTTGTTCAGCGCCGCTGTTCGCAAGCAAAGCTCTTTCGAAAGAGCGCTCGGCCTCCAGCCTCGATTTGCTCAACCATCATCAACCATAACCAACGGTTGATTCAATGATCACAGCAACAAGAACATTGGCTATTCCAATCTATATAGGTCTGTCTTTCTTTTGCTGTTGTCATCGCTGTCATGAAGTGAGAATCATTCCACATCAACAATATATTGTCACAATCACAGACACAACATTCAGAGTATTGAATAGGTATGAAGAAGTCTGAAATAATTCTATTGCAAAGTCTATACAGCCATATAAGACCCTGTCTGCACCAATCAGAAGCTCTCAAACTTTGAAATTGTTGGGAAACACTTGTGACAGCTCTTTGGCCCACTGTTCATATGGAATATGGATGGCCATACTAGTAGCTCCCAGCAGCTCCCTCCATTCACCACCGCCAAGTTGCAGTTTGCCCCCCTTGCCCGGCAGTACATCTGGCTGGACTTTCTTCTGTCTCTCATCGAAGTGCCCCAGCTGCGCTGGAGGTCCTCAAGTTACGAACTCCCATAAAAAGTCCACCGGATGAGTCCGGACTCATCCTGTTGGTCGAAATTCCTTTAAACAAAAAACAACTGCAACTCGTCAACTCGACTTGGTTCATATCTTCTTTAACAAAGCCATACACCTTTTAGCTACGAGTATCTCAAGTATCTCCAATCTTGTTGACCCTTGGCCCTGTAATGCTTTGTCCTCCATAGGTGGGGCGATGGTGCTCCCCTGACCATACATGTTCCTCAGCAATCAATGTCAATCGGACTCTGAGTCTGTCCCTGGCTTCAACAGAATCATTGCCCATCAGGAACTGACGGCGGCTTCCTTCGTTGCATTTCCTGGAAAAAAATGAGAATGATCATGAATGACAAATGAGCAATTCACGAATGAATGATTAATGGCAAAGTTGGTAAATGATGGAAAGCGTGTCTCGACTTCATAGTCATGGTCCTTGAGCGACAACCTCTGGCTGCTTAACTTTCTCCTCCTTCGGAAATAGAGATGGAGGGGTCTGAGGGGAGCCAAGAAGCCAACACATCTCCAACCCAACAGCTTGATGGTCTCGAGCCTTCTCCTCATTGTCATCGCTGTCCTCCGTTCAAAATCAGCTTAAGTCAACACAAAAATATGCATGGTGTCTTCAATCGCCGAAAACATCATCACGCGCAGCAAAGGATCTCGAACCTCGTCATCGCAACCCTGCAAGTGCAACGCAATGGCAACAAAAAGCACAAGCAAAGGGCTGTGCCAAAGTCTCCTGCAAGCAGCTTGCAGGGGCATCATGGTCGGCACACATATGTCACATATGTCACAATATTTCATAAGATTATGATAGATTGAGGATGATTACGGTGTATTAAACCGTTTCCCAGGCCTTTTCCAAAACTCGTCAAGTCTCGGTTCTCCTCATCACACAACAAGGCCACCAATAAGGCCACAGCACGGCCAAGGCCGTAATAGTTGACCTGAGACAAGTCAGAGTGAACTTTCGCAATCCTCACGTCAGACACGTCAGATGTGGATCTGGGATGATCTGGGTCCAGATCTGGGTCCATATTGGGTCCCTGGCGATGGAGGAAACTACAGTAATCCAACGGATCCAATGGGATCCTATGTAAGACCTGCGAAATGTAGAAACAAACTACGCCTGAGGCGCTCGTGCCAAACGTGCCAAATGCCACGGAAACGGAATGAGTTGGTAAAAGGACGACGATACGGGTGCTGATGCCACTGATGCCTGTTGATTTACAGTGTCACTATGTCCCAGTGACATCCAGTGACATTATGCCAGCGATCTTTTCACTATGACCATCTATTATGACCTATGATCTCTTTACTATGTTCCAACAGGGTCCAAAAGCTTTGAGTCTCTCGTGGTGTTTCAACATGCGTGTGGTCGTTGGGAGGTGTCTTCAGAAAGTTGGATGCAAAACTGCACGGCTTTGTTTCACGCTCTCAAGCAGCACTGGCTTCAAGCACCGCAAGCACTTCCTTGGCAGGGGAAACTTGACACCTTTGCTGAAAAAAAATCCACAAGCACCGGATGAATCCATGAAGCCCTGCCTCTCGTATTTGGCCATTCAATAGCAACTCTGCTCTTTCACCCATCAGCCGGTAGCTGTCCTTCGCCTCATGTTGTCTCTCCCGAGAAGATAGTTGCAAAAACATGCAAAAACCAGTTTTTAATGTGTCCTTTTAATATATGTGTGCGTGTGCGCTGTCAGAATCTATAGCCTCGCTCTTCCACTGTTTCATGCAAAACCTGCCAAATCTTCTCGGACTGCCTGGGCAGTGGCGTCTGGTTGCCGCACGTTGAACCTCAGTGCAGCTGCCAAGGTGCAGATGATGGGAAACACGTGAAAAGACACCCAGGTGGACTCCCCAAACTGGTCATGTGTAGTATTTTACCATCCCAAGGTTTATAGTTCATGGATACGGGGCGGCTGATTGAGCTTGTCGGAATGCTGCCATGTGGCTCGCAGAAACGATAGAAACCACATGCCAAAGCACCCGCTGCCATGAAGTCAACGAATGTCCTCATGGTTGACATATGTTGACATGCATCAACATCCATGGTAAATATGGTAATGGTATTGCTGAGGCGGGATGAGGTGAAATCACTGCAGAGATGTCCAAAAGTCCAACCATGGAACCGGACTGCATCATGGGAATACACAAAGGCACCCAGCGTTGTCATTTATCACTGATGGTTCAGGTATGTTCAGGTATGTTTGAGCTACAGCTACCAGTAGCCCTGAAAAACACATCTTGTCGCTTGCGGCTAATGTGCACTTCTCACTTCCACTCTAGGAGCAGCACTTTGACTCCACCTCCGACAGTTTGCGGTGCCTCCAAACAACCGACTTCCCGCTGAGTCAAATCGGCCCAAAATCAATGGTGCCTCTGATACTCCTTCAGTAGAACCTTAGTACAAACATCAACCTACCATCAACCCATCAACCATTCGGCCATTTCCAGCAACTCCAAGCTCTGCACCAGCAAGCGAGGTCTCATGATGGCATTTGCGGCCTGGGAAAGCCAGGCAAAACTTTGAGCGGAATGTGCCATGGTCAAACGATGGCAGGAATGTCGTATCATCATGTATCATCCATCCCCATGCCATGGGAATCCAAACTGACTGATAGGATCTGATAGGTATGTAAGTCCATATATTGATGGATCATGGATTGATAACCAGCCCCCCCAATGGCCATGGCATGCCATGGCTATGATGAAAAACTCAGTACCTCTCAGTACCAAGCCGTGAAGCAGGTCGCACTGGCGCACACGGCCAAGTCCACCACATAAGGCCCGACACACGAGTCCTCCGGTGCGCTACGAAGGGAGCCACAAATTCCAGGTTATTGTTAGATATTGTTATAATTTGTTATATAGTTACCCCAAAAATTGCCGGTATCAAGGGGTCAACAATTTGGGTCAACACCCATTTTCACAAGACTGGTTGATATGGTTGCCTGAATTTGATCCTGACTGAACCATTTTGAAGTTGGTTCTTGGGGGTCACTGCTGCCATGGCATTTTGCTGCTCACTTTTTCACACGGCTCTCCGCTGCAGACAGGCAACCCAAGTCCTTAGATCTGTCCGAGAATGGGGCATGCAGTATAGACTTGCCATATTCATATGAAAATGAATGCAAAATGAGCGTAAACCATCGCTTTTTAGAGGTCTTTTATGGTATACCCCACTTTGGGGCAAAATTTCAGATTGCGTTGCTCAGTGGCTGAAATACTCTGCGGGAAGGACTCCACCCACTCCGTGCGTTGATTACATGCTCCCCCCAACAGAAAGTTATAGACACCCGTAACGAGAGCCGACAAGTCTCCCACGAGGTATGGCAGCTCCAATGTCGGGCTGGAGCTGGAAGTTTCCAAGGATCTTTGCTCGGAAAATGCCTGGCCACCGTCACCAATAGTACCATACATCTTGCAGCACTTGTTTGGGCTGGAATGTTGGTAAGGTCCCAGCAGTCTATCGGAATCTATTGGGTCTATTTCAAAAGTGAAAGTTTTTGAAGACCTTTACTTTTACATACTTTTACTATATCAAACTATGAACTTGGAGGTCACTCTCTTTCAAAGCAAATTTCTGCTGTCCCTCGGCCTGCAACTTGGGAAAGTCTTGGGCAACGGAGACCTCGATCCCATCCTGAGAGGATGACCGATCGAGTCATGGCTACCATCGGGACCATGGATGGAAATCAGCGTGGAATGAGGTAATAAACCAAAACCCCAATAATCCATGTTATTAGGTCATAATAATCAATAATCATCCAATCTTAAGAACAATTAATATCAATTAATGATGTTTGAATTGGATTGAATTGGGGTGGATCAAAATGACCCCCAAATGGGGATGGTTTCTTATTGGCTTCAGCACACCATATATGTGACGGACCATAGAATTGACAAAGTGTCGCGTGAGCCCCAGAAGAACTCCGAGGAGTAGCGACCAGCATCGCGCACGTATCGGGAATAGGCGCATCCGCAGTTCACCCGACCTGCCACATATTTCAATCTCGATGCTATACCCTTCTCTCAAAAGGTATTTACATCCACTTCAGATAGAATCCATTCAATACGACTATCCGTTTGGAAATTAAATCAAACTTAATTCAAACTTAGAAACCCTTAATTCAGACTTATCAAAACCGTAGAAACATCTAATTTCCAATGCCTGAGGCTGCCTGATCTTTTGTTTTTGGACAACCATCAACTGCAGGTTGGTTCATCAAGTTCTATCGCTGAGGTGCCACAGTTCGCTCTGCTGCATCCTCCAATGTTGTCCGCCACGATGGTGGTGCCACATCTGATGAATCCCAGGTCCTGGTCGAAATCTGGGTGATTAAAAAACAAGAGAAAATCACATGTGGGTGGTGGAAATATGCTTGAAATATGTTAAGTCGAAAGATCTCAAAATCATGTCAAAAGCTAGAATGCCACATGAATGTGAACATCCATGAAATCCCTGTATACTTGAATGTGAACTAGATGGTACCAGCCACATCGTGGCAGCTTATTGCTTCTTGCATTCCACATTCCAGAAACATTGCCGAAAATCTTCGAGAAAATCGAGAAACACCTCAAACTGCCCCAGAAGAAAAAAAAAATCCATCAAACATCATCCAACCATTTCACCGTTGAGGCCATTAGGAATTGGTGGTTGAAATGGATGAAATTCAGCCTGGCCATTTAACCGGTGCCTCCAGGCGATGAATTTCCGCCACGTACAGAGCTTTGGAGTGGTCCAGGAAGACCAAATCCACAGGCCGTGGGAGCTGCGACCTGAGAAAATCTCCAAAAACACAGAACCGAGAAACATCCGACATAGAAACATGAAACATAAGTTAATATCAAATTAATATGATACTATTATAATTCTATATTCTATAAATATATATATATTATATATATATTATATATATATATTATATATATATATATTATATATATATTATATATTATATATATATTATTATATATGTGTGTATATGATATTCTTCTTGATGACGACTGCTTATGAATTATAATATTTTGTTTATGGCTACCTGTGGCTATATGATCTATGAGGATCTATGTGGCTGAAACATATGTTTCAACAGCGACGGACCTGTGCCCAGTTTGACTTCCGGAACAGCGGCTGGACACTTTCCAGCGTCCCATGCAGCACCAAGGTATTTGAAAGCCCCGCATGCCTCGGCAGCGTCACTTCCAGCCCAACTCTCCTGCGATCTGTGTCCAAAGATGGGGCTATACAGCTATGCCATGCCGTTATACCACGGTAGACCTCAAAATATCCATGGCCGTTATGGTCACCTTCGAGCACCAAGTCACTTGATGATGGCCTCTGCTTTCGCAGCCTTGTCTGCATCCTGCTCGACAGTGTAGAGGACGGCACCATCCTCAGCATCTGCCAGAGCAGTGACCTTCTGCAAATGAAATGGGTGTCACTGTCATTCAATGTCTGGGAATTCTGTGGAATTCTGTGGATCTGTGTGTTGGCCAAGGCTCTCCCAAAAGTCGAGCGATTCTGACCTTGATGGCTTCTGCTGTTGGGTGGCTGAGGAGGTAATCATGAACAGTCACAAAGCATGATCACTACCAACGAACTCTGATTTCAAATGATTTCACCAACCATCTGATCAGCCTCATGACACTCTTTGCTCACATATCTCAAATCTGGGCAGCTTCATGAACCATCATGAACCTAAGTTTCCAACCGCGGAGTATCCCAAGTAGCTCCCTAGTTCCAGCACCAATGAGGGTGAAGAGCGTCGAACCGCATCATCCAGATGGCGGCCCTTCAAGGGACCAACGTGAAGCAGCGGCCTGCCTCGGACGTCTGAGAAGCTGAGGGACCCTGCAACCAGTGGGATCCGTTCAAAGAAAACACGAACAGTCCAAATATTCAAAGGAACCTGAAGGAAAGGGAAAACAAGACTTTCCTTGGATTTATCATGATTTACCTGCTTTGAAATTTTATCCAAGCGCGTGCAAGATTCATTGCACATGAAAGTCCTCGAATGCCTGCGCTGCTCAAGACACACAATAATTTCATGTCAGCACTCACTAAACATTGCAGAACGGCAACAGCAAAAACAACGAGTGCGTCTAGCAGGTGTTCTCTCTGCCACATTTGGAAAAAATATGGTAGAAAAAAAGCAGAGGCCCGCCGTAGTCAGTATGAGCCAGTAGTAATGATGATGATATGATGATATTATGATGATATGATGATAATATGATAATATACATAATATGATGGTAATATGTTGATAATTCGTTATCACCAGCATTCACCAGCTCTTCTGCCTTCAACACAGCGTCTGGATCTCTGCTGCTCCTAAGAACTTGCTCCACTGCCAGCTGCTCTCGAGAATCTCCAGCTTTCTGCGACGGCCTCTCCGGTGAGTGGAACGAATAGGAGCGACATCCATAAAGAGATGGACAAGGTGTTGGTAAATGTCCTGTTTGGGGGTGAACATCACTTTCAAGTAACTCTTGGAGATTATATTCCCCAATAGTTGGGTCGGGTAATGTTTAACTGGGATAATTAGGAATTACCAACCTCTGACAATTCTTCCGCATGTTTAACTTCCACGTTAAAAAAAAAAATGATGAAATTATGGACATATTTCTATCCACTGCTCAATACCCTGCGAGTCGTTCCAAAACGTACGACTGGTTGGTCAATAGATGGAGATTCTCTGTTCATAGCTGATCTTCCCTAGTTTACATTGGATATATTTGGATAATATAATTTAATAATGTATAATCCCAAGCATTTTACTAATTTACTACCAAAATAGGGGATACCCCCTGCTGATCAGTTGGTTCTATCCGTCTCTTCCCCAAATCCAGTCGGATTGGAATCCAAGTGACGCTTGGGTAGAACCAAAATGGATCACCCTTACAAATCCATACGCATTCCATAGTACAAGCAATGATTATCATCTGAAACCCTGTAAATTCCATATAAATCCCCTATAATTATCCATAATTATCCATAATTAAATCAGAATTCATCTGTTGATTATCCATCTGTTAATTATCCACAATAAATCCCAGTCAATCCACACCTCCGTTGCCGCACCTCCAGTCCTCCTCTGCGACCTCCCCAAAGACATGTGGCACCAGCGGCAGCCGCGTCAAGCCATGGCAGTGCCGATGCACCGCCCTGGCGCGGGCCCAGGAGCGCCCTGGGCTCATCTCGCCTGGCCCCAAAAAACCAGGAGGGATGTAGGGGATTCACCATCAAAGATCATCAAAGAAAGGTGGATTTCATGGGATGTTAGGCTATATATATATATATATGATTATATATGGATATATTAGGCACCTTTAAGTGATATGGGGATATCATGCTTCATAACTCACCAACGAGAAAATTCATCCCGAAGCACCCTCATATGAAGCACCAGAAACCATGGTGGATGTACGAGATACAATTATTTGGGACCATCGAGGAGATAAGGGGGATATTGCAAAGTGATATAAGTTACCTTTTCGATCTTTTTGGGGGTACTATTTATATAGACCAGAAAATCATCTGTGGACGTTTCTAGCAGCAATTTGGGCTCATCTCAACACCATGAGAATCTGACTCAGTACCACCAGGTACGGCACCTGCCCGGAAACCGGTGATGAATTGGGCCATCCGAAAATTGGAACTCTTGTTTGAGCAACTGCCATGCACCACCAGCTGGTTCCAAAGAAGAAAGCTGCCAGCCCTCATTGGGATTCGCCTGGAAGGTCGAAAACGGTTCTGTTCTTAGCAAATGCATTGGAGGAGTGAAGGAAAAACTGGGGTCAGGCTGAAGTATTTCAAGGTTTTCCATTTCAAATCGTGAATTTTGTTTGGATTCATGATTAATGTCAAGTGATATCGTCAAACCTTTGATTTACCCGCCGGCAATCTGACCTGGCAAGGGAAAATTCATGAAAATTATAATTTATCACTAGTTATCACATGTTTTTCACATCCATGCATAGACGAATTCTCCTTCCAGACATCCGGATGTCCCTGGGAGTTTCAGTCTCTACGGCCTCGACAGCTGATGAATAGGATCCAGGTTGGAAAATTTGAAGCTGCCGCCACCAGCAGCTCTGCGTAGCACCCAATTGTCATGCTGGCCGCTTTGTGCCAGGTTGCTTTCCAAGTCACCTCCCAAGCTGATGAAAATCTATCAAGTCGGTGGGTTCAATCCCAAACATTACGTATTTGTATATATATATACATATACGTATTTATATATATATACATATACGTAAATATAAATATATACACATACGTAATATATATACATATACATATACGTTTAAACATATACATACATATACATATATAAATACATACATACATACATACATACATACATACATACATACATATATACATATATACATATATACATATATACATATATACATATATACATAAATACATATATACATATACATAAATATATTGAGACATGTATACATATATATATATATATATATATATGTTTATTTATATATACATACATACATACATATATATATACTGTACAAATATATATATATACGTATATATATGAATGTGTATACACGTATATAATATATATATATATACATATAATTATTTATGCGTATATATTTCTAGATACGTATAAATATAAATACATATGTATGCACAGATACACATACATATACATATATATATATGCATATATACTTATATATACATAGATACATATATGCATATATGCATATATACATATATACAGTATACATGTATACATGTATACATTTATATATATATACATATATACATAGATTCAATATATATATATACACATTTACATTTATACACATATACAGCATATACACATATATACACATACACATGCATATTTACGTGTACATACACATTTACATATACATATACATATAATATCCATATACATAATTGATATAAATCCGCCCGCACCGAAGGTGCCGAGGCGTGGTAGTTTAGCAGTGGATTCGACCGGACAAGTCTGTCAGGGTGGTGCAGCTTCAGCTGGGGGGCATTTTCGACAGAAGGGACGGTGATAATTTGCACATTTTGCAGATCGGCACAAAATCATCCAAATGCTTCGTTTCGATCCGACCTTGCCACAACATTGGCCCGACTTGGGGTCAACTTCGGCCAGCAACGCCCCAACACCAATTGGCTCCAACTTCGGCCGGACTTGGCTCCAAGATGGCGGCCATTTGGGAGCAAATTCGCCCCAAGTTGGTGTCCATATGGCTTCAAAATGGGGGACATGACCGGCCCAATCCGAAATCCTCAAGACGCCCGCTTTCACTACGTAGTATTTTCATGTCATGTATTTTCCACGTTTTTGTTGCTATCAATGATGCTCCCCATGTTGTGTCTCCGTTGGGCCCAACTCTTTGTGAAGCCGTCACCAAAGGTGCCAAGTTACGGCATGTTAGAACTGACTTGGACCATGTGCATCACACGGCTTCAACTTGGAGTGCGTCTGGATCGCTTTGGGTCCAACTTCAGCCCAACATGAACAATTGGCGCCAACGTGCGCTCTAGTTGTATCCAAGACAGCGCGGCCAAGTTGGGCCCTTTACGGGCAGCCCGGGGCCAAGTTGAGCCCAACCCAACCCAGTTTTGCAGACTCAACGCGACATGTTGAAATTTACATTTTTACCGCTATTTCCATCGTTTTTTGGCTTTGATGGGGGTTCGTTCCAGGCTATGTTGCCCACATTGGGCTTGTCTTGGGCCCAATTTCGGCGCCAGATGCCCCCGCACTTGACTATGTTGCGCATGCTAAGCCTAACTTGCGTCCAAACAAGTTGGCCCGAGTTCGGCGCAAGTTAGGCCCAAGTTGGGCCCAAGTGGGCTCCTGTACGGCCCAACTTAAGGGGGTCAAGGACGGCCAGGTTTGACCCCAGTCGGCTTTGGTTGGGCCAAGTACGCCCGCTCCTTTCCTCTCTATACAATTCTCTGGGTGCGGGCGGTTCTCGTCGCGAAGCGACTCGAATATAATGTCTCAGTGTTCCATTATGTGCGTAAAGAAGGACCACCTTCCCAAAAGGAAAAAATGGGTTTAATAGAGTTGATAAGTAATAATGTTCGCTCCAGATTTGTAGCTAGGTTCGTAATTGTGCAATTGTGGCTAGAATTTCAAAATTATTTGCGGTCCATGTCTTGAGGCGGCCTTGGTTCGCTATTGTGGCCATTTTTTTGGGCATAGCCGGCATAGCCGGCATAGCTTTAAGAAAAACGTGCTTGTCTGTGTGAACTAACCTTAGGACATGAATGTGAGACAGCGCTTTTTTTCCAAACTTCAAGCCTTTCCGAAAGGATCTAATCTCTTATTACACCATTCTTAAAAGAACCACACCTGAAGAAATTTCCAAGCCACTAGACCACGAGAGGGTCCAGTTCACTTTAATAGGTTTGTTCCCTGGCTTTAGAATTGTAGCAAACTTTTCCTGAGGTGATCCTGGAGCCAAGAAAAGAAAGAAACGCCTTATTTACAGAAGCAACTGCCAATTTCAAACTTCAAGCCTTTCCTAAAGGATCCAATCTCTGTCTCTTTCCTTTTCTCTTTCTCCTTTTCTCTTTCTCCTTTCTCCTTCTCTCTGTCTCCTTCTCCTTTCCTTCTCGTTCTCTTTCTCTTTCTCTTTCTCTTTTCGTTTCTCTCTCTCTCTCTTTCTCTCTCTCTTTCTCTTTCTCTTTCTCTTTCTCTTTCTCTTTCTCTTTTCGTTTCTCTCTCTCTCTTTCTCTTTCTCTTTCTCTTTTTCTTTCTCTTTCTCTTTCTCTTTCTCCTTCTCTTTCTCTTTCTCTTTCTCTTTTCGTTTCTCTCTCTCTCTCTTTCTCTTTCTCTGCTTCTTTCTCTTTATCTTTTCTTTCCCTTAACTTATTACACCCTTCTGAAAGGAAAAAACTCGAGGTACAAAGGCTGAAAAAAACAACATGCTGAACCATCTGAACCCCATTCGCTACAAGGACGAAAAGTACTACAAGTTCATCAGTCAAGAAAAGAATTATTCTTGAAATCCTCACTTAAATGTGTAATTGCATCTTATCTATTCTTATCTGTTTGCGAAACTGAGTCCATGTTCGACCCAAAGGCTAGGATTTGAGATCATTTTGACTTTCGGGAACATTGATCAAGTAAAAACCCAGTGAAACCCCCCATTTCCACCTCCAAACTCCATCAAAACTCCAAGCCGCAAGCCTAGTGCTTCCAACCAGGCCATGAAGGATCGGTGAAAGCCAGGCACAAGTCGGGTGCCACCATCCTGGATGCTGAACAATCATGTTCCTAGCCATGGCCATGGCAATGAACGAAAATCCATGGAAAATCTGTGGGGAAAGTGTAAAGATTCCAGACTTTCAGACTTCCCCCAAGAATTTCACACTTCACCGACTTCAATAAAATTTGAACATATAATTGACATTAATTGACCATGGAAAAGTCCGTTGAACATCTTGATCAATGAATATCAATGAATATCAATGACACTAAAAATTGACCAATGACTGGTGTCTCCCGGTCCTCTTCCAAGTTGTCCAGCAGGTTCATCACCCCTTGCACATGTTCGCCATGTTCGCCGCCACGCCCTTGAACAGCCGTGAGCTCTGCCCGGAAGTCCTGGCATCGACGCTTTTGTGGCGCAAGTGGGGATGGAAAACCATGGAAAACCTAGGGACAGTGTAAAGAAAACGACATGAAAACAGGGGATGAACTGGATGAACATCTACAAATCCCAGCTAGTCTGATGTAAACATATGTAAACTGTAGGGTATGAGGCTTGGATCGCCATGCTTTGTGCAAGAACTGGATGAGCAAATGACCCGGTGGGTCCTTTCTGAGAATCACCAAATTTGAAAACACAATAGACCTACTGTGGATGGAAGAAATCCTGCACCAGTTGATAGATGGTTTATCCCATTATTTATAGGGTTTCAACCATCCAAGATGGTGCAGGATTTCTTCCATCCACTGTAGTGACTAGGGATCTAGTGCTGAATTTCACAGCTGAAACTGGGTGCCATTCCCAGAGAAAATCACAGCCTGCAATGGAAAGCGGTGGTCTCCAGCGATGCTTGTACCGTACCTGCTTTCAAACTCCACGGTTGCATGTCAGTGATACATGGTTTAATAAGTTAATATATGTTATTATATGTTAATATAATTATATACGACTAATTAATATGTCAAGCTTCTTCTAATGGAAAGTAACTCCTAGAAATTCGACTCTTTGAATCCGCAGGATCAAGAAAGCATGAAAAAAAACATGAAAGTGATGAAACTGTCATGTGAAATCCGTAGCTTTCGGTGGCCTGAGGCTTTCGATTTCTGTTGGCTTCAGCCCAGCATAGGTCCACGGATTCACGTCCAGGTGCAGATTTTCAGCCGTTCGAGCGCCTTCATCATCACCCGCAGGACGATAGATGCACCACCTAAATGAACGGTCGCTACGAGATGCCAAAAAATGTTGGAGGAGGATGCAATAAGGATGAAGATCATGGGGCTGATGAGTGTCCCTTTTTTCGGCTGTGGCCTTCCGACCTTGAAAATTGCTGGCCACTTCAGGATGTACATTGGATACAACGGCTGATCCCCCACCTGTCTTGCGTGACCACCACGCTGTTTGGATCTGGATGAGGACTGTCAAAATCCTCCACTGCATCAATTCGTGGAAGAACCGCATCCAAGGCTGCATACACACGGGCATTTTGCCGATTGGCAACCATCTGCGGCGTGAAGACAGCCTGGCAGCATGTGTTACAACGGGACTTTTGATCTGCCAAGCAATGGAAGGAAATTCCAATTTGTAAGCAATATTGTTACGAATAAAGAAAAACACCTCATATAATATCATATACCTGGTAACTATAATGACTATGCTTTCCTGCCTTACAAAATTCATGCTTCATCATGTTTCCCCATAACAGGGCTTGGTATACATGTCCTAATTTTTCACATCACCCAAATATTGGCGATATGATCTCCAAATATCTCCAACAGCTACTTGAAAGTGATTCTAATGTGATGTTCAAAATGCCCAAAGTGGGACATTTACCAAAGCCTGCATCATTTCCCCCGCCATGGCCTGCTCTTCGGGCAGCCCGTAGCGTTGCGACGACAACAGGGGCCAGCTCTCGGGGGCGTCACGCGCCAGTCCTGGAACGACAACTGGGGGAAGAAAAATGATGAACGACTAGTAGAGCTGAAGGACTATTCATCCCCATTAAAAATAGAGGATATATATATATATATATATGGATATATGATATATGATGATATATGGGTGTTGATTTTGATCCTGTTTTATCATGTAACTTGATATATGTTTTCAGAAAATGATTTGATCATGTTTTGATCATGATTGACCCATCACGGATCCCGGTACCACAAACGCGCAAAGGAAGTCTGGTAGCTGCCGGTCCTTCGGTGCGTTCTTCCAAGGAAGTCCAAATCTCAGCCACTGTGGCCTCGCCTCAACTCGCTCGCGAATCGGCCACAGATTGGGGGTCCCATAAATCATGGACCTGCAGAATCCCATGAATCATCTCACGTCCCACGTCCCTCCGGTTTACAGCAACTGATTCATGAACAAATTCATTGAGGCATCCGCACTCAGCGGCACTCAGAACATCTTTGAAGACAACGAAGCCGTAGGTCTGGAAGAAACTTTGCGCCGCAGGAAGATCATCAGTGCTGAAGCTTTTCACCTCGCGCAGATTCGCGCAGTGACATGAGAAGAATCAAGTGGTGACATGTGGTGACTTGGTGCGCTTGAGTTGGTTGGTTTTGATGACTCATGATGACATGAACTGTTGGGATTCTCAGTAAATCCCTGCAATACATTGAAAAACCATCATGTTTGAAGCTTTGCCAGTAAGCTCTGCACATATCGGGCATCATCTGGACATCTTGGCAAGGCAACTGCCTCTGGATACGTCGACCACTCAGGCCTCCTGATTTCGGTGATGATCGAGGAACACCCTGCAGAGGACCAGTGAGGACCAGCATGTCACGTTTACATACAAGTCAACAGCTATTTTGAGATACTTTAAGCTATTTTGAGTCTGGAATATTGAACATATTGAACACACTGGCAAGTGCAAGTCGCACACAGTCTTGCCGTCTCTGCGGATTTTTTTTATAACAAGTCTTTCGCAAATTCGTCTCATACTTGAATCATGTTTGATCTGTGTTGCCAGTGTTGTTGGGAACACCCTAAAATCATCCAAAACCCATGATCCTCCATCATTTTCCCAACATTTTCCCATCATTTTCCAACATCTTCCCTATGCCAATGGCATAATTTCTCTGAGCGTCTGTCGCTTCTCAGGCTTCCGCTTGGCCAGGCGCAAAGCCTGTGGGATCCCCTCAGCAAACGTTGGTATATCTACGGGCCATTTATAGATGATTTACATATTGAAAAATGATGGTTTCGTTGGTTTTCCATGGGAAAATATGGAAAATCATCGAAGTAGATAAGATTGATAAGGGATTTGAAAAGCAAGCCATGTTTAATGATACCGGAAGGTGGAAATGGTGTGGATTCATGGGACAATATGGGGGATACGGCATGGGTATAGACGGCAGAGACCCAAAACCCGGGTACCCCGTACTTTAATGCATTTCACATCCAAATATATCCAAATAACTGGCGTTTAGCGTTCATGCCCCAAGTGTAAGAATATCATATGTAGGTTTTGACATGTTTTGAGCTCCATTGGGGCAAACTATGACACGCCAAGCTTCACTTGTTGGTATCATTGATGAATGTTCGGCAGTGTGATCATGGGGGACACCAACCAGTTCAGATTGTATTGCTGTGAGTCTTGTGGCTTCGGGTGAAGATTCAAGATGCACATCTGCACGATTTTTTTACAAAGCATCATGTGACAGAGAAATTGCTTCGACAGCCCCATGCTCTGCATTTTTGTTTTGATCACAAGCCGACTCACCAATTCTGCTGAGTTTCATATATGTTTGTCGTGGCGAGACCCTGGTTGGTTTTCAAAGCATCGGTGGATGTTCATCCCCTGTCCTTGGAGATCAACGCCAAGCGCTGTCCACAGCGTTGCCGCTCTTCAGGACTTGCAGCAGCAGCCCTTTGCACATCTTTCAAGGCAGCGTTGTACAGCTCCTGCAGCGCAGGTTTCTGATGGTTTCTGCATGCTTCATGGGCACGATTGTTGCTGGATGGATCTGGATGGTATCGCCAATGAATACGATGGGTCATTTTGTAATCATTTTGATTCATTTTGTGTTGTTTTCTTAAAAGCCAGGAAAGGTCTCAAAATGTCTCAAGCATCTCAAGATTTGAAATGCTGCAAACCACAAAATACCATCCTCGACTTCTGGTACCGAGAGATCATCCGTATCCGGAATGTCCGGGTTTGCATCAATCGGTGACATATCAATGTCCCGCCATGGCTCATGGCTGCTAAGGTTCTACATGTCAACAACTCGCTGACTTGAATCCAGAAGTGGGCACTTGTGACTCTGTGGTCTGGACTAGAAGGAGTGATGCTGCTGGACTGCAACATAGGTCATCTCTGCTATATGTTTATGCTACAAGTACAGAAACAAGTGCTTTACCAAGCACACTGTGGTGACTTTGAAATGGATATGTTGGATCCACAATGTCGTCATGTTTAGGCTTTTTTACAGGAGTGGCTGTCAGCCAGCTTGCTGGCCACGACTCCGACATGTTCGAGACAGGCCATACAGGGGGATGGGTCAAAACCCTGGTACCTAGTGAACCCCAAAATAGCTGGTAAATGGATGTTCATCCCACTAAAAATGTATCTATAGGTATTGACCCATACCCACACCAGTTTGAGAAAGATCGGCAAACCCAGGCCCTGTTTTGCTCGCAGAGCTCCGGTCAAACCACCACAGCATCGCGGCGATCGGGATCGGAGGATAACCAGCTTTGCAGCAGGGAGACCACCTTCCGCCTCGGGCGATGAGATTCATAGCGGTTCCATCTGGTTCCTATCATTTCCTGTAGCAATTTGATGATAGTTTCTTACTGGATATTGGCGGATATTGAATATATTGAAAGAATTTGAAAGACGCGTTTAGCTTGTAACAACCATCCCTGTTCAAAGTGTAACTCAACAAAATGCTTCCACCAGCCTGACCATCCCAACAGCTGGGAGATCCTTTGGATGGGAGGCTGCCAAGTCATACATATGTCCAGCTTCTGGAATCTTCAGAGACACCAAAGTGCTGGACAAAGACTTCAGCCTGGCATCTCAACTCGACTCACTTCATTTTTAGGATGGGTCAAAATGTCAGATCCCGAAACCAAAAAAACATGGTCGTCAGTTTTTTTAAAAAAATTGGTGATGAAACATCCATATTTTTTTTGTGTACCCAACTTTCACCCATCCCCATCCAGCCATCGAAAAAACGGCATCGTTTCCTGAGCCCCGGACACGCCACCACTTCGCCAGGGATCCCAGAGTCCGTTGGTGAAGATGATGCGGCTGCTGTTCTCAACGGCAGACCTCAGATATTTCAGACCCACCTGGGAAAAATGAAAAGATGTGCGACAATAAGATACAATAAGGCTATAAGTATCTATAAGGTGATATAAGCAGTTACGCAGTTTCTTTGGAAATCGTGGTATGAATTCAAGCAAGTGGAAGTCAAAAAGGACAAAAACTGCGTGGAAAATGATTGAAATCAGGCAAGAAACAACCACGACTGGTACCACGTGATCTGAGGTTTGATGCTCCATGTCTGCTGGCAGTAGCGAGACAGCTGGGTTGGACCCCATTCTCTAGGCGGAAACATATCGCTGATGTTGTCCGTGGAGGTGGAATACACGATCTGCCGGCAGGCTTCGACATCCCACGAGCGGCCCCACGCAGAATGCGAACTGCCACAGCCGGTCTGGTCTGCACAGTCCCGATACTCGCCGTTGATGCTATGACACGCCACAGTGCCTGCAGAAACCACAGGACCCAAGCCTTTTTTATATGTCTTACAGATACATGCGGCAACCTCCCAGGTTTCCACCATTGTCCAACATCTCCACATTCCTGCAATCCCTTAACAAATCATGATGTATACATACAATATATATATATATATAATTATAATATATTATATAATATCATATAATCCAACATTATATATATATACATAATATGGTTAAATGTGGGTTTGGGGCGTTTACTGCTGTTTAGCCAATATAACATGAATATATCCCCATGTCTGCCATGTCATGCGGCCTGTGGCATTGTAGTAGGATCCAACGGCTTTGGCCAAAAATTCCAAGGGCGCCAGCTGTTGGAAGTTCCGTGGCTCGCAGGCGGCCTTCAACGGCCAGCCCGGCAGGCCCTGGCCGAAGAGGTCCAAGGCATAGGGGTAGTTCCCCATGGCCACCTGCAGGTGTAGGGAGAAACCAGCAGGAACAGCAAATATGTTTGAAAAACATGGAAAAACCATGAAAAACGTGGGAAACTATGAGAATCTATGAGAAAACGAAGGGCAAGTTCAGAAAAATGAAATGTGATGGATGCTAATGTTCAACCAAATATTTATGCCAATGGTCCACGCGCATGCAGTGTCTGGATTCTGAAGATGAAGTGAACAGGATAAACTTGGACAGATCCATTCAAGCAAGGTACTGTGACAAAGGCGTTGCGCGCCCATAGAATCAGCTCATCCAACTGGAAGTTGTCACTGCAAAGTCCAAATGCCTCTTGCAGTGTTCTCCTCTTCCCATCCGCCAGGTATATTGCTCAACATGTTCACCCCGGTTCAATGGCCATAAATCAGGGTTAGGCCCCAAAGTCCAGGACCAACCCCATGGTTATAGTTCTTTAATTATAATTTATATAGTATTAACATGTAAATGCTTGGGTTTATACCACCATGTGTGGGATTCTTAAAATGCATTTACAGTGAAATATCTTAACATACGTATCTTAATATGACAAATTTTGGATGATTTAGGGCTCCCATCGGATCCCCATCTCCTGGGCATTTCCCGGAGCACCGCGAAGCCGCGCCGCACGCGCTCCGCGCAGCCGCAGCTGTTGGCAGAGGCCGCCTCGGTGACCAGCCGGAAGAAGCCCTTGACGCCCTCGAAGCGCAGAGGAGCGGAGGATGCCACCTAAGCATGGCGACCGAGTTGGCGACCCACTGGATTTGGGGGGATTCCCCAGTGGATTAACCCAGGGGAAAATCATCAGCAAATCCAGACATGGGGGAGCTGCAAGATTTGGCTATTCTATTTAAATGTCTTTATAATATAATATATTAATATACGTAGGTTATCGTAGGTTTTGTATTTTAGCCTCCAAAAGATTGGGGTCAACAAATTGAGCTCCCGTCAATCTCTGGGTTTCTCATGTTTTCTGGCTGAAAAAAAATCAATGACTCACTGAGGGCAACAAGTCGCTGAATGCTGTTGAGAAACTGCCGCAAAAACCAGTTTCGGGTACCTTCTCAGAATCCCGATGTATCATGATATATCATGATGATTTCTCTTGCAGAAATATCCAAAAATACCCTCCGGTAATCAGAGGTGGCAATTGAAATTTCCCCCATTCATATAGATACTTTGCCCATCAAAACCTCCATTTATCCAGAATTTTCGATTGCCACCTTTGCTAACCGGAGGGTAGCCGTTGATATCAACATTGTCCCACGCCTGGCTCGCATCCAGCTGCTCAGCATACCTCCATAGGAGCCTCCAAAGACCACCACGCTACGCTGATCAGCTACCAAGGACCTGAGGTGTGACATGGAGCAGCACCAGAAGGCTTGCGAAAAGGCCCCAAAAATTCATGTTCGATGATGTTTGAGTATAGTTACTTAATGTATCTTAATGTATCTTAATGTTATATACCATTATATACCTATAGTATCCTATAGTTCAATACCAAAGATTGCCATTGGTGGATCCTTTGGACCAAGTTTGACTCGTCCAACGCTCCAAATATGTCCTAAAATGCCAGGGTTTCCTGCTAGCCGAGTAGCCGGATGAGTTGAGCATAGTCTTCAAGCGCTTGTTCCACGGTCAGGTATTGCGTCTGCTGTTTGCTAAAATCCTGGCAGAAAAAATCACAAAAAATCGACAGGTGTGACTTTGGACCATGCATATCCATGCATCCCATCTCTTTCCAGGCTTCGAAGACTTGAAGAATATTGGGAGACAATACAGTTTTGTACAAATTTGCCCTCATGGATCCAAAGATCTCCAAAGTGTATGAACTTCTCCAAGGATCATGGGGCTTAATGCATGTCACTTTTCAGATGCAGCATGATGAAGAATGAGGCATGCCTAGACCCTCTGTGTCATCGCTGAACGCAATCAAGCCACTCGACCGAACGGGAGACTTTGCCCGTAGAATCGGTGTTCTGCGAAAACCACTTGTCCACCCAACGCAACCTCAAGCCACTGCGATCACAGAACAACACTGAATAGATCCACCAAATGCCGCAAGTCACAAGCGAAGGCATTTTCTTCACACCCCTTGTCACTCCAGAAATTACATATTAGAAACATTTTAGTAACCAGTGGCCACTGTACTGATAGTGGTTCTGGGGATTATAACGGCTAAACCGTTTAGTTAACCCCACTTCATACTGATCACATCCCATGGGTACACCTGTGGCCCAGTCGATCATGGTCGCCATGGCGCTGCAGCCTCCCGCAGAAAGCCGCTAAAGTTGGCAAAGGCCTCCACGTCGCCTTCGTTGCCGCAGAAGAAGAGCAACGGCCCGTCTCGCTCTCGCTCTCGCTGCGCCTGTGGCTGGTGGAAGTTTCCGAAGTCGTGGTGGATCCGCAAGTCACCATCGAAATTGGTCTGACTTGGATGATGGGGGTACCCCCGGTACATCCCGGTACCCCTATTTTGGGGCAATCTCCAGATGACTTGGAGGTGACTTTGCTGGGTGATTTCTGGAGGACTTGGTGACTTTGCTGGGTCACTTCGGATGATTTCTGGAGGATGTTTTTTGGGCTGCAACCCTAAGATGATGTTGTTGTCCCTCGGGTCTACTGGGGCATATACCCGCAATCTGATGGGGAAAATCACACGTGTCCAATGGATTTGGAGGCTGTCACTTACAAAGAAGCACTTTTCACCGCGGGATAGGAGATGGTTGCATGATGGATAATCTCATGCAAGATCTGTGCACCCATGTGCACCCCAAAAGCCTCACCAAAGATAAACCAAATGGAGGCTGTGTAAGACGGAGAGTCACCACGCTCAGTTCGGCTTTACCCACTGCTTCTTGTCCTGCTGCGTCTGCATAGCTCCCTCCGCGGATGGCCTGGTGCACCAGGCCATCCGCGGAGGGAGCAAAAGAGTCATCCATGGTATACCATCCACAGTCTCCACTGGGCGTGGGCTCTGATCTCTTTCCCGTAGCATCGCCAATCGCACCAGTGTCTTCTCCTTGGCGAAGTCGTAGGTCTGCATCTTGAAGGCAAAACGATTCAAGCAGAGGGAAAGATGTGGTGATGGTCGGGTGATTTCGGTCCACTTCACTACACATGTCTTCTGGCAATTTTAACATGTGACCAGATTCTCAGCATCATGCATCTCTTCACACTAATTAGATAGGGTATGAAGAAGTTTCTGCATGGTCGATGCCACTCTCTTTGCTCATAAGGGTCTGCCAGCCAGCGCACAATACAGCTCACTAACAACTCTCAGTTTGGACGCGTGGACGGGACATCCTTCCAAACGTGGCCAGGCTCAAGACATGCTAGGCTAATCATGAAGTACACGAGCCTGTGGATCTCATCAGAAGCCTCGAAAGTTTTGAGCCTGGCCCACGTCCGAACCAAGAGCTGTTCAGGTCGCTTTGCTTCGTGTCGAAAATTTTGAGGCTTCACTTCGGGTGGTCTGTGCCATAGCTTCCTTTGTCCAAAGGAGACTCCTGAAAAAAGGAGCTGCTCACTCCACATCTCTGTCTTCTGGGAAGAGCCACGGGACATTCATTTTCGCATGGCCATGGCTTGAAAATGAAGCCGCAAAACTAGTGATGTATCGTGTGCCCCATTCAAGTTTGGGATCTTTGGGAGCTGCATTCAGGAGTCACAATGACAATGCTTGGGTGGAGCTGGTGAGACTCCCTGAGCTGCCGAGACCGGTGCTTGAGGAGTTTCTGCAGCTCCGATTTGGGCGGGTCATGCAGCATCCAATGCATTGGCAGAGGCTTCTACATGATTGCTTGGACCCAAAGACCAACTTCATGGACGGTCATTGGCTGCCGCGGGGGTTCAGCTCCAATGGCAGGCAGCGCAAACTAAGCTTCACACGAGTCACCAGGATCTTGAGGTGGATAGCTTGGGCAATCCCTCCACTATCCACTACTTTGTAGGATTCCCACATCTGACCTGGCTGCTGACAGCCGCAAGAGCCGCAGCCATAGTAAACGCATGGCGTAGGCACTGCAACCCGATAGGCACTCATTGCCAGTGCATACCCTTCAGCCAGGAACCTCAAGGTATGCGCGTGCAATCAATGCCTATCGAGATCTATCGAGTGGCAGTGGCTAGGGCCACAGCATCCATGAGCTTCGATCCGCACAGATGGACCCACAGCCTCTACAACTTGGTAGTCCAATGTTCTAGGGACGAGCCTGCTACAACCTCCTCCAACGGACATCCATGCGGGAACCTGCTTGTGGTGAAGACAACTCCAGCTGCTGTGACATTGCATGTCTGTCTCTGCCTTTGGCACGTCTGTACGCACGTTGAGCTCGTTTGTTTTGTGACATGATGGTGAAAAGGTGAATGATCTTTGATATTGATGAAATAGGCATGGTGGAGACAATGACATCGTGAAACTTCATGAGAAGGGTGGAATTTCGGTGGAATGCTGTCAGCCCTCCATGCCTCCTCGAAATCATCCTCCACGAGGTATCGCCTGGGCAGACAGTACAGTAGCATATCCATCGGCAACATAAACATGATCCAGTTAAAATGGGGTCAAGCCACTGTCTGAAGGTTCCCACATTCCCACCTGGGTCACCTGAGCTCAAATTGCCATTGAACATCAAAGGTCATGCATCTGCAGTAGCATGTGTTTCCGTGTTTTCATGCCGAGTTTCTATGATCAATAGGCTGTTGAAACCAATGCGTTTGCCAGGAAGCGACCCGCAGCAAACATGTGGCGAAACATACTCCGACCAACTTCATGGAGCTCCGACAAACTCTTGGCAGTTTCATGGTCCAAATGTATTCCCCATATGTCGCTATGACATGGTCAACTACAGTCAACTACAGTCAAACATCTATGTTTAAATGATTTTAAATGGCTCTCTCGTTTCATTTTGTCGTGCAGCTCTACTAGGGTTGTGAAGATGGTCGATAGAGTGCACTTGGTTCCGCTGTGTCCAGGGCGAACCTTCTTGCAGCTGGGTTTTGTGCCCAAAGAGGTAAAGCTGCACGACCATCTCACATGATTCGCATGCATATGATCAGCCATGGAAGCTAAAGCAATTCTTGAGAAATAAGCTTGCGGCAGGTTTAAAATCTTATAAAACCCTTGGGGGTTAATGTCTTCCTGATCCTAGTCCGACAATGCCCGAAAGCCTCCATGTTCAGCAGCCCCTGGTGACAATCACACAGCGGTCTATGGTTTTCGTTGATATCTATGAGTAAGCCAGCGTGCTTTTGTGGTGCCATATACTGTCTGGTATAAGTGTTGTTGCTTGTGCATCAAGCTCAAAAATTGCGGCGTTCACAGGGTATCACGATTTCTGTGAAAGCGATCACGCGGTCAAGCGAGTCATTCCTTGCTAATCCTTCAAGCGTCTTGCTGAGGATAGCGAGGATAACTGTCAGCTTCAAAGTGTGGAGGCTGCCCTCAGGTTTTGTGGGTTGCCATCCAGTGTTGCCGAATCGACGACCAGAAGCCGCTCCTTGCTGCAACCAAGGATCAAATTATCTCATTCGCACCAGGAATTCCAGGATCAATTCAAAAAGGGTGTACAATTATATAATACATATTATATCTACTAGGTTTGATCCCAAACGATGTTCAAAATGTCTTGGGAAACCCTCATGAATTTCTGTAGATTTTCCCACTAACCAACCAGGTGAAATGTTTGCTTCCGCAACCTACCAGGTGCAGTCCAAGGCTCTTCATGCCAGCCTTGAATTCTTCGGGGCTCCAGCCAAAACTGGTCAGCATTTCTAGATGCTCTCCATCAGGAATGCAATGGCGCGCACGATATCGATTGAGAGCCAGGTTCTCCTAAACAGAGCCAAGGCCGTCTAACGACAAAGGTATACGGTATATGTATGGATGGGTATGGGTCAAAATTCAAACCAAGGATAAACAATTGCTTTCTTCGAGTGATCCCCATCAACTGGCATTCTATCTGACATATGTTCTGACATGTGTTCTGACATTCTATCTTGCATTCTATCTATGCTACCATTCTATCTGGCATTCTATCTGACATAATTATATTCTGACATCCTATGACATTCTTTCTGGCATGTGTTCGGGTCCGTGTGTGCCCAGACTGAGCTGGAGCGCGCCATAAGCTTCTGGAGCGAGATTGCTCGACTTGAGTTGGCTCTTGATCTGGGCTCCGAGTCCGCTGGTGTCCACAGTGCCGACGAGCTTGCAGAAGGAGGAAGACGACGAGGAAGAGGAGGAGGATGCGCTGAAGGAGTGAGGGCGGGGGTTACTGTGTCAAAATCTAGAGGCCCTCACCTGGCAGGGAATAAACTCATTCTTCAATGTTACCTCCTCACCCTCATCCAAGGATGCCAGAAAAATGATGCAACGCTGCAACATTTGAGAAAGGTCAAGAAGTTACAGTAATCTGAAGGTGAGCAGTCTATATAGACCTTGATGATGTATGATACAGTACCCTCATGTATGGAGTTGTTTCCTTTCATGTTTTTCCCCACCTGCCAGGTGAGGGTTGTTAGATTTTATGTCAGTTGCTTCCTCCTCCTCCTCCTCGTCCTCCTCGTCCTCGTCCTCCTCCTTCTCCTCCTCCTCCTCGTCGTCCTCCTCCTCGTCGTCCTCCTCGTCCTCCTCGTCCTCCTCGTCCAACTGCGACCCGCGATCCACAGCGTTCTCTGTCGGACCTCAACCACAACCATCCACGCCCAGTGTTCCCTGCCGGACCTCAACCACGACCATCCCCGCCCAGTGTTCCCTGCCGGACCTCAACCACGACCATCCCCGCCCAGTGTTCCCTGCCGGACCTCAACCACGACCATCCACGCCCAGTGTTCCCTGCCGGACCTCAACCGCGAGTATCCACGCCCAGTGTTCCCTGCCGGACCTCAACCACGACCATCCCCGCCCAGTGTTCCCTGCCGGACCTCAACTACGACCATCCACGCCCAGTGTTCCCTCCCGGACCTCAACCGCGAGTATCCACGCCAAGTGTTCCCTGCCGGACCTCATGTAGGAAGATAAAATGTCAGATAGAGTGCCAGAAGATTTGCCAGGTAGAATGCCAGAAAATATGCCAGAAGATATGCCAGATAGATATGCCAGAAGATATTCCAGAAGATATGCCAGATAGAATGCCAGATAGAATGCCAGATAGAATGCCAGAAGATATGTCAGAATATATGCCAGAAGATATGCCAGATAGAATGCCAGATAGAATGCCAGAAGATATGTCAGATAGAATGCCAGAAGATATGCCAGATAGAATGCCAGAAGATTTGCCAGATAGAATGCCAGAAGATATGCCAGAAGATATGCCAGATAGAATGCCAAATAGAATGTCAGAAGATATGTCAGATAGAATGCCAGAAGATGTGCCAGTAAGAACATGTATAAATGTCATGGTGGGGATCACACGAAGTAAAGTAATTTCCATAGAAACCTCCATTTAGTTCAAGGATTTCCCAGCTAGCCATCTGCCAAGTCTCCTCCGGAGTTATTCTGTTGTCTGAGAGGGTCGCGCAAAGGATCTCCTTGTACCCTTCCAATGCCTTTCTGCTCGCACCCTTCACAATTTTGCTCGCCAAACCCATCGTCTCCACATTCTGAAATGCCGTGCAAAGTCTCTCATCCTCAGGCTGCTATGCATCTGTTGGCGGTTGCTTTCTTGTACAATTTCTCGTCTAAAAAATGAAATTTCAGAAACTAATGTTTATGCAAGGGTGTCTTTTATAATTTATGCCAATCATGCAGGGTGCCACTGCCAATTATCAGAACATAAGACAATACGAAACATGAATCCTGTGGCAATTCTGCAAGGAAAACTGCCAAACATGAATACTATAACTTATATATTTATAAATACGTAGTGGTATTCAGACCTTTCGCAAACCTTACGCCGCGCTTTCGCGGCCTTTCGCCACTGCAGCAAAACACACACATCCATATCTGCAGATGTCACTCGGATACTAAAAGCCTTGCATGGGTTTTAGGACGACTCCCACATCAACACTTCCAACATCTTTTTGGATCATGCAATTCAATCAAGTCTCCTCCTAATGATGTAGAGTAAATGGTTGGCAGTTGAAACCCATGTGATGGATGTCAAAAACCTAATGAAAGTTTTGAATACTCTCAAGGATGGTACAATTCTGATGCGGGACAGCTTCTTGGAAATTGATATGGTTTTAAGTGGGTTCTCGGTCGTGTCCAATGTTGAATTTAAGCAAAAAAATCTGGAGGTTCAGAAATAGGTTCGGAACGTCTGGAAATGCAATGGAAATATTCAACACCTCCGGATGAGTGGCAGCATTGAGTCATACTTATTTCAGAGTTGTCTGCTGCTGTTTGTCAAGATTTCTAGCATCTGTCTTCTTGGTAAGGGTTTTGCACCCTTGCGTTGCACTTGCACTGTGGAAGCTCCTTAGAGGCTGTGGATGGGCTATGACTGCTGCGTGCTCAAGGGGTGGGCGCATCTCACTGACAGTATTTTTTTGGGTATGTAATTGCTCGGTGCTGTGGCCAAACTGTGGGAAACATCTCACAAACAGTTTTGTTTTGCACTTTTTTGCAGCTCGAATGAAGGTGGAAAGCATCTTACAGGCACTTTGCAATTGTCATCACTTGCAATCGCAGGATTGGATGAAGGTGGAAAAAACAACAAGAAAAGACTCAAAAAAACATGGGGAGTATACCCCGTGCTTATCAATGTTTCATGCTTAAAAAAAACAGGTGGTTTCAACATGTTTCAACCGCCAAAAAAACTCATTGAAAATGCTCAGTGGCTGCTCCCACGGCATGGCTGAAGATGCTCAGCGGCCACTCAAGTAATCGGCATCCCTCCGGTCCCGCCACGATATTGGACACCCAGGCAGAGCCTGTTCAAGTTGATGAATGACGATGGATTTAGATAGGGGTTCTAAGTTTTGATTACTTCTCCAAGACTATGCTGAACAAACTAAAAAAGTGTTAAGAGGTTCTAAGCGTTGGCTAACGATCCAGTGATTCGAAGGCCATTGGATCGAAATTCAGAACCTTCAAGGGCCCCGAAAGAATGGCGAAAGCTCCATGTTGACAACTAACTCGTGGCTAGCTGCCCATTAACTAACTAAGCACTTGATGAATGAAGGGGTGAGTTGATGATGCCCACCCTTGGTGGAACACCCAGAAATCCTCAGCACTTCCAGGCCGGGCACCTGCTCTGACGTTGGTAAGCGGCCCTGTCTTCTCCTGTAACAGGGGATGCGGATGCGTTTAAAATGGCACTGTCTGGAAAATCTGGAAAATTTTCTAGGCTACCCCAAAATTTCATGCATCATCATCCTCGTCAACATCCTCGTCGTCATCATCATCATCGTCATCATCATCATCACCACCATCATCATCATCATCACCATCATCACCATCATCATCATCATCATCATCATCAACTCATCATCATCATCATCATCATCATCATCATCATCATCATCATCATCATCGTCATCGTCATCATCATCATCATCATCATCATCATCATCATCATCATCATCATCATCTTCATCATCGTCATCGTCATCGTCATCGTCATCGTCATCATCATCATCATCATCATCATCATCATCATCATCATCATCATCATCCTCATCATCGTGTGCCATGGTCCAGACATTCATTGTTTTTGCTGTCTTTCTGGCTGCCAAGGCATGGCACCTCCAGGCCGGACCTCAACAGCGCATGCAGATCCCCAGTGCTGCCGCGGTGTCTCTTTGCGCGGGCTTCGGCTTTCTCGATCAGCCAGGAATCCTCCCAGTCCTCCTGCAACATACAAGTAGGAAAAAAATGAACACTGGGGTCAACTTGATCAAAGCATCGAACGTCCGCTTGGATAAAAATGCCCATGTGGACCATTTTGGATGTGCCAATACAAATAATATCAAATAATTACAAGCTGTTTGAAGGATTTTGAAGGTATTTACCAATATGTGTCCCATCTTTCGGCACTTGGCAACAAGATCAACCATTGCTGTGGCGTCATGTGCCGTCCTGGTCAGATTCGTTCTCCACATATGGCACACCCAGAAACTCCGCGCGCCACACATTTGGCCAAAGTGTACCAATGAAGACATCCTCAAAATATGAAATAAACATGTGAGCAAAGGAAACGAAGAAGATGGATGCCATGAAACGGAAAAGAAACACTGCAAGAGCAGGACACTCAACGTCAATCAGTGGCGTTTGTTTAACATCATCAATTCGGATGTTAATTCAACATGTTCTGCTGTCGAAACGAATTACAAGTCATGTCAAACCCCGGATTCATTAAAACCATCAGGGTGTTTAATATTGTTTAATCGGGGGAATACCATTCTACTAGCCCAGCATTACGATTTTGGGGACCCCGGTCGCTGCCAGTCCTGGTGGTATTCGATATTCGCAACTCCTCCAGGCCGCTCGGTGACACAGGTACCTTTCGCGACGTAGAACACCGTTTGGACCGCATCACCAGTGACCACAATCTGCTCCTCGACAAACGTGTCGGAGATGGATGGATAATGATGGATAATGATGGATATATGGTTGCTATACGTTGCTATCAATATGTTGCTATCTTCACAATTCATGATATTCATGCGATTCATTGCCATCGGATATGGACCGTGCACAAAGCCTAGGCCGGAACCTCGAGTCTCAAGTGCTGCTGAGTGTCTCCTGGGCCATAATCCTTGAACTTGGCCCCTGCCTGCATCATGACTGTATCATCAGCAATCAATGATGATCGTCATGAACATCACCATCTATCCCATTGAAGTATATTCAAGTTGGCTTTAAGTTGTTAATTTTAACCCTGCTATGCCAAGTATGGCCTTCAAAAGCTTGGTGAATTGTCTTGGCGTCACCCCATGACTTTGGAAGCCATGCTCGTAGATCTCCTCTTCTTCATCCGTTAAATGAAGGCCATGGTTTCGTTCTCGCAGTAACAGGGCCAGGTTGGTGAAATGCAACGCGGCAAACGCCACGCCCCAAACTGCCGCAGTCTTTTGGTGTGTCTTCAAAGGCTTTGGCATTAAACAGTTGAAGGACGCGCCCTGGACGTTCAGAAGGACATTCAAATCAGTGTGGCAAAGCGGTGGAAAATAGAAAACCCCAAAGAACAAATAAGAACAGTGCTTTAGGTCTTCATTGATTAATATATTCATTGTGAAGTTTGCGAAGCTTGCTGGATTAAACTGATGATACAAAGATATAAAAGCACAATCAATTAAATTGTCTCAGCCACGCAAGAAGCCGCCGCGCCAGAAAGTAGACGCACCATGACATGGTCATGGCTTCCAGCTGCCGCCAAAGCACATAGATTTCCTTTTGGGTTTCACCACATTGGGGGGTCCATGATTGTTCACTTTCATCAACCTAACCTGTGGTGTTGAACAATACATAATACTCTAGCGTTTCATCAACCGAATTTTTGTACGGATCGCATAATGGACCCAGTTTCCCCAAAGCTATCGGACATCTGAACCTGTCCCCTTGCGGCTCCTGCTGTGTTCAGAACTGCCAAACCTTTCGGAGTGAACTCGTGCCTCAAAATGTGGCGGGTCAAGAGACGCAAAATATATACATATATATCAAAGAGATTTTTTTTGCATGTTTTTGCAATAATTGATGATCATTGATAATGCAATGATGTCATGGCTAATTGAAGCTGCATGGGTCATGAGAGCTTAGATCTCCGGACTGTTCCAGGATGTTCCAGGGATAGCCTCTGTGAATATCCAATGGATCGATTTAGTACTGATCATGATGGCAGATTATAGACAATAACAAGTAAGTATACTTATGACAAACGATAGATCAAAAATGATAAGGGGTGAATGGTGTCAGCATCCATCTCAATCAACACACAACTGCAGACAGGCGGCCAAGGACTCTCAATAGCCTTTTCATTCACAGACCTCCAGTGAAGCGAACACTGTACTGTAGCTGCTGGTTGCAAGTCTCCATGACCCATACAATTCATGACACAATGTTTCCGGGTGCCACTGCCTTGCTTGCGAGAAGTATCGAAGTGCCGTCGCACGCACAGGGCGGTCGAACTTGTGCAGTCGGCGCATCTGTTGTGATGGAGACCGGTTGTTAACTTGTTGCTTGTCAACTGCCCTGACGTGAGCCTTCGTTCAGTCCGTGGGGGTTCTCTTCATGTGTCATTTTGCTCGGGACTGAACGTCCAACCAATCTGCGTGGTGCAGAACGAAAGCCGTTATCAAATCTATATTCAAAGATTTAAAAGCTTGTGTTGGCTTGTGCTTAAAAACGAATCAATGGTCGACTTTGGGTGAGCTTCATTACGTATTGTATGTATAATATAGCTGATCTGTTTGCCTTTGTACTTACGGAGCCAAAGCTGCAGAAATACCAGCAATCAAGTCCCAAGCAAAAACCAGCCATGCCACTTTCTACCAGTCTAGCCTCAAGCTGGGGTCATTGAAGATATTGAAGTCTGGAAATGTGGCCGCTGTCTGAAAAGTGGGTACCCCTAAATCCACTGGTTAAACAGACATCATGTTCCCTGATGGCCATTTTCTGGGTTTGCCTGTACTAGTGGGTCATGAAGCCGGCCTGCTGATTTCATGCATCGAATCTCAAATCTCTATGCATGTGGCCTGGGCCAACTGCACTCGTCATGGACATACAATAGATCATTGAAAGTTCCCATGTTAGATCATAATGACCCAATCTTAGTATGGTATGGTATAGTATATCAATGTATATCACATCATCAACATTCATCAACAAACAGCAGTAGCCCCTGTTGTGTCCTCCCAATCGATGAGGGCCAAGAGCTTGCAGTCAGGCCCAGGTCCATCCTGTGCTGCCGGATGGCTTTATGCTGGATGAAGCTATGATTATGTAATGGGTTTTATAAGCCAACTGTTGTTATAACATGTTATAACTATGACTATGACTATAACCAACTTATAACTGGAAAAGCCTGACAACATTCTCACATGTGTTTTCAAGCAACTCCGGATACTGCAAATCTATACAAATCTGCTGAGTTGCTTCATGTTTTCTGCTATTTTGGAATGAATCACTGATGAGTTTGCTCGTATCCTGCTGAAATTGACATCGACATTCATCTCATATCAGTTCATATCAGCCAGTCCCTTGCCTCGTACAGGGTATTGTCCAGGAAAGCATCACCTTGGAAAGCACCAGCAGCGCTAATCGCTCGGCCGGTGCCCTAAAGTGATGGCGGCTTGACGTGGCTCGCTGAGGCCCCAGCCATGAATCAAACCCCAAGGCACCTTTCAGTGAGGATATTTGATGGGATAACCACTGAATAATCGATGAATAACATGTTGATAACATGTTCATCAACATGGTGGACAATGGTGGGCAACTGCCACTGGTCAGCCTTGGAGTCGTAGAGCTCACGCAGCCAAGTGATTTGACGATGAACAAGAGCCACAAAAGGATGATCTTTGAAGCGGTCATCGGCCTCCAAAATGACTGCGATGCAAAGAAAGTGATGAAATAAGGGACTGGATTTACCTGGGTTTGTCTGAAAATGGTGTACCCCATTTACCCAATGGTTTTGCTGATCATTATCCCTACTTTTTATGGCTATTTTATTGGGGGAATATACCCCATTTTCAGGTCCAAAGCCATCTGGATTTCCAAGATCTTCCAAGTTTGAGGATGGGAAAGTTTCCAACACTTTCCTGCCTGGAGTTTTTCAACGTCCTGCAGCGCAGGATGCTGATTTTGAGCGACAAAAAATCCCCTCATCCCCATGCAAAATATTGCAAAATGCCTGCCTACTCTGCCAGAGAGCTCATCTCCAGCCCACTTTTCATGAAATCTTGCGCAGAATTCTCAAGCCAACAAGAGCAAACCTCTGGGCTTGTCTGCGGACCAACCTACTGCTCTGTGCTTAGACGAGCAACAAAATTGAAATCCCAGGGCGCCCTGGACAAGATCAAACGCAAATCCATTTTGGCGGCCTGGCGGCCTGACAAAAGTCATTGTTTTTACTCAGCCTGACAAAAGTTCAATGGCTACAAGTTGGACTTTGGCTTGCCAGCCATGGTCTTGGTGACCAAATATTCTTCGATTCCCATGGTGCCCCACTCACGAGCATTTCCTCAGATTCGGCTTCTCCCAAGGCCCAATCCCTGCCACGTGCCACGTGCGGTGCCATGCTGCTGAGATCTGCTCCACTCTGCTTGTAGCCACCAAAAGGTGCATCTGGAAGGACTTAGTCAAGCACTGATTTGATCTTCCAACATGTCCAAAATCCGTGTGACAACTTCCAAAACTGCAAAGCTGTGTCAGTTGGAGTGGATATCTTTGGGATATCTGGGATACGTGGATATTTGCATAATATTGTACCCTTTTGCACCCTTTACCAAAGGGCTGGGCCAGTGGTGTCGTTGATCATGACCTCAACAGCGACCGAATTATCATGTGTACTGTATGATACGCACGAATAAGATCATCGCCATCCATCAGTATCCATCCATATATTAATATATTACCATGTATCGATAAGATTCGATGAGTATCCATCAATGGTAGTGAATATAATTCAATATACCCTCTGGTAAACTAACGTAACTATGGAAAATCACCATTTTTAATGGGTAAATCCACTATAAATGGTCATTTTCAATAGCTATGTTACCAGAGGGTAATTCAAATGTCTTCAAGCATTCTGCACCAAGTGTGGTAGAAAAATGTATGCCAAGGTACCATCCCCGAGCGGAGTTTTCGAGCCTGGTCCATACGACGAATTTGTTAAAATAGACATGGTGGAATCATCCGAAATTCAATGGAAAAATGATGAAAAATGCTTGTACCCCTGGTGAACATCAAAATAGCTGGTAAATGGATGGTCATTCCCCCAAAAATGGTATTAATAGGTATTGATCCATACCCAAATGATGAAAAATGATGGGAAATCGAAGGAACATGATTGAAAACGATAGAAAAAACATGGCATGGCATGGGTTTTTTTTAAAAAAAATCGGACACGGAGGTTTTCATGACTTGGGCACATGGATGTCCAAACACTGACAAACCTGGCTGGAAGATGCTGGAAGCCACTGCATGCTTCCAAACTCTCATGGCGTTCCGCTCAACATGTCCCAAATTTCTGAATGTCACAAAATTGCACAACTTAATGAATGGAATTGATTCTGCTCTCCATGGCCAACGAAAAATCATAAAACATCCGAAGGTCAAGAAATGTTTTACAAAATGTCTATCCATGACTATCACCATTTTCATAATGACATTCTCATATGCTGCTAGAATTTCGTACAAAAATACTGCAAAAACTCGCAATATAGCAAAGCGATGTACAAAGTGAGGGCTTTCGCTAGAGACTGGATTGCCGATCATGATATTGTGAGGTTATTGTTATTATCATTATTGTGTATTCATTAGTATTCATCGCTAGTATTCATGTGTATTCAATTTGTATTCATCAGTAGTCATTAGTATTCATTATATAGTATTCATTAGTATTCATTAGTACTCACTATAGTATTCCTGAATTGTAATATTCATTATTCATTAGTATTCTATTTTTCTGATGGTTTATCCTTTCGTATCCTTTGAAAACACCAGTCTCACTGGCACTCAGTCTCAGACCACTTGCATCGCTCGCTCGGGAGAGGCACTGCCTACTGCGTTGTTCAGGCCATAGACCTCTCGTCCAGGCGAGATGGACCCCAGTACTTAAAACTGCGGGCCCCACTTAGTAAATGGCATATACCCCCAGTATCCCCCAGTTATCTATGGAATATCCCCTCTTATGGGATTATATGGGTTATATATCTGATATATGGATTATAAACCATTTACTAAGTGGGATGCATATCTTATACCCCCAAAAATGATAATTTTAATATGGGAAACGATGATAAACCAGTTGATTTAGGGGCACCCCATTTTCAGACAAACCTAAATCTGGCACAGGTTTGCCAAACTGCGAAGAATTCGACTTCTGCAACACAAGGATCAAGAATGAATGCGGTGTCTCTCCGCACATCACTTGGTTTTTTGCATTTGAGTTCGCCACAGTATCGTTCGCGATGCGAATGGCTTCCTGGAAGGGGGTTTGCATCTACAGTGTCGACGTGGATTTGTCCAAAACTGGGTACTCCATGGTACCCCCACTTTCGTACGTACTAAGATGATCTAAAATCCAAAATGGCCATTTTCGGGCCAACATGGGTTTTACCCCTTGCCCCATCTCTGGACAAACGCCCGGTGTCCATTGGTCATTTTTGTTGGCTCCTCTTCAGAGTTGTAGGGAATGATGGAGAGGACTGGTCCAAAGATCTCTTCTTGCGCAATGGTCATCTTGTTATCCACCTCGTGGCTGTCCAGCGGGGAGCTTGCGAAGATCTGCGAAGCGATGTTCAATGGAACGATGATTTCCCGCACGAGGCGGGTGGCGGAAGTTTCCAGCAGCACCATAGGAGTGAAAGACAAGGTTTGCCTCTAGCTGGAGCGAAGCCTCACATCTTCTGAACTCTGCTTTGTGAATTTGTCCTCATCTTGCTTCAGTTTTTTGAACTGTGGCCATCACTTCTAAGCTCTTCGCAGCTCTTTCTCAAACAATCTCTTTTTTTTAATTTCTTTTGACAGTTCGTCTCTTCCCACCTCAGCTCAACTCTTTTCAACTCTTCCCACCTCTTCTCAACTCGTCTCAACGACTCTCACCTCTGCCCACCTGTTCTCAACTCTTCGCAGCTCGTCTCAACTCTTCTCACCTCTTGCCACCTCTTCTCAACTCTTCCCACCCCTTCTCACCTCCGCTCAACTCATCTCACCTCTTTCTCAGCTCATCTCAACTCTTCCCACTTCCTCTTCTCAACTCTTGTCAACTCTTCCCAACTCTTCTCACCTCTTTTCACAGAGATGCTTTAGACACAGAAGCTTTTACACATGTTTAATACATTTTTTACATACAGAAGCTTTTGCACAGAGAAGCTTTGACACAGAGCCAGCTTTTACACAGAGAAGCTTTTATACAGAGCAAGCTTTTATAGAGAGCAAGCTTTTACGCAGAGAAGCTTTTACACACAGAAGTGCTTAGTGGATACAAGTTCCCTGTAGTTGATAGTTGGGGAGCCCTACCGTTAGATCATCTTAAATCCTTTGATATGGTCCTCATTGGTCCCAGGCGGAGTCTTTTTGATTCTTTTTGCACGCTTTGCGATAGACATTGCAATCACAGGTCTCATCAGGTCTCATCAGGTTTCTCAGAGTGTCCCCAAACTTTAACGCGGCACTGGAGCACCTGGAAATTGATCCTGCGGTGCGCTCTGTTGCTGCGTATTCTGCACTCAGTTGCGGCTGCAAAAACTTGCAAAGGGAAGAGGAACAGCTTGCAGAAATGCCTTCACTAACCCAGGTCTCAAAAGTGGCTTAAAAGGGTGAAATCATCCATCCGGATCACAGCAGATGCCGAATCAGTTCAAAGAATAGTTCCGCTTACAGTGTTACGCTAAAAACCACCAAAACGGGTTCCACGTTTTATGTCCCTCTGCGACGGCAGTCGAATTCAGGCCACGGATAATAGGCCGTTGCTTGCACTGTTCTGTTGAGTGTTTTATTACGTAATTCTTTAAAAATACCGGCCAAAAGAACACTGTGACCCCGGCATCCTCGACCTGAAAATGTCGTGACCATCCTGATGGAAAATCCTGTCCTTGGATTATTTTGACATACTCTGAGGTCCTGATGGTCCTGCTGCAGAAGGCTTCCAAGTGGATTTGTCCAAACATGGTGCATACCGTACATACCTCAAAATCCAGTGGTACCCTATGTTCAGACAAACCGACAAACCACCCAAGTTCAATCAAGTTCACTGTTTTTCTACTACTTGGTTCTTCATGCACTTCTTTTGATGGCTTCAGGATGGCGGATGTTGCCACTCAGTACGCGTTGACCGGATCTAATTCGGCCCCTATATTTGGGGCAAACTCAGCATGGCCAGTTGAGGCGCGAATTAAACGAATAGGGTGGACAGTCACAAGGAACCACCCTTTAATGATTGTCTGAGCTTCAGCACCTTTAACTAGAGTCGGTGCCCAGCAAACTTACCAGCCACTCAGCCTCAAGGATTTGCCTGATCGATGAAGTCGGTTTTAGCATCACAAGAGGCTATGCCATGGTGCTAATGAGCCAAAGATCTTGGAACGACACATCGTTGAAGCAATCCTCGGTACCAAGCCAAGTGCTTTCAAAATGCGCTTGCGAGTCACCAGCGGGACAAAATTGCGCTTTTTGCCACGGAAAATTACGCCCAGCTCCCAACATCTCGGATTTAAAGAGCAGTCGCAAAGCCTATGCAAACGCTCTCGATCAAACCGCGAGCTTGAAAACATAAGCATTGGACTCTGCTGATTGAAGTTTCAAGGATTCAAAAACTATATATGATCATATATGTCCTCTTGATCTTATCCCAATTTCAACTCCTTTCGTGAAAATCTGCGATATCAATGTGTCCTGCTCGCCATACCCTTGTGACGTATTGCTGTGTCCGGGACTCACTGTACACAGAGCAGGGCGCAAGTCGTGGAATTGGCATGAATTGGCCATGCATACTGTCCTTGCTCTATAAAAGAAGAGCTGACCAAGCCACAAAATCAATCCCTTGGGCCGATGGAATGGCTCCATGCAAAGGAAGCTGGCATGCTTCCTATTGGCACATTCCCAACTCTGGCGGGTCGATAGCACCCAGTTGCTACAATCTCCACCTGAGCTGAAGGGAATGCTTCGTTACAAAAATGTAAGCGTACAGTACATCTGGTTGGTTGAACAGTTTCTCTCAGGATTCAAAACATAAAGTCAATTCTGGTTCCTAGCTGAACAGAGACTGCGAACTAATCTAGGAGCGGCTAGCAATTGATGCTACAACTGGCGGTTGATGCTAGAGTCCTGTTCAACACTTGGATGCGACATATTGATCCAAGTCACTGCAGTGACTTGCGCCAACGTTCGTCCAACCATGCTTGCAAAGATTGGGTGACACCTTCAAAAAAGGACAAACTCATCGGAAGGTATGAGGGCTTTGATCCATGAATCTATTGATAAATACGATAATATACATTACATTGTACCAGTATAGTATAGCTGTACATAATACATCGTATCATCCCAATCCGAAGAGGCAGGATTGATCTATGAGCAAAATGGCCTCTTGCCACGAGACAAAAGACCAGCCTTGTTTGAGGCCCATCAACAAGCCACCAGCTAAAATTGACCAAATCAAAGAGAACAGGTGGATATTCTATGATTATTTGATGAATATTTGATGATTATTTGCTGATTATTTGATGATTATATGGGGGTCCGGACTTAGAGAACTAGTTCCCAAGATGTTCCAACATGTTCCAACGTGTTCCAAGCATTTTTGGCTCCTTGGCTTCCTTGGCTTGTTTTCGGCTCCATCCCAAGCATGGCCGCATGGCTCATAAATCATCGCACCCATGGAGTCATCTGGATCTGCACGAGTCACTGTGCCACTGTGCTGCATTGGATCAGCGGCTGTCGTCAGGTGGCCTTCTGACGCTGATACAACTGCTAGCTGCTAGTCGCCAGCAAATACAAGTGCGCCGCAGGAACGATCAGCTGAAGACAATGCAGCTGTAATGCGACTGAAAGAGATACTCAAATAAAATCAAAGAAATACAAACAACAATGGAAGCCTTGATGAGTAAGCCTTGCAACAAATCTCAACTCGCAAATGAATTACTGCCTCCCCGAAATTGCCATTGACATGTGACTTTGAGTAATCTGCTTGCAGCAGAAATACAGTACCTCAAAGCTTAGCCTTAAAAGCACTTGTGACACTTGTGCAAATTCAAGCAAGTCCCACTTGCTGAACTGACAAGCTGGTCAACTTCTGGACCCCGGGGTCAACAATTTAGACCCACAGCCCACATCCATCTGTATCCACCTACAGCTTATGGCTCTTTAATCACAAGGGCAATCTGGTGCGTAGCCATCTTCATCGTTCACCGCTCCAGGGTTCCACCAGTCCGTTTCGGACAGTTCGTCGGACAGTTCTTCACCTAGGGATGTCATGATGAGCCAGGCAGTGGGAAAAGTTCTTCAAACATATGCGAGGCGGGCAAGGGGTTATGTTCATGTCACCAAATTGCTTGCAATGCCTATTTCGAAATGCTTCGAGTCATGTTGGGATCATACCATGTCATACCCACAGTGACACGAGTGGCATTCATTGTGATCATTTTGAACATATGGCCGGAAAAATATATTGTTTTCATTGTTCATGCTTCGAAGTCTTTTGCACAGCCTGCATTACATGCCTAGCGCATCCTAATGCAACCATGGGTCAGTCATCCGTCTCTGAAGCGTCATCCTGCGCATCAACTGTGCAGCACATAGGCAAAGTCTGGCATTCCAAGGTGCCATGTTTTTCTTGTAACCCCTCAAAAGATAGAAAAGTGATTACAGATAATCCCTACAGTAATCACTTTTCTATCTTTTGTGATTCCTGTAATTACAGTGGGGTTACACAATCATTACAGATATTAGAGTGGAATTTTATTACTTTTCTATCTTTTTGGGGTAGCTAAACCCTACATCTGATCCGCGATCTCCTCATCACTGTCCACTTCATCGCCATGTGGCTCGTCCAAATGCCCTGCACATTTGCTGTGCTTTCTGTTGGGAGAATTGGAGGTTTCCTAAAATGGTGGTACCCCAAAATCGTGTAACATTGGTTATTCTCAATGGGAAAACCAATGGTTTAGGGCCACTCATATCTTGAGAAACCTACAATTGAGCGGTGTTGAAAACCCACGTGGCTTTCGCGGAGCTTTCGCGGTACTTACGCGACCACACGTTTAGCTTTCGCGGACGCTGAGTCTGAGTCCATCATGTTTGCTTTCGCGCAGCTTTCGTGGATAAGTTAAAACTAGTAATAGGCAATCATTTCAAGTTTTCGCGGAGCTTTCGCGGTTTGAACTTTTAACCCCTCTTTCCCGGGTGCTTTCGCGCAGCTTTCGCGCGTGAGGCTCTTTACTTTCGCGGCTGTGGCAACTGTGCCATCTTCTGGACAGTTATAGACTGATAACACTTGTCTGCAACGACCACGAACCTTGGGATGCTTCAATGTACTCCATGAGGCCCCTGCAAAGCAGGAAAACCAGAGCACAAAAGTGGGCTTGCAAGAACGCTCTTGAAGTTTGACATCAAGCAACTAAATGCAATTAAGCCAGCATAAGCGAACAAAATCTATCAAATATAGATAGGTGTATATATAGTTATATATATATGATATATTATATATAGTATATTATATATATATATCATATATTATATTATATTATATATTATATATTATATATTATAACTTATATTCTTCTCTCTTTCTTATTTCTGTATATATCTCATGTCTCTCTTCTCACTTCTCTTCTCTCTCATCTCTCTTCTTTCCCCTCTCTCTCTCTCTTCTATCTCGTATCTCTTCGCTCTCGTCTCTCTCTATCTCTTCTCTTCTCTCTTCTTATCATCTCGCTCTAACTCTATCTCACTCTTCTCAATCTCTCTCCTCTCTCTCCTCTCTCTCCTCGCCTCTCCTCTCTCTCCTCTCTCTCCTCTCTCTCCTCTCCCCTCTCCTCATCCTCCTCTCTCATCTCTCTCCTCTTACTCTCCTCCCTCCTCTCTCTCCTCTCTACTCTCTCTCTCTCTCTCCCTCTCCTCCTATATCCTCTCTCTCTTCTCTCTCTTCTCTCTCTCTTCTCTCTCTCTTCTCTCTCTCTTCTCTCTCTTCTCTCTCTCTCCTCTCTCTCTTCTCTCTCTTCTCTCTCTCTTCTCTCTCTCTTCTCTCTCTTCTCTCTCTCTTCTCTCTCTCTTCTCTCTCTTCTCTCTCTCTCCTCTCTCTTCTCTCTCTCTTCTCTCTCTTCTCTCTCTCTCCTCTCTCTTCTCTCTCTCTCTCTCTTCTCTCTCTTCTCTCTCTCTCTCTCTCTTCTCTCTCTGCTCTCTCTTCTCTCTCTCTTCTCTCTCTGCTCTCTCTTCTCTCTCTTCTCTCTCTTCTCTCTCTGCTCTCTCTGCTCTCTCTTCTCTCTCTTCTCTCTCTTCTCTCTCTTCTCTCTCTTCTCTCTCTTCTCTCTCTTCTCTCTCTTCTCTCTCTTCTCTCTCTTCTCTCTCTCTTCTCTCTCTCTTCTCTCTCTCTTCTCTCTCTTCTCTCTCTCTCCTCTCTCTCTTCTCTCTCTTCTCTCTCTCTTCTCTCTCTCTTCTCTCTCTTCTCTCTCTCTTCTCTCTCTCTTCTCTCTCTTCTCTCTCTCTCCTCTCTCTTCTCTCTCTCTTCTCTCTCTTCTCTCTCTCTCCTCTCTCTTCTCTCTCTCTCTCTCTTCTCTCTCTTCTCTCTCTCTCCTCACTCTTCTCTCTCTTCTCTCTCTTCTCTCCTACTTCTCTCCTTTCTCTCTCTTCTCTCTTCTCTCTTCTCTCTTCTCTCTCCTCTCTCCTCTCTCCTCTCTTCTCTCTTCTCTCTTCTCTCTTCTCTCTCCTCTCTCCTCTCTCCTCTCTCCTCTCTTCTCTCTTCTCTCTCCTCTCTTCTCTCCTCTCTCCTCTCTTTGCTCTCTCTGCTCTCTTCTCTCTCTCTTCTCTCTTCTCTCTTCTCTCTTCTCTCTTCTCTCTTCTCTCTTCTCTCTTCTCTCTTCTCTCTTCTCTCTTCTCTCTTCTCTCTTCTCTCTTCCTTCTCTCTTCCTTCTCTCTCTCTCTCTCTCTCCCTCTCCTCTCTCTCTCTCTCTCCTTACCTATTATATATATATTAAGCCATCCCAATAGATATAGAAGATCAATCAAGATCACACTTATAACTTATAATGGAATGGCGACCTGGTGTTGCCGCGCAAGCTGTCGGCCAAAATGCACCTGCCAGGGTTAAGGCCATCCAGCAAAACCAGCCGAAAGATGCCAGCCGAATGATGTTGGAATCATGGTGAAAAGTCATTGCCAAACGCAGGACTAGACTTCCAGATATGTGTAGATTGGTGGAATCATGGTGAAAAATCACTAGACTTTATTTTTAGACTTTTTTTTATCTTTTTGGATATGTGTCTGATATGTGGAACTCGAGGGAACAGTTCTGCGGCCATCAGCCAGAGCCTCGCAAGCTGCGGGCTGGGAAGACTGGTGACCTTGTTATGCTCAGATATCTCCTGTGCCGTGCATAAACAGGCTTCGATCGTCGGTGAAAGGTTGGGACATGTTGGGACATGTTGGGACATGCTGGGACATTTGGACTTCCCCTTGACATCTTTCAGGCACTGATATGATCCTGCGTCCCACATCTTTCTACGTGTCTGGCTATAAAAAGTGGCGCCTCTGCTGAAGAGATCACTGCCCTTGGAATGCAGAAACGTTGGTGTGAATTCTCTCAGCGATCCTTTACCGTCATGAGAAACACAGTGCTTCGGTGCCAAGTCACGTGTGCTCTTCCAATTTGCAATTCTTGGATGCCAGTAGTGCGTCTTCAAGCAGAGGTGGATCCTTTCCAGAATAGATTCAGCTGCAATGATGACAAATACTCGAATGCATGCAACAAGTAGAAAAAGACTCTCTTGATTACTGGTGAAAGAAAAGGATTGGTTAGTGATGCCTAATTGGTGATGCTGGGTGATGCTGGGTGATGCTTGGTGATGCTTAGTGATGCTTGGTGATTCAACCATCTTCAACCCATAAAAATCATCAGCGCCTCAGGTCGTTGTGCCTTCATCACCAGAGCACACACAGCTGCCAGGGCGTGCGCGTTCTCTGCCAATTTGGCAACCTGGAACAGCGCCTCCCTCCTGGCCAACCTGGGGGGCGCCAAAGAAAACTAGAAATCTATGGAAGTCCCGCGTTTCTCTTCAGGAAAACCACGCAACATACTATGGTACTATGGTCAACCATCTCCACCTCCAGGATACTTTGCCAGGCGACTGTGCTTCCAGCTTCATCCTTGTACCTGGATGGTGACTGTTGCCTCAGAGAACCAGGCCATGGGTCTCCGACTTTGAGACCCAAATCTTCACGGAAACAGGACATGGGAATCTCAACTAGGTGGCTCACTGAGTCACTTAATGACTACCTAGCTACTGTAACTACAGTAACTATTTAACACCTACGTAGATAGAACACGTTGGAAACATATGGCAGATCGGAACTGACTTCTACCTTCGCCGAGGGGCTGGTGGAGAAGAGAAAGCCAGCCCCAGATGCTTTTGAGCCAAACGCTTGGAAAATACACGTGGAATCTCCATCTACAGTTCCAAGTAGTGGATTATCCAAGCATAATTGGAATAGATAGACGTGACATGTGAATACATGTGATATATGCAAAGTATGCATGGTATATATCATAAAGATTCATAAAGTATATTGTGTATATGTAATGGATTGTAATGGTATACGGTATGTTGGTGGTTTATCCATGTATGTATTGTTGACTATCCTCCATTGCATGATCCAACACGTCCGCCAGGTCCGCCAGATGATGGTCCGCTCAATAGCATGATATTCCTGATCCATCCTGATCCATCCTGATCCCATATCAAAGATATTCAAAGATTCACCAAGTATCCAAAATGAACAAGCCTTGCTGGATGAGCACTTCTGGACATCCAACAGCGTTTCAGGATCTGGCATCTGCGAAAATCGTGGGTTTGACCTCAAACGTGATGCACATTGAGCATGGCAGCATGACATGGAGTGGCAAAACTATGCAAAACTCAAATTTTGAACCACACAAATCTCATACAATCTCATACAATCTCATTGTTGATATTTGTTGATCATCATTTTTTCCTTGATTTTCCATCCGCCTGAGACCATGCCAAGGCCTGGACAAAGAATCCCTCCTCAAGGCCTTCAGGTCTCCCAGGACCACCAGCGACCAGATTGGCACCTTCCTTTCTGATTTTCAGATGGGGTTGTCTGCTTCGACGTGGCCAAAAAAATGCCGTTTGAAAATGGGGAACATGATGGAACATGATTTTTAGAAAACACACAATGCATATCAATGCATATCAATGCATCATGCTTCATCAATCTTCATCATACTATGAGTTTGAAGTCCTTGATGCCCGTCTGGATGTAGCCTTGAACTCTTTCCCACTGCCTCAGAGTCTCGGACTCAACTGATTCAACCATGGTTTGTAGAGTCCATCCAACTGAGTTCAAGGCGCTTGAGATGCGAGGGGGCCAATGCTTGCCTGTCCAAGTCTGGAACATGTTGTTCTTTTCATTTCATTTCTTTCCTGTGGGTTCTCACAGCCAGAATCAGCCTTGGAGTCTGCCGATTTTCCGACTTTGACGCCCTCGACCACCTGGACCAAAGTCGGACGATAAATTGGTCGCATCACAATGTCTTCGGACATGATTAAGGCCTTCTTGGCAATTTCAATCGCTTCGGCATGACCTCAAGGCTAAAAACGGGGCATTGCAGGTCCCAAGGTCATCCAGCAGTGCATTGGAACCCTCTGGTGTTCACCTGGCAATAGGAAGTCACCACTACTTGGAATGTGCATGAATGTGGAAAATACTCTGTAAGCTTATTGGTCTTCAGGTCTTACCCAATTACACCCACTTTACCGGATGTTCTGTTCAACCATGTTCAACCTATACAGTCACCCATAGCTGGGAAATGCCCATCGCTTCCACGCCCTTGGAGCAATGCGCTGAGAGCTCGGCGGCTGGTTGGAACCAGCATGCGGCTCAAGGCGTTGCAGGATTGCCCGCTGTTTGACCTCAAGCACCACTGGCGAACCGGTAAGCGCCGTAGCGCGCTACGGTGGTGCAGGTGTGGCCGTGTTGAAGGATGGCTGAGCTTTGGCACATGAGGTGCATCACAAACTTTGGCACAAGCTTCTTGAAATCTGCATCCTCCATGTCCACTTTAGTCTAGTCTTGACATCTGTTGAAATCTGCAACAAAGCTAGTGTGACAGTATCCCAGAGCCCCAGCCAATCACCGCGGTCCTCAAGCAACAATGCTGCACTCTTACCACCAAGCTCCGTTCGGACCTTGTGACGCGTTCGTTGCTATCATCCATAGTTGTTTGTCCAAAAATAGGGTACCGGTTTCCACAAGATCCAATGCGGTTTGATGCGGTTTGTCATCATATTCCAATCTTGTAAAAAATTGGCCCGAAATGTCTGGTAACCCCCTTCCATCCCCATCCAACATCATCCAACATCGTATGGCCATCGTTGATCCTTTTTCGGATGGGGCCCATTCTGACTCGCCATCGGCGAGGCGAGTAACTGCTCGGTGTGCCGAGCTGCCCCTTTCAAGGTTTTGGCTGCCACCTCCGAAATCCTTCGCCCAGCGCGTGTGGAACCGGTGAAGCTTACCAGGTCCACGTCCGGGTGTGCCGCTATGACCTCTCCAAGAACGAGCTGTGGAGCTGTGCGCTAGGGTTCAAAGGTTGGTGGTTAATATGGAGTGTAAACATGTGTAAATTCTATGAACTGGAGCTTTATGGCACTGGCTTTACGACATGCAGCACATCATTGCGAAAGCAATAAAAATATGACCCTTACATATTCCAATGTCTATATAGTATATATATACATATATATTTAATAATTATAATTAATTATATTATAAATATAGTACTGTGGTATGTAGCAAGATCCTTTCCACTGGCCCAATGGTACAGTAGTTGTTGTTGCTTACATCCTTTTGGCCAACTCTTCAACAGTGTAGAAGGTTCTGTGTAAAAAGGTCTGCAATGATCATTGTTTGTCCATGCCAAGTATAGAAAAATATATCTCTAACCGACTCTAACCCAAATCCTGACCCTTCGCCAATCTTCGCCTCTCCACAATTCGGACCATCGCCCATGACCATGTTGTACACACCCGGAGGTACTCCTGCCTGCGAATCAACGCAGGCAGAACCAGGTGACATCGGGTGACATCCGGGTGACGGCCTCATGGATCGCCTCGGTCAGGATGTATGCCACAACAGGGGTGACCTGCAGCGATTTGAGGGGGCACTTGTGCTGCCCAGTACTTTAGCTGCCCAGTACTTTACTGAAAACTTTGACGGACCATCAAACATCAAAGTGTGACAAAATTCAGCAAAAACCTTGATATACCTTGATTTTCAGGGTCCCCAAAGGTCTGAACAAAAATCGTCGGGGTGTGATGGGGTGTGGTTCTCGCCTCGCTGGGTTTCACCACCACTGTACAGCCAACCAGCATGGCCGGAAAGACTTTGCAAGCCTCAAGACACTTGCTGGGAAGATATGCGATCATATATGAAGTAGATATATTGTCATAATATGTCATAATTCTCCAATTCTCAGGTTCATGCGATTCAGGTCCTCAAATTGATTTTGTCACCCAAAATTCAAGTGCCGCACGATCTGGTTCAGTGGATAGTTCCATGGTGTGATGCCTCAATTCCAGCGAGTGGAAACCACACAGCTGGATGGTTCTCCTCGTAATCATGGCATTGGTTGGGTGGGAAATTTTGCAGGAAACCACGGTTGGTACATGTTTGTACTACCCAAAAAATATCGGTGTGTTCATGTAATTCTTCAACCAGCCAATAATCATGGATAAACATTGGATCTTCACGGGTTTTCCCTTGCCAAGTGCTAACCTTGAGAAGCTCACAGCCAACCACTCCAATGGGCTCCTTTACGACCTGCAAGAGCTACAGCTACGTAATGATTTCAGAAGCAAAAAGGTACCAATGATGGCGATTCAGCCAACCAAAATATGGGGGATTCAACCGATTCCACTGGAATTTGTGTCAGGAATCTGAGGGAAGCGCCAAGCTTCCCAAAGACATCTTCTCCTCAAACTTGATGAGATCGACCATTTTTAAGCCTTGACGCTTGCTGAAGAGACAATCCATCGAAAATTTGGGGGACATTGACATATCGTTCAGTTTCGCCGCGCGACACCAATTTGATCCGAGTTGTAGGCAGGAGCCCAAGTGCATGTCTACCATATTGACCTGGGATGATCGGTTTGAAATGCCACACGTCTCAGTGCCTTCTGCTTTCACTTTAAAGGGAAGCTATTCAACTCAGGCATCCTTCCTATATGAAAATAAAAATGATGGCACCTCCCCAAGAGTCCCCTGTCATGTCATTGCTTCATTGGGTTCATTGGTCACATCATGTCAGATCCCCTTCCCGCCTGCACTTTGGAAGCGAAGTTCACGTTGCAGCCCAACTCTTTGATCAACCACTCTGTAGCAGCCGCCTGCATGCAGATTTTCCTCATCCATGGTCACGGTGATTGATCCCCTATAAAGTCATAGAACAACCATGTGACACCATTGACCATGTCTATACTATGTCTATTAATGGCAGTTTCACAAGTCATGGGGGTACCCCAAGTCATCATTCAAGTGATTGGTCATGATCAACGGCCTTTTTCAATGGGTTAAGATGGGTTAAGGATGGTTAAGGTATTCATATTTTAGGCAACCTATGGAAACCTCCATATTTACCATGATTTACCTGCATTGAATAAAAGATATAAAAGTCTTCCATGACGGGTGTTGTTCATGGTCATGGCCACCTTCTTCTCTTGCCATCGTTCCAGGACCTTTTGCAGCACAGCCTGACGGAAAAAGGCAGTAAAGGGTCTCCAGGTCTCCATCAAAAATAATCTGCCGACTCTTAAGTGGTAGTGTTGTATCATCCAGTAGGATAGCTACCCTCTGGTTATGTCAAAATAGCTATTCAAAATGGCCATTTATAGTTGATTTACCTATGAAAAATGGTGATGTTCCATGGTTATGTTAGTTTACCAGAAGGGTGGAGAAAAAATCGAACTACCCGGTACAAGTTCTAAAGTCAGGATGACACCACCATGGCCTTTCTCTCGTCCAGAGGCTTCTCAGCCTAAGCAAAAGACTCGGTCCAGTCTCCGACGTGGTCTTGAAAAGGATTCAAAACCGGATGTCCTGCAATTCCAGTATCACGTTCTCATTTGTTCTCTGATAATTTCACATAATTTCTTTTGGTCAATCCAGTCAAGACTTGGCTACAGTTCTGAAATGGAAGTGCAAGTTGATCATAGTTTATCATCCAATAGTTATAAGTTATGAACTTCGAGCATCTTTGTCTTCAAGTTGGCTTTCTGTATATGTCATTCTTCAGTCTCAGCCTAGCCATCCCCTCCAATCATGTCATGGTCCATGTTAGGCGCCCGCACCCATTTTGGAAAGGCCGAGCGCGCTGCTGCCACCGCAGCATCCACTTCAGAGGCACCGCCCATGGCGACGCGCGCGCAGACCTGCCGTGCGTCGTCCTAATCTACCCTTCATAGGGGGTATCAGTTATCAACCAACTTATAACTCGGGGGCACCACCTTGTAGGAATAAGATAAGAATGGGGATATATTGAGGAACTAACCACTTGGATATGAGATTTCATGGGTATGACTGTAAATGAAGTACAGTACAACCAAAAATGGCAATCTCAATAGGGAAAATGCGATAAACCAGTTCATTTTGGGGGACCCCCTGTTTGGGCAAACCAAAATATTGGTCAATATCAAATATGGGTTGAAAACTCTGTGATGGGTTGGATACCTAGGTCGCCTTCTTTTTGCAAGGCTTTCTCAAAGACATTTTAATCAAACAAACTATGCAGAGTGGTTTCCACTCTTGTTCACTGGCTTCGCGTTCACCTTTATCAAATCATATATATATATGTATTATATGTCGTGTTTTCCTTTCTCCTCAAGAATTGTAAAGTGGGCAGCTTCTTCAACCATGAGAATATCGAAGAATCATCCCAGTGGCCAGTGGGTCTCCAGTAGGATCAGTAGGCCCAGAGCGCCTGTCCCGTGTTGGAATCGATGACTTCCGAACACTTCCCAGAGGAGCTTATCCACCTGGAGTTGTGTTTTTGGCTCCCAGGCCCAGAGTAGGATGGAAAAGATGCAGGAAACACCGATGGTTATTTCCTGCAGATGTTTCAATTGAACATCGGCCTGGGTCAAACATGGGGTGCCCCATGGATACAGAAATTGGTCATGTTCGATCATCTACCTTGCAGGGCTATTGTTGAGCCATAATGGAGCCCCAAGTGATACCAACAGATCCCAAATGGGTTTGTCTGAAAATAGACTCCCCCAAACTTGATGATTGAGCACCTCCTCATTTTGCCAAAATTGCCACTATTTTGGGGTTCACCCTGTTTTCAGATGCACCATGATACACCCAAATGTGTTTCAGCTGCTCAAACATGTCCGGTTTGCTGGCCATTCACATAGTGTCGGTCCCAGGTTGGAACACTGGCGCTGGCCATCGCACGAAGAAAAGGCGACTTGGCCAAAGGCTTCGAAGCCAGCCGCAGGGCTCTCATCAAGCGACAAAGGTCAACTGACTGGATTGCCCAGGGAGCTTTGTGTCCAGGGATTACCTGTTTTTTTTGCTTTTTAGATGTTTGAAGTCTGGAAGTTTGGCATAGATCTGTTCTCATCTCACCAGTCTTCTCAGCAACCAGCTAAGATCAGCCAAAAGTGATCATGCCAAGCTTTTCATGTGCAAAGAAGCCTGTTGTATATGATGCCTGTAAACAGCTGCACAGAGAAATAGCATCCGCTTTGGTTCCAGCTGGTCAGCCTGCAATTCAAAAATCGGTCCAGCTTCCTTCACTTGGGTTTGCCCAAAGAATCACACTAGGTTACCAGGTACCCAAATCCACTCATAATTCATCATAAATTTCCCATGAACATTGTCAATTTATGTCACTTTGAATTTGAGCTGCACCCATGTGCCATCCCCATTTCGAAAAAAATGTCACTGCCATCCCCAGTGGATATTTTCTCGACGTCCTCCCCACGCAGGAGATCGCCAGTATTACACAGCCTGCAGTTGATTTCCGGGAAATCTGACATGAAAGCAGGGTTCTTCCCAGGTTCGTACCATCCAAACAATGGGTCTCCTGCAATGGTTCCAGGATAAAAATGATAAAATCCGTCCAACATCACCATATTCTGCAAGCTTTCGCATCTGCACAAACAAATAAGCTGCTCACGGATATCCAGATCGAATGTCGCCTCAAGCTTGCCGCTGCTTGCCATCGATCTCCCATCTCCCAAGGGCCACACGCACGGTTCTCTCCTCAGGCCAATCCACCTCAGCATGTCGTCATCCCAGTCCGAATCCAGTGTCACGACTGGTTGGTTGGTTCAACCCATTCCAAAAATGTCCAAAAAGAAGAGTCAGTTTGGAATAGTTTGGATCATTATCCCAAGTATGGTTGAACCCCAAGATGTACTTTCAGCATCTTGGTCTGCCTTGGTCCTGGAAAATCCTCTAGTGAAAGCCATCACAGACCAAGGTGCTTGGTGCAGTCTGGCCAATGTTGCCGCCAGTTCCCTGAGAATGGCTGGAGCTTTGTCCTGACCGGCCCACGCTTCAGCAACGGACACTTGGATCAAGATCGCACTAAGATTGTCACAAATTCAACAGACAGTAGATTCTGTAGATGCTTGCAAAAAGTGAAAATGTGGTGCTGGGCTTCCATGATCTTCCATGAATCTCATCAACATCGCAAATGGCCCATGGCGCCTCCTTCTCAGCCAACACCTTGTCGCCAGACTTTCCGTGAATGAAATCCAGCAGTATGGCACTCCTCGACAAATCATCCAGTGTCTGTGGCTCGGTATGAATCACATGATTTATATGGCGCAAGAAATTGACAAAGGGCCCATCAGCCGTTCGCCTGAATACTTCAATCTATTTTGTTGGGTCAAAAGTCTTGAACGATGGCCTGTTTTCTCCACAATGAGCAGTTCCAACTGCTCCTTCCATTCTGTTCCACCATCAGAGAGCCAGAAGATGAAGGGTGCGGGTAGTTCGTAGGAAAGCTGCAGGTCCTGAACTCCAGTGTGGCTGCAGGGTCTCCAAATCGCTGGTGGATCATGTACTCCTCCAGGAATACCATAGGTTTTGACCAAACCCAACATCTTCCCACTGGTCCCACTGCAACTGCTCGCCTCAAGTGGTTCATGACGAAGAGTTGGTGCTCAATATCCTGCCAACGTGCACCAGAACTGGCTGCAGTTTGGTGGTTCCCCACACGGGAAAGCTGGGGAAGGTCCTCGATGTTGAGGCCACCATAATTTACCTTCAGAAGGAAAGGTCGACTTGTGCCTTCACAACTGGCGGACTGGAGAACTGAAATGAAATTGTCTAAATGCCTTTGAGTCCTTGGAGCAAATCAGTTCGGTGATGTTGACTTGTAATATATGTATTATATATATTTATATTATATAATATAGACAATATAGATATATGAATTGAAGGTTTCCTACAATAGTGGTACCCCAAATCATCCGAAATTAGACCATTTTGGTATTGAAACATATTGAAACCCATGGTGACTTGGGGATCCCCCATTTTTGAAAACCTCCAATGATGCTAAACCAAGGATCTGAAACTCGGGGTGCAAAAACTGGCGTCTAAAATGCACAGGTCCAGCACCTTCCCCGTCTTTCTTGGCGATCACCTCGCAGCAGATCACTGGCCCCACTTACCCTCCAGTATCAAACATGGTGGGGCTGGGGAAGTCCCCTCTGGACGGAAGTCTGGAGGGGGAAATCATCAATAAATGGGCTATGTTATGATAACAAGTCTTCCATATGTTATTGTTATGATTAGAAATCATCAAGAATTGACAGGATGGTAATTCTTGGAACACTAGCCATGTGGCAATTGTGGCAGCGATCATCAGCGATCTGCATCCGAAAGCCTTGAAGTTCGACGATGCATAGCCACCATACAAACGGACTGGCCTGAAAAAGATCTGCATGTTTGGATTCTGCAGTGGAGGTGGCATCCACATTGAGGATATTGAGGCTGACGCTGCTCCGCTGATCTAAAACCAAACGCTGCAACGAATTGCTCTGCCTCAGCTACGTGCAAACCAGAAAGACAATGATGCAAACGTGCGTTGCTCAGAAAATTGCGTACTCTAATAAGACTTGTCAATTATATTAATCATCATTGTCCGTATAAAATTGCTATTCCCGTCCCAACAGCAGTGTTTGCTATGGGCCACCACTGGTGCATCGCACCTCTTCTGGAGATAAACTGTCCAATGCCACCTCTGCCTGAAACCAATGTGACAATGTGCATTTTGCACTGCGAACGAAAAAGAAGACCAAAGCATTCTTCACCTGAAATTGAGCTCTATAATGCTCTATAGCTTATAGCTATTTATAGCTCAAGTGTTCTACAACTGCAAACAATGTGCAACGTTGAACAGGTAAACTAATTACTAGTTGTTATAGACCTGCAATTCAGATCAATTCAGCTTCATGTTGCACTTTTCGACCCTGCACCAGGTCATACCAGGTCCAATTTATAATACTTTATGAGGGTGGGCCTTGCTCTCGATTGCCATCTTTCCAGCTAAAGAGTGATCAGCGGTCGGTGGAAATGCAACTGACTAAGTCCAGGTACATCGTGTGTCAACTTGCCGTCACGGTGCTACTTCGTATATTTATTCTAGTAATAGAAACAATATGAAACAATTGCAAACCATTTAAGTTGCGTTTGCCTGTGGCAGGGATCAAATTCTGCAATTGAAGAGTTCTATTGCCATGACACAGCAGAGCCCAATCTCCACACAGTTTGAGTCATGGGAAAACAGCGGTCGTGTCACAGACTTCACATAACTACGGCCCAAGTCCTTATCCCCCAAAGAATCCAGCTTAAGATGCTTAAGTATGACTGTGACCAGAAATAATCTCGTCCAGTTGATACCACGTTCTTGAGCAATACCCACACGATCCATGGAATGCCATGATGCTGCTTTGTTCCAAGCTGTAAAGTTCCGGGTTCAACCCAAACCTGACCAAAGATCTCCCGGTCGCCACAGGCTTGCAGCAAGCTCTTTGGCTTGGTCTGGGCGTCAAATGCGACCGCCCGCATTTCTATAGACATCATACATCATCTTACAACTAGGAGGTTGGCTCTGACCAGCATCTCACTCCTCTTTGGTGTGAGGGTCTCTTCTGCTACCTCCCAACACATACCTTGCACGGTGGGCCCATGCCCAGGTTGCAATTTGTGGCACTGCACTGTCACTGAGGACCTTACTGGACAATAACATAACCTATGATGAAGGAGAGAAAGGCCCACAGGTGCTCGCTCTTGAGGAACTGGCCGGTCAAAGTTTTGCAGCGGCTCATCATCTTTCATGATTTTTCATCGGGTAGGAAATTGTTTGGGGATTTTTTTTTTTTAAGTTTGGGGATTTTTTTTTGGATTTCCGGTTCTCACCATTTTCCATGCTATTTGCAGCATTTTGGAGCTGGAAACTGCCATTTCCACGGTATGTGCAACGGTTTTGAGTTCGAACCTCTCATTTTCCATTGTATTTTCCACGGTATTTGCAACAGTTTGCAGCATGTTCTGTCCATTTTCCATGCTCTTTGCAGCATTTTTGAGCTGGAATCTGCATTTCCACCGTATGTGCAACATTTTACAGCTACATTCCTCACAGTACTTGCAGGATTTTGGAGCTGAAGGCTGACATTCCAACAGTTGTTTGTTGTTACTGTTACTGTTGTTGGTGTTGGTGTTGGTTGTTGTTGTTGTTGGTGTTGTTGTTGTTGTTACCGTTAGTGTTGTTAGTGTTGTTAGTGTTGCTAGTGTTAGTGTTGTTAGTGTTGTTAGTGTTGTTATATATATACAATATATATATATATACATATATATATATATATACAATATATATATACAATATATATATATACAATATATATATATACATATATATATATATATATATATACAATATATATATATATACAATGTATATATATATATTCTAACCAAAGTAGTGTATTGAAATGTGTGCAAGCTTGAATTTAAATAAAAAAAAGCGGGAGGGGGGGATTGGGGGGGACGGCGCAGCGCCTCCCCCCCAAAGCAGATTGGAAACACCTATTTTCACATGCAAGGTGCTAGGTTGAATGTGATACTCAAGGTGTATATACTACACGACATGCACCTTGGAAACATGTGGAATGTAGGTTAAGGCACAACGATGCACAATAGTTTCATTTGATGTTATCATCGAGTTGGTTTAAGATCTATTTATATAAGGTTTGGTTCAGGGTTGGCTTGGGGTTTGAATATCATCCGCATGATAATGCAAACCTTTTAGGTAGATATATATATATATACAGATATATATATATATATAGATATATAGATAAATAGATATATATATATATTTAAAGATATATAGATATAAAGATATATGTATATATACATATAGAAATATAGATAGATATATACAGATATATAGATATATGGTGGTATATAAATATATAGAGAGAGAGAGAGATATAGATATATAGAGATATATATATAGATATATAGTGTATATATATAGAGAGAGATATAGATATATAGATATATAGATAGATATGTATAGATAGATAGATAGATAGATAGATAGATAGATAGATATGTATATAGATATATAGATATAGATATATATAGAGATATATAGAGATATATATAGATATATAGATATATATATAGATATATATATAGATATATATATATATAGATATATAGATAATTATATAGATATATGATATATATATAGGTATATAGATATATAGATACAGCCATAGATGTAGATATAGATACAGATATAGATAGACATAGATAGATATAGATACGTAGATATAGATAGATATAGATAGATATAGATGGATATAGATGGATAGAAGATGTTGCTCCACACCTCATGGAAAAGCAAAAAAGCAAAGAAACGCAAAAAAGCAAAAAAGCAAAGAAAAGCAAGAAAAGCAAAAAGGCAAAGAAAAGCAGAAAAGCGAGAAAAGCAAAAAAGCAAAGAAAAGCAAGGAAAGCAAAAAAGCAAAAAAGCAAAGAAAAGCAAGAAAGCAAAAAAGCAAAGAAAAGCAGAAAAGCGAGAAAAGCAAAAAAGCAAAAAAGCAAAAAAGCAAAGAAAAGCAAGGGAAGCAAAAAAGCAAAAAAGCAAAGAAAAGCAAAAAAAACAAAAAAAGGAATAGAAGCAAAGAAGCAGAGAAGCACTGCAGGAGGCAATAGAGTAAGCAGGAAGAAATCCAAAAAAAAATCCCTAAACTAAAAAAAAAAAAATCCCTAAATAAATGGCCCTCCTTTTTCATCCAGTTTCGCACAAGAAATGAATTGATTCAGATTGATTCAGTTCTCCCGAACAGCTAGGGTCATCCACCAATTCACTCAACAGGATCATCACGGTTTGGGAACGTGGCCTCCGTCCACTGGCATCGTGCTGACATCTGCTGCGCACCTGTTCCTCCTTGTCTCTGACATCTTCATTGAAATCACTGCGCAGCTCCTAGGCCGCATACTGCTGTCTTTGGTAATGCACAGCAACTCTTGAGACAATTTAGTTGTTTCATATAATTTGCATATAATTTGCTATACCATTGAAGCATCCCAACTGCCCAAAGCTGTTTGTTCTTTCCTGCAACTTTCCTCCGCGAAAAACCGCTCAACAACCAAGCTGTGGACCTGCTCTTGTGGCACGCCAGGCATCTCTGAGTCATCGAGAAGGTCCAACTGGGCGGATTCCGCAAATCATTTCCAGTGGAAAAAAAAAACTCATCATTGGTGGTTTTCCCATCATTTCCCATAATTTCCATGGAATTCCACTCATCATTTCCAATCATTTTTCATATTTTCCAGTGGAAGCAGTGGAATTTCCATGGCCTCATTGGGCTCGGACAGGTCTGGTGGGCTAAAGGATCCACCTGAGGCATCGGGGATCCTGGCAAAATATGGTTGAAGAATGTTGGAAATCAATGGAAATCAAACATATCTGAAACCACCAAGATCAACAACCACATATTATCAGACGTTTTTGTTCAATACATTTCAATATAGATCTAATGGCTGCCATATGATAAACTTCAATATATAGATCTAATAGCTGCCGTATGATTTGTTTCAGCCCCCCTTGGTTTCTGCTTAGCCAAGTCACTTGTGGCAACCACGGAAGGACCCGTGCCGCTTTTCGCGAAGCTCGCAGCAGACCTGCGGACATCGAATCGCAGCGTGGAAGCCCCACTGTCAGATCCTGACAGTGGCTTGATTTACTGGAAAATCTGCAGGAAACATTCAAATATGATCAAATAATTATAGGGGTAAACTATATTTTTTTCGTTGACATGCAATCCTGGGAAACTGTGAGCTGCGAGCAGCTATTCCATTGAAGTCTTGCCCAGCCTGTCCAAAAGAAATGCGTGTAGCAGTGCCAAGCGCAACCAGAAAGCTGGGGCCTCACATGATTTTTATGACAAATCCAGAGGCTACTGTAAGGCAATGCCAGCTGGAAGGAAGCTGGGACACCAACTCTGCTACCAGTGCTAGCTTTGATCGCCATGCCCTTCAGGAAAAGTGCCTTGCACCAGCATGCTTGCTTGAAGCACAGGTGGAAGTATGATGGCAAGCACTATTGTACCGGGGAGTCTGTGATGCTTGTGTGTGAATCTGCATGATGTGTGAGGTAGATAGAGAGAGAGAGGGGAAAAAAAGATGAAGGGCAAAGGCTTGGAAGTGATGAGAATCAGTCCATCCCATGCTGCCCTTCCCACTGTCATCACTTTGCCGCCTGCTGGCAAAGTGGTAGTCTTGTCAAATAGAGCGTGGAGGGGCTCAAGTGCTTGAGCCACTGCAGTCAACGTTTTGATGGCGCCCCTGCGAGGTCCCCAGGATAGGTCCTGTCATCTCCATCTGATTTTTCTGCGCGGCGTCTTATAGTACAACCATGGCAGGGCATGCGGCCCTTCGCTTATCTGAATCCGTCGATTTCGTTCTCGCAACAAAACTGTCTCAAAAAAAATACATAAACGTCTCCAACTTTTCATGATTCATACAGCTTTGAACGAAACCGTTTACATCCAGATGGATGGATGGATTCCTGCTGACATTTTCGCAAATTGGCACAGGACGAGGCCCAGGACAGGTCTCCGAGGAATCTCTGCTAGAGCCGAGACCCCAAAGGACCCTCGGCATCCCTGGAGAATGTTGCTTGCAACAGTCTCAGAGTCAACCGTATTAGATACAACCACATAATATGTTAATATACAGATGTATACAGTATACAGGATACACATGTCAGTATACAGGATACACATGTATGTATGAGTATTAGTTGTTGTGAATAAAAATCTATTACTTTCACAATCAAACATGGTAACATGGCGTTGGATTTTGCTGGTTTGGGATCATCTGGGGCCAGCTTTCATCATTGGTGGAATCTGAGACTTCCATGAAAAAGGCAGCCAACCTTCGATCCTTCATGCAGCCGATTTTGGGCCACTTAAACGAAACTCTGGTCGGACTGTGAGACACGATCAACATGGATTTGTGTCAAAATAATGAACGCAAAAAAAAATAAAAACTCATCAGTATCATCAGAAAAGGGTAATGATACACATCTGAATGTCTCAAACAAGAAACTTCTCTGAGTTTCGACTATCTTCGACCCATACCAACTGTTTTGACACCCAAATTGCCACAGTTTGACATTGGCTCTTACGCTGCTTGAGCTTTCAGAGCAGCGACAAAGCTTGGCACATCTTCGGTCTCCATGAACCGCGCGTAGATCTCAGTGACGCTTCAGTTGCTCCAGCTGCAGTCATCTCATGCTTAGGCATCTTTTAATAGGTGAAGTGTTTTATACTTATACTGAGATCATCTGAAATCTATTCAATATAAAACACTAGTATATAGTATATACTATCACCCACACATTGTTTGTGTGTACTTTGCACTTTCAAATTTTCCTTAAAAAAAACACAGAAAACATTTTGAAAGCCATTGCCATTGCCGAGCTTGGGACGCGCAGAAAAGATTGCGCCCAGGGAGACTCCGACTCCCGGGCTGCGCTACAGAGCCGCTCCTTCTCCCAAGCCTCGTAGGTGGATGGGTATACCATGGTATACCACAACCAGTAGGGGTTTTATGATGTTTTATGTCTGTATATAGAATTATTAGAACTCATATTTACATTGAGTTTCTGTAGATCTCAATTTCATTGAACATGACTTGATGATATCTTTCATGGCACCAGGTCCTTAAAATAGCCCCGTTAACAGATCCAGCTGGCCTCAAGCCAGCCATCCTCCGCCAAGGCTGATAGGAGGCTTGTGATGTGCGTCCTCCGGAATTGAACGGACCATCTCCCAATGACTGGTAGTCACACCCAGTTGTTTTGACCATAGCTAGTTGAACTAGATGTGATTATATCATATATCCACAAAATCCCCATGAATATACCATATGTATGTATATATATATATATAATTATATATATACCATGAAATCACCCATCTTTGACTATGGCACAAAACTATAGGAAGCTCCTAAAGGATAGAAAAGTGACTCCAAGATGGTATAGACAATATCTAGCTGTAGTTGCCAGGTGTCCAACTTTTCTTCTGAGGCTTTGCTACGTTGATTTCACTCCTCAGCAGGAAGTTGTTGAGACGCACAAAGGACGCCACTCGAGGATTGCCCTCAGCACAAACGCCAAGGATCAATGATAATGAATGATAATTAATTGGAATTCATTGATGATTAATCGAGATGTTGTATGCTTTATCCGGGATTCATGGGGATTCATGGGGATTCATTGGTATTTGTGGCTGAATTTCGGGGATTCTATGAGGATTCTATGAGGATTTACCCGGACTTATGATGATACAACCAACAAATGTGGGGATTCTGAAGTACAATGTTGTCAACAGCTGAGCTCACCCGGCCTTTGGTGAGCTGACCCGATAATCCATGGACCTGGGATTCATCAAATCCAGGATTGGTCCGGAACATCCATTGCTCATCACCGCTTCCTCATTAAATGACCCGAAATTGGGGGTCAATCCCTCCCTGATATCACATCTAGATGTCATAGGTCATATCCCCACATATCCCCATACAAACTAAGTCTAAGTACTCAACTGTCTGCAGAGATACCCCTCAAGCACCATTCCCTTGAGGCGCAAACCAACTGTCTCGTGGAGGATCTAACTCCCTGCGTGGCATGCCTCAACTCGGCGGTGCCGTGACACCCCAATTCCTCTGAGTCTGTATAATATATGCTAAATATAATGTTAAATATAATATTCTACAATATATTTATATATATATATTATATATTTATATATATTATATATATATATACATTATATAATGTGTATATTATATATATTTATATATTATATATATATTATATAATGTATATATTTATATACACATATCCAGTTATAATAATATAACTTATAACTGGGTATCCATAAGTGACACAAGGCAACCAGTGGTTCATTCACTCTTGTGAGGCCCCTGACCACAGGGTGCAGATGGGCAGGACCTGAGGTGTGCAAGGTGCATGTGGCATGTGGTGCACAAGAAAAGTAGCGTAAAGAGCGCCTGAAAGACAAAAATGCTTCGGAGATGAAGTTGCAATACAATGCTTTTGTACAGTAGGATTGTAGGATTGTAGGGTGTGATGATGGTCTGCATGCTTCGGAAATAAAGACGAGTTTCTCATAGTTTTTCTACCATGGCAAGCTTTCACACCGCTTGCTCCGGGCTTCGTGGTATCTTGTAGTTCTCTGTTGTGAGACCATCGAGATTTCCATTGTTCCAGCCAACCCGCCTCGGCAGCGGTGGTTGACCGGGACTGACTGAGGCCTGTTGAGCAGTTTCGCAGCGACGAATGACTGTCAGACTGTCTCAAATTAAACAAGTTGCTGCCGTTGCTTTGCAAGTCCATTCAGTTTAGTCAAGTCTCCCATGAGACCGTGTAACCACAGTCTATGTCTGTGTGAACATCATCTATGTCGTTGTAACTGCTATGTCGTGGTAACCACCATGTTAGTGTTCTGAGCCTTTGATTTTTGCACAGTCCCAAGTTCCGCCTTCAGAGCATGACGGCCACTACTCCCGCCGGTTCCGGCTCCCGTGCACCCCTGCGCGATGGGGTACCAACGGACCAGACTGAGCAGCCTGTGGGTAAGTCTTAGGGATCTGCTTAAGGGGACCGGAGACCATAAAAAACATATAAAAACAATCAACAGTAGATTCCCCAAATAGTGAATCCACCAATGGGAAAAATAAACATCATCTTCAGCAAATCCAAATCATTCTTTATATTAACCCAGAACTCCAGAACTCATGCATTTCGGGGGTTGATGGTTTTTGTAAGTGCCCAAACGGATAAATGACACACAGCCTCCACATCTAACGTGGCAAAGATTGTCCATTCCCGGCTAGAGTGCTAGTTTTGCACACTCAAGGAATGTCATCTGTTCAACAACCAGTAGATGGAAAATTCAAGCACAAGATCTAAGCAACTTGTTAGCACTTAAATTTGCATCCCCTGAGATTCATTTTCTGCAGAGCAGCAATGAAATAGGCACCAGAAGCCTCATGTTCTCGTCCATCAATGTTCTATCTTCAATCATCAAAAAGAAGATCTTATTTCAAAAAATCAACATAGCATAACCCAAAAATATCCAAAAATAATGAATAAAACTCCTCAACAACTTGTGACGTGAGGCTTCGGCGCTCGAGCTACTGCGAGCCCCATGGGGACATTTCGCCGCTATATACAATCCTCCAGCTGATCGCTGACAGCTTGGTGGTTGAACAGCACCGCAAAAACATGCGCAGCTCAACAGGTATGATAATGATCAGGAAGTCATGGAAGTCATTGAAACCACCAACCGACCATTTGCTGCAATCGTGGAGTTTTCCAGACTTTGTTCATAGTGTTCACCATGTTCCCCCTTTTCAATGCGAATTTCTGCTGAAGGAGAAGCAAATGGTGGGACATTCAGCGCATTCACCTTGGACTCCAATGCCACCAACTGGCTGCCATGACTGGCACCGAATGGCGGCAAGTTGATGGCTGGTGGAGAAATGTGCCAAGTGACAATTGAGGCGCTCCATCCTTCACTTCTTTGATTTCTTTTCCTGGCTGAAGCAGCAGGACTTTCTGGATGCCTTTTTGCAAGCCCAACACTTTCCAGGTCCCACAAGTTGCCTTCGTCTCTTTCTTTTCTTTCTGTTCATCCTCCGGAAGCCAACGCCATCATCATGAGAAAATCGGGAGCCTGACTATGATTCTGATGATGAGTATTATTGATAACTGTTATTATCATTTATCATCATGATTGACAATATCTATGATTGTTATTGCTGTATTGTTATTGTTGTGCTTATTATTATTATTATTGTTATTATTATTATTGTTGTTATTATTATTATTAGTATTATTATTAGTAGTAGTAGTAGTAGTACTATGACTCTTATTATTGCCATGATTCATGATTGTTATTATTGTTATTCAATGGTTTCAAGTAGATCACCGCCCTTGAGTTTTCTAATGTATTTCTGAGGACTTCATCCAGTCTCAGGGATTTTCTCTCCTGCAGGGTATAGGTATCCAAGGCTGACCACAAGGATCCACAAGGTATATACCAAGCAACAGGCAAAGACTTGAGAAAATTGAGAAGTATCCATCATCCCTATCGTAAACTGGCTGCTGGCCGGTACTTGTCTGTAGATTGGCTTGTAACTGGTTGTTTGCCAGCGCTTTTACCCGCTCTATGGCCGTTTCTGGACCTGTCTGTAGATTGTCTTTCTGTTTCGCGACCCGAACAAAGGCTGTCTAAAAGACCCCCAACAAAGGATGTGTATCCAACGAGACATTGGGGATGGCTTACGAGTGTCCCATGGCCTTTTTTGGAGATGTTTGCCCAAGATTGGTTCTACAACCTACAACGACAGTATCGCAGAATTGTCCATGAAATTCTGTTGTACCCTTAGGTGCTCAGACATGGCTAGCTGGCAATCCCCAAAGAACGGAGGCTTTAATCGGAAACTCAGCTGTTCGATGGGGACTTTTCGCCATGTGTACGTACCTCAGGCCAATGGCAATGGCAGAGTCTCAGGACCCAACTTCATCATCTTCCTTTTTCTCCTGAAGGTATGAAGTTTGAGCACACAGGCGTCGCATGGCGTCGCTGAATAACACTTCTGCCCCTATCCCGCCAGAAGAATCCAGAAGATGGGTAGCTGAAACCATCTGAAACCTATTCATGGAGACCAACATGCCTTCTTTTCCTTCTTCTCTTTCTTTTTTTTCTTGTCCTGAAGGGTTGGGCCGGCCTCCCTGATCAACCCATCGCATCGCAAAATGCTGAGAAATGGGACTCCACAGGGAGCTTGTATGGCGTCTACCCCAATTATGGCCATCTAAATGGAAAAATGATCATGAAAATTCTAGTTTGATGGATTTTGGAGTTGTCCCAGTTGTCCCAGAAATTTTCGTACTCTCAAAAACTCTTTGGGTGCACCTCCAAGTCTTCCAGATCTGGCAAACCTCAACACGCTGGCCACGCTGAGGCCGTTGAGGCCGTTGAGGCCGTTGAGGCCATGGCTGGGAGACCTCTCTACAGCTCCGGGCCTCAGGGTGCCATACACAGCTGTTCATTTGGATCATATTCTCGAGCTTATCTCATAAGTTCCAAGCGTGGATCTTGATCGCATGCTTGTAGTGGATGTGATTTTCATTGATTTTCTCAAATAAAAAATTTGGCTTTCGTCTGGCTGCAAATTCATACAGGTGTCCAAAACAAAGGAACGAAAGGAAGACACCTACTCCGTTCATGGATTTTCAGCTACATACCCAGCTCTATTTGCTACATCACATTACATCCATTTGGAGGTGATCTCCCGGTTCTAGCAGCTTGCCTCATATCTCAACTGACAGGGGAAAATCTGGAGGAAAATCCTGGCATTTTAGCGATAGGTTTTTCACCATACTCACACTTTTTCACCATACCTATCTAGGACCTATCATTTAACCCATGGGGCACCATTTTTTCACCCTGGTTTCCTCTTCTCAGATCAACATGAGAGGCCTGAGAGTCCCTGCGGTTACCACATGTTACCACCAAGCACCGCCAAGGCCAGGAGGAATTCAGTTTGGAGCTCGAATCAAGACCTGGCTTGGGGAGGGGATGAACTTAGGCTATTTTTAAGGGACCCGATGGATAGAAAATAGTGCTTAACGACTTGACGTTGTCGTTTTTTTGCCTATCCACGTTATTGATATTCCCGTGGGTTGAAGGCCACTGCTCAGAACACTGGTTTAACTGGACCCCATCCCGAAAATTTTCTGGTGAAACAGTGACTTTTATTTATCTTTGTACCAGACATGTCAATGGATTGGTTTAAGGGACAAATTCACAGGAAACCATGGATTTCAAACCCAAGTATCATGACGTCCTTGAACATTTGCAATCAGTTGAATGGGGAAAGCGCTGACGATCCATCGGAACTTTGTGTATCCTATTTTCAGACAAACCCACATGAGCCATGTAAAACACCCGTATCCAATCCTATCCCATTGTACTGGTTGGTAACTTGGTATCGCGTGAAAAAATATGACTTATTTGAAAAATATTCGTAATTCATCCCAGCAATCATCCCAGCAAACATCAATAAACATTCAATCAACCAGTTACATCCTACATTCTAAATCCATCTAAATCCCACATAATTCTCAACCAGTTAACAGCTTGATATCTTTGCCGCTCCCCCAATCGCCCCAAGAAACTCCAGCAGTGCAATGGACCGGTCCTGCTCCGCTCCTCATCCGCCGCTGATCCGCCAAGCCGCCCCTCAGGGCAAGCTGGAAATCATGGGGAAAACGGAGTTTTCCTGGCCAGAATTGGAGGATGTACACCATGTTTGGACACACCCAGAAGTAGATCTTTCAAACCAGGATTGGTGAGGCCACAAGTTGCACAACTACTGGTGCGTTGAACTTAAACCATGCTTGGTGGTCAGTTTTAAACGATTTCAAACGGATTGATTACATCAACGCTGGCGAGAATACAGTATCACAAGTGAGTTGCTGTCTTCCCCCAACTCAGCGTTGCAGCACATGCCTGCCAGCATTTTCAGGAAAGAAATTCCAGAGCAGTTTGCATCTAATCTCCTCTTGAAAAAAGTTCTTGAGAATCCGGCAATGAAGATTTCCCCCCATTTTCTACATGACGTTCCTATTCCAAATCCCTCAGATTTTCCCGCTCCTGCGCTCGCATCAGAGGGATGCAGCACACTTGAGCACTGTTCTGAGCCTGGCGCAGAAGATATCAATCAACATGGATTTGCCAAGAGCTATGCTATTTCTCTTGGTATCATGATGGATCATACTTGATCATGATGGATCTGGTGTTGACAACTCACCACATGCGATTTCCTTTTGCGCCCGCATGTGAACAATTTATCGCATCCTCACCAGAGGACCCAAGACCCGCATGCCTTCCTGCTGCTTGTTTGATTGAGGTTCCTAAGTTGATTTGTGTAGTCGTGTATAGCCTATATATGTCTAAAAATACTTCATAAAAGTCCATGTGTCGTTCCCACTTCACCATGTTTGCTTCACCACCAACATATCGGGTCTTGGGCTTGGCATGGCTATCTGTCCTACTTGCAGAAGCCATTCAGGCACGGAGGCCTGTTGCCACTGGAGCTCATAACCGTCCTCCAGACGCAGCTGTACAGAAATACGTGTCACTCTCCTTAGAACTACTATCATAGAAAGGAGATTCACATGGCAAAGTCAACTGTTCATCCAAAGTTTGAAAAATGTGAGCCATGAGAAATACCCCGCTTTCGAATTTGGAATACTGGCTGAGAAATAGGTATCCCATTAACTATGGGTCTTTAGTAATCCCCAATAATTAAACCAGTTAGCATAACCCCCTATCTTAAGCCTCCAACAGGGATATGTCATATGTTTCATGGTTCGTTTCTACACAGGAGCACAAAAATAGATTCGCGACTGATCTTGCCACGTGGCTGAAAATATTGGGAACCCACACGGGCTAAACATTTCAAAAATACCTGCGCAACAGGACTCCAGAAATCCCAGAGAAGACTGCTGCCAAAAAGTGCATCTGTTTCAGAAAAGCAGCTTGTGACAAGGTCACACCATTCACAATGAAGCCTGCAGCACTGTCAGAAATGTACCGTACGAGGTACTGTCGGTCAGTATCAGCTCCTTCACCAAACATGTTGAGCTGATTGACAAAGGCTGGGATTTGCCTGCACCGTTCACTGAGAGATGCGCCTTTCGCACAGAGGCACGTGGACAAGTAGAAGAGGTAAAGAAGAGGAAGTAGACTCCACTCATAGATGGAAGTCTTCCAAACGTCCAGACCATCATCTAGCAGCAGAGCGAACGAGCCTGCGAGGGCAGCAAAGAAGCCAACGTAACCGAGGAGAAACAATGCCGTGAAACATGGCGTGATTTCTCTTCCAACACACTTCAGCAATGCTTGAAGAGAGTTCCAGCTCTGGATCCCACTGATGAAGTCTTGAGTCTCTGTGATGTCTGCGCACCAGCAATCCAATGTCTTTCCCAGGCCCAGAAGCAGATTGAACTGTATGTATGCTCCATTCATGACCACCGCACTGGAGATTGCAAATAGGATGCAGCTTGCGAAAGCTTGGAAAATACGGAGCCACCTGGGCAGTCAAACAACCTTGGTTTTAAAGATCCATCTTCTCGAACTAGTAGTCACACAATTGGATGAACATTAAACACATGCAAAAACATCGAATTGGATGGAAAATAAACAATGGATGGACCATGAAAATATTTCAAACCACCAGCTAGCCTCGAGCCGTCCGGTGCCGGTGCGTACCAACCTTCCCTATTTCCTGCAATCTCCTCTAGAAACTGCTGGATAGTGAAGGCCAGCAAAACCTGACGGAAACGTTGCGTCACGACATTAACTCGAAAATGGCCCAGGAAAAAACACCAAATATCTCCTGATATTACGAAGTGAAAACTATTTTGGGGTAGTGGGAAGATCCATTTTTGGGGGGCGCAAATTTGTCCATAATCTGCTTACTGGCATGTCGCCAATAACCTAGACCTGCTTACTGGGGTTGCTTGTGGTCAATGGACACCGGTACCATACGACACACCCATATACAGTAGATATGTTTGCCATGATAAAAACATACCGACTCATTTCATGCCAATGGCAAAAAATAATCATGTGTTTCATCCAGTGACATTTGTTTTGATCACACAAAACAAAACATTGAAATCGTGATGTTTGTATATTTTTGTACTGAAACAGATCTGAAACAAAAAAAGATTTTTTCTCTGTTCACTGAAATTTTTTTATGTGTCTCATCATGTTTCATTCATTTTCTACTGTTTCATATGCGTTTCATCATTTTCCATTCAGTATTCAGTGGTCCGCGTATGTTTTTTCATCATGTTCCATCGAGTTTTCTGTGATTTTCTGAATTAATGCAAGAGAAGAGACCCAGCCCAGTAAGCAAATTGTCGATCTGCTTACTGCGCCGCCCTTGTAAACAGAACCACTGACACCGAGAAACTGTCGTGGTAGATGATATTTTTGCTGTAAGATTGAATGGAGGGGTGGTTGCATATGTCAGTATATATGTATATAGAATGTCTCCACGTAGTACCACACAGCCTCATGTTTCAAGTTCTTTTGCGCTAGTGCAGTTGGTTGGGCAACTTCATGTTGGAAAGCCTTTTGCAAAAGGACTTCGGTTAAAGAAGCTTGGCCACAGAACCTAGACATACCAGATCCAGCCGAAAAAGGCTGTTTCTGACAGCTTTACAAAAGGAAACCAAAAGGGAAGATGTATTTGAAACCTTTTCAAAGACTCTCGACGGCAAAACAACATCATGGCAAACCTTTCTAAAAATCCTGAAGAACTAGAAAGAAAGAGTAGGTAATCAAAAATGCAAGAAGAGAAGCTCAACCTCAGTAAGCAGATTATGGATCTGCTTACTGCGCTGCCCTTGTAGACAGAACCACTGACACCGAGAAACTGTCGTGGTAGATGAGGTTTTTGCTGTAAGATTGAATGGAGGGGCGGTAGCATATTTCAACATCAAATGTTTTTTTTCTGTCTCTCTGTCTCTCTGTCTCTCTGTCTCTCTCTCTCTCTCTGTGTCTCACTCTCTCAGAAACGTCCTGTCATGTCAATGCTAAGTTTACCTTTCCTGCTTTCTACTTTAAGCGTGCAATTTCCTGGGGGTTGGAAGCTTCAGATTTGTTTTTTTTTTTGTGAGACATGGTTGTGTTTTTCAATTTTGTTATTTTTTGTTGTTTTTTAATTTTCAGCTGTTTTCTGAACATGTTTTCAGTGTGTTTCCTACCTGTTTCAACAGGGGTGCAGTAAGCAATTTTCATGTGTTGATGGTTTACCCAAGGAACCTGCTTACTACACCCCTGAAATCCAGGATTTTCCCCAAAAGTGCCTGAATCCAGGATTTTTGGGTTGCAGTAAGCAGGGATTTTTTTTCTTACTGGTTGTCTTTGATTGTAGTTTCCCTTAAAAAGAAAAAAATGTGGTCAGTCTCACAACCACTTGGGGAAATAAACTATCACCACAAATCTGGATTAAGAGTGTCCTCCCCAAAAAAACAGAACATGTCACATGTTCCATTTTAAGATCTGCCAGGTTTGATGGATGCATCACACATCTCAGATCAGCAAATCCAGGACACCAGCAGCCACAGAAAGGCGAAATAGCACCAATGTTTCTTTGCAACACTGGCCCAGTCCAGTCCACGGCCGCAATCTTGCACGAACCCATCCTGGTTGGAACAACCACCTCCCGAATTAATGGCCAAATCTGCCGGCTTGCCGGCGTGTTTGTGGATTTCTTATGATACATCTTGTGATAGCTATAGTTGCTCCTTCGACAGATTTTTGATTTCCCTGCCCTACCCCCACCCCACGGGCACACTATAGTCTAATATAGGGTAGTAGAGTCTAGTTTAGTATAGTTTGGCATAGTCTAGCATAGTTCCCCACCTGCCAGGTGAGGGTTGTTAGATTTTATCAGGGCTGTTCTCCTCCTCCTCCTCCGCCTCCGCCTCGTCCGCCTCCGCCTCCGCCTCCTCCGCCTCCTGACTGCCAGATCCCACAGCCGGACCTCCACTGCGAGCTCCAGATCCCAGTGGGCACTGCCGGACCTCAACCGCGAGTTGCAGGTCGCAGTGGGCACTGCCGGACCTCAACCGCGACTTCCAGCCGGACCTCAACCGCAAGCTCCAGATCCCAGTGGGCACTGCCGGACCTCAACCGCGAGTTGCAGATCGCAGTGGGCACTGCCGGACCTCAACCGCGACTTCCAGGTCGCAGTGGGCACTGCCGGACCTCAACCGCGAGCTCCAGATCCTAGTGGGCACTGCCGGACCTCAACCGTGAGCTCCAGATCCCAGTGGGCACTGCCGGACCTCAACCGCGACTGCCAGGTCGCAGTGGGCACTGCCGGACCTCAACCGCGACTTCCAGATCGCAGTGGGCACTGCCGGACCTCAACGGGAAGAATGTCAGAAAAGATGTCAGATAGAATGTCAGAAGATATGCCAGATAGAATGCCAGAAGATGTGCCAGAATAGATATGCCCAGAATAATATGCCCAGAAGATATGCCAGATAGAATGCCAGAAGATTTGCCAGATAGAATGCCAGATAATATGCCAGAAGATATGCCAGATAGATATGCCAGATAGAATGCCAGAAGATTTGCCAGATAGAATGCCAGATAAGATATGCCAGTGCCAGAAGATATGCCAGATAGAATGCCAGAAGATATGTCAGAATATATGCCAGAAGATATGCCAGATAGAATGCCAGATAGAATGCCAGAAGATATGTCAGATAGAATGCCAGAAGATATGCCAGATAGAATGCCAGAAGATTTGCCAGATAGAATGCCAGAAGATATGCCAGAAGATATGCCACATAGAATGCCAAATAGAATGTCAGAAGATATGTCAGATAGGATGCCAGAAGATTTGCCAGTAAGAAAATGTATAAATGTCATGGTGGGGATCACGCGAAGTAAAGTAATTTAGTCTAGTCTAGTAAGTTTGTTACTTTCGTGTCGTCTCGTCTCTTTTCTCAAGCTACCTAGCACTGACCTTATTTACATCATCATCGTCTTGGTGATCATCGTCACCATCATCCTCCTCCCTCCTCCTCCTCCTCCTCCTCCGCCTCCTCCTCCTCCTCCTCGTCGTCGTCGTCGTCGTCGTGGTCGTGGTCGTCATCATCATCATCATCATCACCATCATCAGGATCAGGTTCAGGTTCAGGTTCAGGTTCATCTTCTTCCGGTTCGCCCCTTGGGAGGCGGCATTTTTCCACTTGTTCTCCACGTTTCACAGCCCATTCTCGCCCCTGCAATGCGGCATTTTCCAGGTTTTCTCAACGGTTTCCTGCCCGTTCCAGCCAGAAGTACGTTCTAACCTGCCGCTTTTGTGCCCCAAGCTTTCCATACGCACCTGCTACTCCTGCTCTCCCTCTGCGCTCACAGCCTTCTCCGCATGCACTCCAACATTCACTACATCAAATCAAACCCACCCACCCACCCAGCCAGTCATTTTTATCGAAGCTGCTGAATCTGTTCATTCCACCGGTTTTGGTGGCCAATGATTGATGATGGGTGCCAAGGCTGTGATCCATTGATCCACCACCCACCATCCTACAACCTGCCACCGTGCCCACTTTGACACGCGAAATTATGGGTGGAAAGGTCGAAGTGGGTGTCACTCGGGCCTTGACCCAACATGGCACGAGTGAACGACATCCCACCCTGCCCACCAGAAGATGTAACATGTTAATTCCACACTACGTGTCCGTGTTCCAACCAACATTCACGACATCAAATCAAACCATTTTTATCGAAGCTGCTGAATCTGTTCATTCAACTGGTTTTGGTGGCCACTGGTTGATGATGGGTGCCAAGGCTGTGATCCATTGATTCACCACCCACCATCCTACAACCTGCACTTAAACATTGGAATCAGATTCAGAGGATGCTTCATGGTCTGGGTTGAAACACTTGGGACACCAATGGCAGGTACCTACGTAATCCTGAGGATGCGTCTTTGCGTGACGCATGCCAGCGAATTCCCATCCACAGAGGGTCTTCCACTCCGATGGGGTTCATAAAGTTCACAAGCGATTGATGCACGACAGAGGACAAGAGATTATCAACGCACCATTGCTCTCTCATGTTGTCCTTGAGCTATACACCTCCATTTGTTCAGAGATGATCTCCACCGACCTTTCCAGCTCAGCAATGCGTTTGATCTGATGCTCCATGCGTTGATTTGCTGCTTTGAGTTCAGCCAGCGCTCTACCGGCACCTCCTCTATTGTCCAGATCTCCAGAAGGTGTAGAGGCCTCAGCAGAAACTCAATGACGTAACGCCTTAGAGCACATACGATCTGCCATGCTCGTGAGAGGTGCCTCGGCTAAGTAGGACAGCACCGCTGAAGAGCCCCACCTTCCAAGCAACTGGATGGTGATGGGGTCCAAGCCATCCTTGCGCCAGTAATTCTAAATGTATGCCCAGATATGACCCATCTTCCGTTTCCATCATGACTGCTGCCACCAGTCAAATCCACAGCTCTGCGGATTGAGTCCACGAGAGCTTGTTTGGCACAGTAGAACATTTCATTTGGGAATAACGAGCCACTCGTCACTCCTCCAGCTTGTTGGGACAGGACGTGGGACTTCAGCGAAACGGACAAATGAGACCTTTATCGCATAGGCACTTCCTGGATCTACGGCAACTCTTCGCTTGCCAATCGATCTTGGACACTGGCAAAGTCAGAGTAGCGTCCTCGACGTCGACTGCAGACTCAGACGCTTCCAGCTCTCTGAGCATGATGTATGTGAAGCACACAAACATCGCCACAGGTTCTGTGGGTCCATCGTCTGTCAGCTGACCCTTGTGATTGGACAAACCACGAATCGCTCTTTCAAAGTCGAAAGCGTCTGACCTGGACGGTCCTGCAGGCCCCCTCAGCACTGATCTGCTGCACTTCTGTGACACCAGATTTAAGAAATCCGTCCATTGATATCCTGCCTTGAGATGTTCTTCTTTGATACGAGACAAGTAGTTTCTGTATGGCTTGTACCGCCGACCTTAAACAGCGAAGAAATGGCCTTGATCTTCTCTTCGGTAAGTGGAAGCACGGGTACATCCTGTCCAAAACACCAGCAGTGAAATTTTCCCCAGGTCTGGCACTGTGCATCCCGTGGTCCCCTGCTAGTCGCAGCATACATGTCATTCTCAAGAGATCTCAATGCAGACTGCTTGTGTCCGGATCCATGGCATGAGCTCTAACTAACTCAGCATCTGCCTTTTCCAAATGTCTCACAACTGGCATGACACTACGCTTGACGCTGGTCTTACCCCCTCCATTAGTTTCCCCGCATTTTGAACTACTGCTTGCTCCATTGCTAGAGCCGTGCCGCGGGTGTGGGTTGCCTGCACCACTGTACCAACCCTTGTGCTCCCCTCCGGTGAGGGTGCCAGCAGAGGGGACAACGTTGGTGCTTTGGTTTTGTTTTCAATGTTGAAATCCAAGTCTAGCAAGTTGACTCTTATTGCCAGGGAGTTTTCGTTGGATTTGGGAAATGCTGAGTACAGGCCCGGCTTGATTCAACATGTTCCGGGCATCTCGAATCAAGTCTGTGACGTTCCCTCCAGAAACTTAAGACATTTGTGTTGCCTCCGTGGTTGGGTCAGGCAGTTGAGCGAACCGCGCCAGAGCGCAACTACTCCTGGTGGCGAGCATATGGTCACAATTGAAAAACAGTGGGCACAGTTCTGGAGATGCGTGGGGGCAGAGAGAGTGAGTTGCGAACCAATGTTGTGCTGGATGCTTCTCTCTCTGGTTCTTTTTGTCTCCCCCTTTTCCCTCATGTTCTTTCTAGGCTTGTTAGGTGAATAGGTTTTGTGCGGATCTTACATTTTCAATTGTGCATGAACTACGTGGCTGCAGGCTGATGTTAGGTCCGAATCATTTCAGTTGTCAGCGCACGAAGTCACATGATTGTTTGCCAACATTGCATTAGGCCGCAGACGCAAAGATGCTCAAGAAGAAGCGCAAGGCACCCTCCAGATTCTTGCCAGTGTTACCCACATCTAATATTGCGGGGTGGTGGGAAAATCGACGTACTGACCCGCTAATTTGGCACGCTCACCCTGCCAAAACTTTGACCACAAGCGCAGCGCTATCAAACCAGTGGGTACCTCAAGAATTTGCCGGTTTTCACACCCACTGGGGGACAACTCCAAAATATCAACATCACACTTTGAAACTGGAATGCTGAAATCACTCTCTGAACTCAGCCTCAACTTGGAGGGTGGAACCCATGCCATATGGACTAGCATCCCACGTGATGAGTATCTGTGGGCCTTTTCCCAGAAAGTGGTCCAAACTGTACGCAAGTGTGATATTTGCGTCCTTGTCCCCTAGGAATACCAGGAGCCATCACTCTGAGCGCAAAATCTGCTTAGTCCAAATGCAGCCTTTTGGGGCATGGATTTCATGACAGCGCAACGCCACGTACATTTCTTGAATGAACAGCCTCCAAATATGAATGACAGAGGCACTAGACATGGCTTTACCAATCAAGGTTCACAGTGCTTTCTTAGACACTACGTTGGTCTTGCAGAAATCTTGCAATTGCAATTTCAGTTCTGCCACCTTTCCGGCAGGAACTTTTGCCGTGACTGCTCCTGACGCCACAGCTCCTGACGCCACAGTCAACTCAACGCCAACCCACACCAATGTGGGCGCCAGCACTGCCTTATGATATGCCAGGGGAAAACCAAGCAACAACAACGCAACGATGATCATGGCTGCTATTCGACCATGTCTTTCAGACATGCCCTTCATGACAACTAATGGATCGTCAACATACATCTGCATTCTGGCTTCTTCTCTTGCCAGGCCCAAAGTTCTTCAAGTTCGCTACTGCAATGCCCGCAATCACAGCAAATGTGAGCGGAGCTGCCCTGGAGCCCTGTGCCATGCGGCGGAAGATGTAAAACTCTCCCGTGAGCTCTGCCACAAAGAATCGCCTTTCACTCAGATGTAACGGAATCGTCCGGAAGGCATAAACCAGGTCGACAAGGAACATTGCGAGGTGCTCGTTTCACAACATGCAAGAAGCCCTAACGCTGAGTGGATGGCGTCAGTGCCTCTAGGAAGAATAGCTGTGTGAGTTCTGCCAGCGACTTGTGAGATCATGGATTGCTTGCAGTCCAGTATGATCCTGGTCTTGTGTGACACTGCACCTGTGTCAGGGTTTACCTTTGTCTTCTTGACGCAATCGAATTTTGAAAGGACTGGTTCACCTCGCGCTAGTTCCCTGACCTCATCAAGCGTCTTGCACTTCGTCCGGTAACCCTTCTTGAAGTATGAGTCGATGGCTTCAAATGCCTCATCATCATCTTCTACTCCACTGTAGTTCTCAGATGAATCAAAGTTTGCGACCAGCTCGTCAAAGCTGGGTCTCACCTGATCATCATCATCGTCAACCTTGATGCAGACGCCATCTAATTCGGATGTGTCCAACGCGAGTCCGTGCGCCCCTGAAAGTCCAGGTCGCTGCCGACTTCGCTGGGTCATCAGCGATGACAGACCAGTAATGAAGCAAGTGGCCCCTGATGACTGTTTGATACTCACCTTCATCAATCTGACCCAGGTTATCACAATCTTTCATATCTGGGTTTCGATTTCCAATCAACAGATCAGCCACCAGCTTTCGCACATCATCTATCCATTGAGTTGGCAGTGAAATTGGTCGAGGGGCTTTCCAATTTGAAACAAAATGCTCTCCTGCAGATGAGGGGCCTTATCTAGTTCCCTTTCAATGATAGATATTACCCACCTGTTTGCCAATCAGAGCATTTCTAGAATTCAACGCCCGACACACATGTCGCAAGCTACATCTATCGGCGATCTCATCCTCATCATTGGTGTCCCTGGATCCCATTGGTGATTCTTTCAAGAACACAGATCTAACTAATTAATTACCTGTGCATCCAGGGCCCCTGTGGGTTGTTCATCAGCCAGCGACTGAACCCTCGACGACCCTGCCTTAATCACCTTGACTAGCTTTGAGCGCTTCTTCATGGTCTGTTTGCATGTTGCGACGAGTCCTCTCCATGAGTTCAAGTCGACACCGCACATCATCCTGACAAATGATTCCCCAGACTCTTTCACTGTAGCGGTCGTGCAGGCGTTCCACATGGCTGGCAAACTTCATCAGTGCACCCAAGCCCACCGCGTCGAGCATCACCAGTGTTCCATTTGGCGATGGTGGCTTCAAAGTCTGCCTCACCGATCAGCCCAAGCACCTTTGTGGCTGCATCCTTCTTGATTCCAAGGGGGGTTGGTTGGCAAGGAACCAGAAACTGCCTCTTTGGTGTCCACGTCGTCCACCTTGAACTGAGCCCACTTGAAGGTCTTGTCCATGGTGGTCATCTGCTCAAGTTCTGCGTTTGGGGGCTCCATTGATGGTGATGGTTGCACCACTCGGCAGTTGCAGTACCTTGTGATGGGTACCGTGCACCCATTGCTAGGCTCATCCAACGCCCACCACAATGACCCAGTCGAGCCCGGTCAAAGTGGGTGTCACCCGAGCCTTGACCCAAGATGGCACAAGCGAATGACATCCCACCCCGCCCACCAGAAGATGTCTAAGATAATAATTCCACACTACGTGTTCCAACCCACAACCATGCCGCTAGCATCTACCAACTTGACTCTTTTCTGTTTAACCTCCAAGGTCTTACACGCGCCAGCTTCTGCACAGACGAACTTTTACACCCACCAGCCAGCTTTTACACAAACACTCTTTTACACCAAGCACTTTTTGCAGAAACCCACTTTTACACCAACCAGCTTTTACACAAACCCGCTTTTACATGCTTTTACACAAATTCGCTTTTCCACAGACCACCTTTTAAACCAACCAGCTCTTACACAAACGAGCTTTTACACGCACCAGCTTCTACGCAAACCAACCGTTCGACCAACCAGCTTTTACACACCTTTTATGCAAACCACCTTGTACATCCTTGTACAACAACCTGCTTTACACAACCCCTGCTCTGGGCTTGCGGAATGTCGAAGGCTGTTAAATTATGCCATTTTTTAAAATAGAATCATCCCAAAAATCAGAATGATACCGCAAAAAAGAATAGAAAAAAGTAATATGTCACTGTTTATGGTTTGGAATGGTTTGGACTTTACTTTTCCGTTGGCAGGGTGCTACAGATGAAGTATTACTGGCTGGAAAACCGTAAAAATGGCTGAATCCATCAACCAGCAATCCAGTTGTTGCAGCGCCATATTAAGATCAGGCGAACGTAGTGAGCGCTTCACCAGGTGCAGCAAGAGAAGGGCCACGGTGCTGAACAGCATCAGCGAGAAAGCTGTCCATTGTTCTCCAGGTGGCTGCACACAGAAGGCGTACAAAATCACCTGGGAATTGTGCCAAAGAGATCCAAAGGGGACCATTAAAAAATATGACCAGTAGATTCCCAATTCAAAGATGAAACCAGATTTACCAGTATATAGATATATATAGATTATATATGATTATATAGATTCCCCAAATAGTGAATTAATTGATGGGAAAACGAAAATCATCGACTCGGCAAATCCATGTCACTGTGGGCACCAAGTAGCAAAGACTCATCATGACGATGAGGAAGGTGGTCGAGTTGCTCCAATTCAGCCACAGACTTACTCCAATGTTGTCCACAAAAATCCTGCAGACTGATTCTGTACGAGCTGTACGAGTCAGAATTTGAGCCTGAGAATCTCGTGCCAGGTGCTGAAAAGCTGAACCCCTCCTCCTCATCAAAGAGCCATTTGAAGGGTGGCGTCGCATGGCAGGAAGCTCTGGAGGCTCATCCTTTGGTTGAGGAATCTGTGGTACAATCCCCAAGGATTCTGAGGAGCCTTTCTTCTTTGGGGACCGGAGAATCATCCTCTCCAAGTCACAGAGGTCGGGAATGGCCGGGCTTCCCTCAACGGAACGCCGCCTTGAGATCTTTGTGGCACTTACGATGCCGGGGAGGTCTGACTCTTGTGAGGTCTCGGGGTCACTATCGCGACTATCGTCCTGGAGGTCACGGTCTTGATGGATTTCATGATCATCCGGCAGGTCTCCCCTCGGCAACTCTGAGTCTGGCTCTGCTTTGGAATCAGTCTGAGCGCGTGTTTCCACCTGGTAGAGCAGCTTCTGAAGATACACCAGAAGCTGCCCTTTGGTTTCCACATGTTCAGCTCGAAGCTCCTTTATTTCACTTCGAAGCTCCTCAAGTGCAGTACACCAAGCTTGACCAGCTTGATTTACACTCTCTTGCTGACATGCCGACATTTGCCGCGCTGAAAAAGAAATGACAAGAATGCATTAATTAGCATCTTGTTTGAACCGAGAATGGGTCCCAAACGGTAATCTCAAGAAAATGGCTAAGACCTCCGAATGTCTTCCAATCAGGACAAGGTCAACGGCTAACACGCTGCTTGCGTCGCACCAAGTTCACGACAAATATACTCAAAGAAATGGATCATGTTCTCTGTGTGACGTGAATGGCGCTGTGGAAGCAGCCATTTTCTTGCGATATCAGCACGTCGTAGATAGGGGCAGTATGGATTTTGACCAACAAATTATTATAGGGAAAGAGGGAAAGAGTAACATGAGGTGACCAACCAGTATCGGAAGCTATATAGTAGATTACCGGTTATATAGATGGTTATAGAACCAATGAGTTTAAGATGTCTCCAAATCCATGGCGTGTTGATTTTCAGGGCATGAAATTGTGGCCAGCGTTTTAGCAGACCTGGCTGCTTGCAAGTTATCTTTGTAAAATTGTCGAAGCGATGCAAAGCTCCAGCTCACTTGGCCTCGACGACCTTGATCTAATGGCTGGATCCAAGTAGCAAAGCGCCTTGCAGCGGCAGGGAAAATGTTGGGAGTTTCATTTCTATCAAGGTTGGAGTTGGGGTCTCAACGGGAAGCCTGTAGCGCGGCTTGAGGATGTGCTTTGGCTGACTTCTCCTGAGGTACCATGGTGAAAAACATGGGATCAATGGAGTGCCATCCCAACACCCATTACTGGGGGGATGACCATCCCACCAACGGGGATCAGGAATCTCGGCCTTAGAAACCTAAACCACTGTGCTGCAATTGGAATCGTTGGGCAAATCCAATGTGGTCTGACTTTTGTCCACTGAGAATCTGGCATCTTCCTCATCCTCCTCAGCTTCCTCCTGCGTAGACGCTGGGCCACTAACAATACCAACACATTAAGACCTCCCAGGGATCATCGCAGCCCATGCCTCACCATCCTCTTGGTCTTCCTCAAAGGCCTACCATCGCCAATGAATAGATCCACAAAAGATTTCCCATGACTTTCACCTTCCCGACAAGACGCAAGAAAAGGATCACACCCAAAGCATCTCAAAACCTTATTGGCTTCATCCTTTCCCTCCTTTCCAGCGCATTCCAACAGCAACTCCCGGGCTTCGGGGCTTCGCCTGTTGGGCATCCACCTTGGAAGGTGTAGCCATGGCCATCTCGCTGCATTTGGCACCGGTGGGCATCAGTCCCACACAGGGAAGGCAACGAAGGCACTGTCAACTGTGGAAGCTGCGGGAAAATCCTGCTTCGTTGTGGGTGGAGGCTGAAGGGTGAGGAGAGCAGGGTGGGAACTTTGCAGAGCGTATGTTTCGCTCGCGACTACCCTGTTGGATATACATTGCCAAGTCGAAAACGAACTAGTGAGTTGGAATTGGTGTTTGGTGCAGGCTTGCAATATCCATGCAAATGCAAGGCTGAGCCTCATTGCGATCGAGCAAGTGAAGACTTCATCATGATAGAGTGACAAATTTTGACAAAGCAACGATATAGACTTGTCTGAAACTAGGGGACCCCCAAATCCACTGGTTACTCAATTACCTTTTTGCCTACAGTACCATGAATTCTACGTACAATGTACAATGGCCATAGCATGCCATAGCCATAACTGGGGGTGTACCAACCTACTGTATACCCCATTTCCAGACAAACCCACATGCGTTTCAGCAGGATGGGCACCGTCAGTGTGCCCGAGGTGGTACCATGGCCTTGGGACAAGCTGCATGGAAACAGCTCACAGCTGACTTCATACCACACAAAAGGACGGGATAGGACGGGCATGTTTGTGGTGCTGGCTGTGATGTATGTTGATGATCTGTTGATGACCTGTTGATTGTGAGGGCATTGCTGCGGCATGCAGACTTGATTCTCTTTTCACTATTTTTCACTCAGCTTGAATCGACTCAGCTTGTCGATCCTTCAGTCGCAAGACATTGGGAAAGCCTAGGGCCTCAATCTCCTCCTCCCGATGTGTAATGAGCACCACAGCCACATCAGTCTCAGCCAACTTCCTGGCACAAAACAGGAGACTTCGCTTTCTAAGATGCTATCAGATGCTTAAAGCCCATAAATATCATAAATAATATATATAAATATAATATATATATATATCCTGAAAGCCCTTCCCAGATTCCCAGTTGAATCGTCCTCAAAGCACTGAGGATCAGCAGTCGATTTTCGCCTGAAAGGCCATGCGTTGGCTCATCCAGGAGGAGAAGACGTGGACACTTCACCAGCGCCCGGCAGAGCAAAACCAACTTCTGCTGCCTCATTTTACAGCGACCATGGTGCCCTTCCCCGGAGCCAAAGGAAAAAGAAGCGATCGTTGCTACTAGTAGGATGAAGACCTTTTCTCAAAACAACCAGGCAACTTTCAAGTCTACAGAATGACACTTCATATGAGTCATGAAATCAAATCCCAGTCAAATGCAGCCGTGAATCCCGTGTGAAAGGTCATGAAACATAGCTCCCTCCTTGAATGATGGCAACAATGACAAGATCTTCTCGCCCTTTGGTGCCACCACCAAGTCCTGCAAACCTGAGACACGAGAAATGGCTCTGGAACTCTGCTACCAGTGCCAAAGGATGATCGTCATGTTTCCGATGTCAATAGCCAAATAGATCCAAATAGATCCAAATACTATACGTATCAGTACATACCAATAAATACTAGTACCAATAATATCAAACAATGCGGTAAAAAAAAAAACATTTAAAAAAAAAAACTACATATGGACAAACCCCTCAGTGGAAGGGTAAGCTCAGGTCGGGACCCAACATGTCAGCCCACTGTTGGACATTTTGAATCTGGGTCGCAGTGGGCTCCGCATACAAACCGATGCTGTCGAATAGGCCCGAGCATGCAACTTCCCAGGCGGTGACTTTCCGATCAAAACGGGGATCTGAGTAAATCAGAAATTCCATGTGAAGTTCACTGGAGATCACTCCCAGCTGCTTCTTGATGTCCCAAATGCTCTCACCACTGCCTTTCTGCCGTCCAAACAAATGAAGATTCTGTGTGTATCCCAGCACGTTTTCACCGGTGATGAGATCAAATAGAGTCGTCTTTCCAGTACCATTTCCTCCAAGGACGATCCACTTTTCGCTTTCCCGAACTGTCCAGTTGAGCTTGTCAAATACACGAACTGGGCCATACCTCAGCCAAATGCAGCAGGCATCTGATCATATCCTGTCTTACCCCCATGGATCATGATGGATCCACCATGATTCACACCATCACTGCAGTTCCACCTTGAGAGATCGCTTCCCAGAAATCTGATGCCGGGAAACTCAATGGTCACGTCCTTGAACTCGACCAGTGGCTCTCCCACGGCTACCTCACACCCAACGTTTCCCCCAGGAGTTCCCCCACGCAACTCACGGCACCCCCAAGCGCTATCAAGGCACTGTTGGGACTGGCATGGACGAGGGGGGAAGTTCGCTGCTGGAATCCTCGCAGCGTCGCGACCGTCGCGTCGTTTCGAAACAAAGGTGGCAATCTGGCCATGGCAAGACATTTCTGGAAGTCACTAGTCACTAGATAATCTACATATGTATATAATCTACAGCAGATATAGTTATAGTATGATATAGTCTATAGATACAATCTATAGATATAATCATATATAATCTATAGATACAGGAGTACTACGACTACAAGCTTGCGTCAGTTCCTTGTCTTGGTCAGGTTTCCTGCCTGGAGAAAGGATGTCACTTTCGCTTCCATCTGTGACCAAGGACCAACACCTGCAGCCAGGTCCAGGTCCCCTCGCCGACTCGCCGAGGACATGGTCCAATGCTGCTGAGAATCTGTGCTCAGTGCCATCTCCCTGACCAAGTAGAAGAACTGAGCTTGGAAGTGGTACCAAATCTTCCAAGCGATGCACGATCATCACCTGAGCCAAGAGATATGGCAGATATGGCGAAAGAGCCATGTCAAGCCGCTGAGCAAGTAGCTTTGGGCCGGGGCTCTTAAATCATGACCCATCCCCATCCCAAATGACATCTTGAAAAGTTCACTTCACAAAACATCACAAAACTGGTTTCTGTAGCAAAGTCGCCAACGCTCGAGGACTTTCATCAAAGAAGCTCTCCAGCATACTGGCGAGTTCCACGCGGGAACTCTTGTCCAGGCCGTCGAAAGCTTCATCGAGGATCAAAAGACTTGGCCTCGGAGTGCTGGGACTCGGACAGCAAGCGATTCAACCAGGCAATGCGAACGAATGCCAATGCATCATGTGGCCATGGGTCAAAATGTGTGTTCCCTCATAATCATTGTCTACGGTACTAAGCCACTAAGCTTTGCTAAAAATCATCTGCCTTTGTTGGCCCCCAATTGTGACCCATACCCACGTGATCCCACATGCTACCGTACATTGTTCTCTGTCTCGAAGGTAAGGATCTTGCTCTTTGAGAAGAGCATCCACCATCAGAAGTTTCCGCCCCTGCGTGGTTGGAAGGCATGCCGAAAAAAAATGGGTACCATCCCGAACTTAGATCGATTGAATTGGGTGTGAGATTACATCCACATTGAATCCATCTTCATACCTAATCAATTGTGTAAAATACGCTTATATATATATATGTTATACCGATATACTCTGTATAATATATATATATATATTATATCCCCCTTGCAATTTGGGGGGGGTGCTGGACCCCTCGATTCTGTAGAGGGCCCCAACGTCGGGTACCCTGTGGCCACTCTACTAAATCAATCTCTGCTCTCCAGGGTAGGGATTTACCTTCTACAAAATCAAGAACCTTCCACAGCCCTCATATCTGACAAAAAAAAAAAATCATGTTTTCTACAAAATCAAGGACCTCACATGTGAAGGCATCAAAACAAATCAAAAAATATCACTTGTTGAGTTAAAACCTCAAATGATGATTCTGTAGAGATTTGTGTTAGAGTCGACTCTGTAGAGATTTTTTGTTGGTCTTTGATTTTGTAGCATGAAATTTTACAAGTTTTACATGTCAGTCAAAGATGTCCAAAATGGCCAGCCTTTGATTTTGTAGCATGAATTCCTTTACAAGATTTTACAAGTCAGTCCAAGATGTCCAAAATGGCCAGTCTTTGATTTTGTAGCATGAGTTCCTTTACACGATTTTACAAGCCAGTCCAAGATGTCCAAAATGGCCAGCCTTTGATTTTGTAGCATGAATTCCTTTACAAGATTTTACAAGTCAGTCCAAGATGTCCAAAATGGCCAGTCTTTGATTTTGTAGCATGAGTTCCTTTACAAGATTTTACAAGTCAGTCCAAGATGTCCAAAATGGCCAGTCTTTGATTTTGTAGCATGAGTTCCTTTACAAAATTTTACAAGTCAGTCCAAGATGTCCAAAATGGCCAGTCTTTGATTTTGTAGTCAGTCCAAGATGTCCAAAATGGCCAGTCTTTGATTTTGTAGCATGAGTTCCTTTACAAGATTTTACAACTCAGTCCAAGATGTCCAAAATGGCCAGTCTTTGATTTTGTAGCATGAGTTCCTTTACAAGATTTTACAACTCAGTCCAAGATGTCCCAAATGGCCAGCCTTTGATTTTGTAGCATGAGTTCCTTTACAAGATTTTACAACTCAGTCCAAGATGTCCAAAATGGCCAGTCTTTGATTTTGTAGCATGAGTTCCTTTACAAGATTTTACAAGTCAGTCCAGGATGTCCAAAATGGCCAGTCTTTGATTTTGTAGCATGAGTTCCTTTACAAGATTTTACAAGTCAGTCCAAGATGTCCAAAATGACCGGCCTTTGATCTTGTAGCATCATTTCTTTAGGCAGATTCATACGTGCTACAAAATCAAGAACCTCACATTTGAAGGCATCAAAAATCATCACTTTTTGAGATCAAACGTCCACGTTGATTCTATAGAGATTTTGTTTGGAGTCGATTCTGTAGAGATTTTTTGTTGGTCTTTGATTTTGAAGCATGAATGTTTACAAGTTTTACAAGCCCCATCCAAAGTCCCAAGTACCTGCCTTTCATTTTGTAGCTACAAGCCCCTCCAAAGTCCCAAGGCCAAGTGTCTGCTTTTTGATTTTGCCGCCTTTTTCTCATATGTTCTCTACAAAATCAAAATTTCGAGGTTTTCTTCAGATAGGTCGCTCTACAAAATCAAAGTCTCACCTTTTCACAAGTGGGCCTCCTACATCTGCTCTACAAAATCAGGCTCTAAAATCTCAAGCAAAAATCCTTATTCTGAAATCCTACCAGTATATATATATATAAACTTTTGAGGGGTTCTCACGAAAAGTAGGCCCTCAAAGATTCTTAGGGCAAAAATCTCAGGAATGCCGGGGGCATCTTCAAAATTCCAAAAACCCAGGACCCTGGAGCTCATAAAATAGAACCTTGATTTTGTAGAGGCCAATCTGTGGTTCCCCCTTGGAGATTGATTTTGTAGAGGGTGACACCTTGGTGTATGATTTTGTAAAGGCCACGATTGGCTGCCACGTAAACCTTTCCTACTGCAAAGGCTACCCCTAGTATTGAAGACTAACCAGCATTTTTCACATCTAACCTCCCTCTACAAAATCAAAAACCAATACATGTTGGGGGGACCCGGATCATTTTGAAACACCGGATAAGGCTCATTTTGAAACACAGAGGATAAGGATCATTTCGAAACACAAAAGCCCCGGATAAGGATCATTTTGAAACACATCCAAGATACTGCTGTTTAAG